CTCTTAACAGTGAACACTCTAAGGTCATCACCTGTAGTGACTTGTGGATCTTCTGTGCAAATGAAGAAGAAGTGAAGTAATTTAGAACATCATACTCTCTTCATCCTCTTCACTGATCTCTGATGTTATTACATCTAAATTTGATCATAAATGGTCCTACAAACTGTGAGATTTAACCTGAACAATACCTAAAATGTTGACAGACAAATATTAAACCAAGCTTTTTTCAAACTGAGTCACTAAAATGTTATGATACATCTTTGAGTTTAATCAAAACTTGGCTCTTTGCTCTATTCTGTCTTAGATTTTTAGTCACTTTGGCCACTGATGAGGCACAAACCATGTGATGCCCTCATAAGAACATGTCTTCATGAATCATTCAGGCTGTTGGCCTATTAGCTGCTTCAACACTGCTTCATTGAATTTTCACATATTCATCCACACATTCTCTTCTCCATGATTTACTTGTCAGTGCCTGTCTTAATCTCTTAATTCTCTTTCATGAAGCTAGTTTACCAACAGCTTTATAAAAGGCTGCCATAAAAATAGGATCACTGCTGTTAAATTCTCATGTACCATTAGAAAGCATTTATTGGAAGTAAAGATGGTGATTTTGCAGTGGACCATGTAAAGGAGCTGGACACCCTTAGCCAAAAGAGTGCTGTTGAAATTATAGCATGCTGAGAAGCATAATATGTCAGTATTACAGCTTAGATAAAGTAGTACAGCATGCATGTATGCAATGCACACCTCTATATAGTCTCTTCCCTGTGATTCTACTGAACAAGCAGATCGTATTCATTAGTGTTTGGTCCAAAAAGCTGAAAAAGTCTTTTGCTTGGCTGCAGTATGGTGCAACGCTCTATCCTGCTGCTGGTTCTTGAAGGTCACACCCAGATTACTACAAAGAGAGTGACGTCTTCCTTCAGTTTCAGAGCCCAGCCCACAACTGACTGGCTGCCCTCTGACCCCGCGCTATTGTGGCTCCAGCTGCTATATCCCCTCATGTTTTCAGCCGGCTAACAAAGGAGAGCTGACTTAAAACAGCCATCGAAACAGGGGCTGTCTGCCCAGGGCAGTCTTTTTCGTGCACAGCCACATAAAAAGTGCCTACAATGAAAAAGAAAAGTGCAAAACTGCATTCAACTGTGCAGCCCGTATTGGTTCTACATGGATAAAACACATTACAGCAACAGAGTTATGACCAAAAGTAAGTCAGCTGAAAGAAAATAATGTGTTGATGTGATGTATTTTATCTGCGTGGAACTTATTTGATAGATTCAAAGCACTTAGTGCTTCAGTGTACAGGCCTATGCCACATAGCATGAGACTATGAAGCAATTTAATGTGAGCTGCTTCTTCCCCGACATGTCAATTTAATCTCATCAGCACACCCATAAACGTGAGCTCAACACTTACACACTGCTCCATTTCAGCTTCACTTTCTGACTTCTGACACAGCTAAAGAGCACTTTTCATAATGGGACGTTTCTACAAAAGCAGGCATTCAGCTGTGAAAGGACTTACTGACTACTTTCATAAGCAGGATGGAAAGACACTGTTATTACCACATTACAGTAGGACAATAATTCTGTTGGCATAATGTCTTTGATTAAAGGGGAACTCAAAATGTGTGCCTAATTAAATGGTGGAGCTGTAAACAAAGTCATTCAGAGTAGTTTGATGTGAAGCACTCCATTCTAGAGAAGTCAACTGAGTGAGAATTGTTCACAGTGGTAGTGATAGGAACCAGACGTCTGAAGAGTTGAACGACTCTGAAAGCTTCTCACAGAAAGATATTACCTAAAACGGTTATGGATACGATGCTTGATGTCTGAGATACTGGGCCTCATTCAACAACATTCTTAAGAAGAAATTTCTTTTAAGACCCTCTTACGCAGTTTTCACTCTGATTCTGGCATTCACCATTGTTTTCTTATTTGGCATTTGTTCTTAGGTAAGAACAGAACCGCACACACTCAAGAGCACAGAATCTGTGCGGACAATTCTGTTTAAGAACACGTCATAAATCTGACATAGACTTTCTCTTAGGACCTTTCTCGAGAACAAATTTAAGAAAAAAACTTGGGAAAATATTGTTTTATGATAGTTGTGAGGTAAAGTTTTGGCCTAAAACAGCCTTTTTTTTTACATCTCAATTACTGAATTATACAGAAATTTTGAAAAATCTTTGGAATTCCCCTTTAATGTGAAACCAATGTGGGTTCTACATTTGGAGACAGTAAATACTGTCTGTAAACAGTAAACACTACTGTAAACAATAAACCTGCAAAGCTTTTCACTTGAGCAGCTTTTTCCACAACACTGTGGGGTCTGTTTACATTAGCCTCGCCACTCAGAACACACAAACCTGATTCAAAACTGCTTGGTTTTAGGCCTTAGTCTAACTTTTCACATATTTGTGATGTCATTATTCCGTAGAGGGAGGCAAAAGATTTGAGCTGCGTCCAAAACTGCGATATACTAAACAGTCCATCCAAAATAATACCATTCATTATCACAGTAGTATGTTGTTTGGGACGCAGCCTTAGACTACAGGCCCCAGAATGCCGCACCATTTAAGACAGAACGGGAAACTTCGAACTAGAAGCTGATGAATAAGAAGCTGACCTCAGGGGTCGGTCTTTCCAGTGAACTAGCATCATTCCTCCACCACTGAGGGGTCACGTCAGCGTGGACTCCTCAGCACACGCAAAAACGTGGCTCAGTTTAAGGCTTCGGTCACTTTTTCACACGTCTCGCCTCACTCGCACATGATAACGCAGTTTCAGCTCCTAAACCCGGAGCAGAAGAGCAGGAGAACCACCCATTCAGCTGCTAGTGAACGCACACTTCACTCAACGCAGACAGCAGCTATTCCAGCCTGCGGTTCCCCTGTAACTCTATTCCGGACGTCCTGGCATTGTTTCTAATGTTTCTACCGTTTCTAACGTTTCGAGTGAGAAGATCTCGGCTCATCTATTACAGACAGTGACAGGCGAAGCAGTGCGGATCAGAAACAGTTAACATGATGAAGCTGGACAGCTGAAATGCACTTGCTGCAGTGATGCTGGAGATCTTTCAGGAACGTGGGCTCCTCACAGCCTCTGTAGATCCCCACTCATAAAGGACCGTTAGAAGCACTGACCTCATGGCTTTGCTTTAATGGGAACTGGTTATCACTAGACACTACTAGATTCCTGCAGAACACCTTTAGATGTTAACTGGAAACCATGAAATGCACCTGGCATCAGAACAGCTGTTCAATCTCAGGATCCTTTACACTGTGATATCAGCCCATCAGGAGAACACAGAATACCATTACTGACTACTGGAACCAGACAAAACTATGAATGGTTTATAAGATTTTTTTTCAGCAGGGTTAACTTTAAGAGGATGAGAAGAGCCCAGCACCAAAGCCTGCAAGGCTTAATAAAGCCATATAGGATCAAAACTCAATTGCAGCTAAAAGCTCTCATCGGTGAGGATCTAACACCACATTAGCTCAAAACCTGGTCAATCCTAAACAATGTGGTCCAAGGAGAGCCAGAAACGAAGCTCCTGATGCTGAGTCTCAACTCAAAGACGTCCTGGCCTCAGTATCAAGATGTTTCAGTTCAGCAAGCGACCCCACTCTCCCACGGTGGGAGCTCGTAAAGCTCCGGCCCACCGAGCCCCCCGTGTCGTCTAGCGCTGTTTCAGCCTAAACTGGAAATTACGCGTTAAATGTAAACCCGAAAGACTTACCGAACTGAAGGCTGAGGGCTCTCACCGCCTTTTGTGTAATCCACAGAAAAGAGGAGGATGGATTTCAGCACATCTAGTATCAGAATTGCGAGAGCATAGAATCGACCGGAGGGCGACACACTCGGGCTCGCGGAGACACACGTGGGCTAAACACCTTGGATAACGACCTAAAATAGAAGAACGAGGCGGAATGGGCGGCTCTGGGGCTGATATTTTTTTGGGATTATCTCTACGCTTTTGTTATTCGGCGAGCACTCGCTGGCGCACAGGTCCGTACTGCTCCCGCGGCTCCACCCACCGGCACAGGCCCCGCCTCCCGCGGGATCCGATTGGCGCAGAGGCCCTGCCATGCAAATGAGCTCGTCCACAGAGACGACCTACCGGCGCTCTGCGAGCTGAAACACTGACATCTGGCGGCGCACAAGCGAAATGTGTTTTCTTTCTGAAGCTGAAACTATTTTTAAAGACTTCCAGACTTTTTTAATAACATTACTTTTTTCCTCTCAGTTCACACAAACCGCCATTTGGCTTTTTTCTAGAGCTTACCGACAAATACAACGAGACACCTTTACTCCAGTGACGTGGCCCTCACAGTCAGTCCATCATTTATGAGCATGTAATAACTTCTCACAGCAGATTTTAATAATAAGTACCCTCTTATTGAAGATTAGAGCATAATGATATTGAATACAGCATGACAATGATATCTGCTGATATTTAATAAGGTGTGATATTAAGTGGTGTGATATTAAGGGTTCTACATTACATCAAGTATATCAAGTGACTGAATAATGTAGCCGATACCATCACATGTCTGATTAACGTGTGCCAAGTTTCAACAATTACCTGCTGGTACAAAGTTCACCCCCATTCTTTTACAGCTAATTACACAACGAGAGTCTCCTTATATGTTCATAACTGCACTGACGTAGACATTATTACCACATAAACTCCTTTTATGCGCAGGAGTCTTCAACTATAACTTCAGAGTTTAACTATGTTTCAAGGTTAAAGAAAAGTGATAAGTATTTTGTACTTGAATATTTGCTTCTTTTTACCATATGCTTTAAACATTTAATATAAAATCACATAAAGCATAAAGACTTTCCTAGTGAAAGTCTAGAAGTTTAGATCACAGATGTTTTTAGCCCCCTGGTCATCCATAGGCAAGTTCCCTTTCTTTCCAAGGAAACTGTGTTCCAATATGATCTGGATCAGTTTCATATATCGAACCAAAACAGGCACACAAATGATACACATAAATATGTTCTCTTTATTTAAACTCCTTGGTCATGACATTCGGTGGGAAAAGACAGTTACTAAACTTCATTACTGCAACAGAGTATTTTGGCGACAGTCCATCCAAGTCCATCTTACATACAAACCCATGGCGTGTGGTGTTTTGAGTTCGCTCAGGCTATACCCGACCTGCCTGTTCTTGGTGTCTGCGGGTGTAGGCGTTATAGACGTCGAGGAACATGGCTCTGCAGGGAATGTGTGCCCGCAGCTTGGAGCAGATGAGGAAGGAGCCGGCCATTTTGCGATGCAGGGAGTAGGTCTCCTCTGGAGGGGGCGTGAGCCGGTGCCGGAGCATGACCGGAATCAGGCTGTGGATACGGCGCGTGGTGTTCTGGGTGCCAAAGTCAAAGACGTCTGGAGAGGCAAAGGCTTCCCCCAGGATCATCACGGCTTCAACATGGGCGTCCTCGAAGGCCTAGAGAGAGAACAAGCGAGAGAGAGAGAGAGAGAGAGAGAGAGAGAGAGAGAGAGAGAGAGAGAGAGAAATTCCATAGTAAAAAAAAAACCTTAAAAAACAATTTAGTATTCAGAGCTTAGATATTTATAAGGATTATGTTATGATCTATTTAAACCTAATGTATTAATTGAAAGAGTAGTAATCTAATAACATACAAAATAATCATTTATAGGGTCCGTTCTCTTGGAAGGTGTCCTAACCCCTAAATTTCGACTTATGAAAATAATACTTTCATTTTTGTTTTTAAAAATCCCTTTTTTTTTTTTTTTTTTTAAGTGAAGTTGGAAGATTTAGAAAAAATGTTTAAAAATGCTGCCACATGTTTTCATGTCACTACCAAAACACAAGTTTTAGTCCATATGCAGAGCCTTGTTGTAGCCACACTCCTGCATTTTAGAGCAGGAAGTCAGACTGCATCCCTGTACTTTTAAGAGCCCATTGTTTTGAAGTAAATGTGTCCCAAAGTCTAAAAATCAGTGTGTTACATTGAGAATTGTCACTTCTGAAACACGTCTGCCGTGTTTTGCCTGTAAATGATTCAGACTCATAAAAAACATGACACACCATTTACAGAAAAAAATTTGGTTTTATCAAAAGAGCCATTAATGGGACTTGCAATTTAACAGCTGTATTTCAACGACAGGGCTACAATCACGGAGCCAGTCATAGTAACACACGGTGCAAGCAGCTGGGCACGAATATAAATCAAACTAGGGAAATGTGTTAAAAAATGTGTGGTGTTAATCATTTACTGCGTTAAAAAAATAATAGAAAAATAGTAACTACGTTTATCAAATATAAAGTTCCTGTGCATTAATATTTACAGAAAATGTTATTTGTTAAATAATTTGTTGCACATGTGTTTATTTCTGTTCACTTCTAAAATCAACGAAATATGTAATTTGGCCAGGGATCCCCACACTTTTGCATACATTCTTTACAGAGAACACACTTATTAAAATTTTAATACTCAAATTTTGTTTACTTGCTGAATTTAACATATTGGGGGGGGGGCATAAAATGTGGCCTGCGCAAAAGTTACAGCACATTTTATATTTTATGTTTTTATTTATTCCAATATGTTACTTTCAGCAATGAAATAGACATTGTGCACTAAAAAAATGCAGAAATGCAGTATTTGTCACTGACAAAGAATGACTGTCAGCCCGTTTGACTTGGCATGTTCAAACTTATGCATGCAACTATTTGAGTGTACAAAACAAGAGGGAACTGTTGCTTTCCACTTTTGTTAGTTTGCTGCTCACTGATTTATGCACAGCTCTCCTGCAAGCACTCTCTAGTGTAGTCTGCTATGTTTTTATCTTGAAATGATACCTCAGACTCAAACACATTAGTGATAAACAAATTCACAGCATTGCAGTAGTTAGAGAAAACGTTTTTTAATCAAGAAAGCCATCAATGCAACTTGCCATTTAAAAGCTGTATTTGAATGAGAGCACTACAATTTCTGAGTCAGATATACAACCCCATTTCCAAAAAGGTTGGGTCGCTGAACAAAAGTAAACAAAAACAAAATTCAATAATGTGCAAATCATTAAAAACCCTATGTTTCATTGAAAATAGCACCAAGACAATAAATCAATTGTGGAAATAGAGAAATTTTATTGTTTTTTGAAAAGTATGTGGCCATTTTGAATTTGATGCCAACATCACGTTCCAAAAAAGTTGGGACGGGGCAGATTTACCACTGTGTTTCATCACCTCTTCTTTTAACAACGCCCTGTAAGTGTTTGGGAACTGAGGAAACCAACTGCTGTAGTTTTGAAAGTGAAATGTTATCCCATTCTTGTTTGATATAGGATTTCAGCTGCTCAACAGTTCGGGGTCTCTTCTGTCTTATTTTTCATTTTATAATGCGCCAAATGTTATCAGTGGTGACAGGTCTGGACTGCAGGCAGGCCAGTTTAGCACCTGGAGTCTTTTAATATGGAGCAATGCTGTTGTAACACATGCAGAACATGGTTTGGCATTTTCTTGCAGAAATAAATAAGGCCTTCCCTGAAAAAGACGTCATCTGGATGGCAGCATATGTTGCCAAAACATGTATATGTCGTTCTGCATTCATGGTGCCTTCACAGATGTGCATGTCACCCATACCATGTTCACTAATGCACCCCTATACCATCATGAATACTGGCTTTTGAACTGTGCACTGATAACAAGCTGAGTGGTCTTTAGCCCGGAGGACAGTGTCCATGATTTCCAAAAAGAATTTCAAATGGTGATTCGTTGGACCATAGGACACTTTTCTACTTCCCCTCAGTCCATTTTAAATGAGCTCGGGCCCAGAGAAGGTGGCAGCATTTCTGGATCCTGTTTATATATGGTTTATTCATTGTGTTTAAGAGTTCTAATTAGCATTTGTAGATGCAGCACCAAACTGTTTTTATAGACAGTATTTTCTGAAGTTTTTCTGAGCTCATGCAGTGATTTCCAATAAAGAATCATGTCTGTTTTTAATGCAATGTCGCCTGAGGGCCCAAAGATCATGGCCAGCAAATACTGGTTTTTGGCCTTGCCCCTTACATACAGAGATTTTTCAAGATTCTCTGAATCTTTTAATGATATAATGTACCGTAGATGATGAAAAGCAAAAGTTCTTTGATATTTAATGTTGAGAATCGTTATTCTTGAATTGTTGCACGATTTGATCGAGCAATCTTTCACAGAGTGGTGAACCCCTCCTTATCTTTACTTCTGAAAGACTCAAACTCTCTGGGATGCTCTTTTTATATCCAATCATCTTACTGACCTGCTGCCAATTAACCACCAAGTGCATTACACAAATTTACCAGCCTTTTGTTGCCCCCGTCCCAACTTTTTTGGAAAGCGTTGCTGGCATCAAATTCAAAATGGGCATCTATTTTTCAAAAAACAATCAAATTTCTCAGTTTCAACATTTGATATCTTGTCTTTGAAGCATTTTCAATGAAATATAGGATTTAAATGATTTGCACAACATTGCATTTTGTTTTTATTTACATTTTTCACAGCATCCCAACTTTTTTGGAAATGGGGTTGTACTAACATACAGTACAAGCATACATGCAAACAGCTAGGCGCTAATACGGTTGTTTAAGTGGTCAACCTAGCAAAATGCACTAACAGTGCTAAACAAATTAGTGGTGGAAATTCATTTATTGCATTAACTTGTTACCATTTTTGTTTATCTCTTATTCAAATATAAAATTACTTTGCATTAACATTTGTACAAACTTTTCTTTTTAAAATAACTTGCTGCACAGGTTGTGTTTACTTCTTTTCACTTCTAGAATCAATAAAATATGTGAGACTTAAGTATGAGAAACAGATTTAAATGCTGTTTGGCAACATTATGTCTTAATATGGTCATGCTAATAAAGCTTATGTGACTTGGGTGAAGGTGAGAAAAGTGTCAGAGACACTGGGTCTTCAACTGGCTTTTCCTTCCACCACCTTTTTGCAAATTCTAAAACAATAGAATTTTAAAAATATATGTTTTTTAATTTTTTTTTTCTTTGAATAAATGTCATAGTAGGACACAAATGTCATGTGTTCGGTACTATGTGCTGTCAGAACTGTTTGTTGTGGTGTTCTGGAAATTAACTTTCATTTTCTATAACAGACTTTTCAGAAAGTTGCTTCAAAGTTGCCAAATTTAGAAGGAAAACCCTTTATACACATGCAGATGAGGAAGAATACGGGGGTTAAACCTGAAAGGATTGGCAACAACTCCAAAAGACAGAGAATATGATAGGTAGTAAGGATTTTCAAAAATTCTAAGAAGAATCGAAGGGGAAAAACTGACCCATTGACCAACAACAACAACAACAACAACAACAACAACAACAACAACAACAACAACAACAACAACAACAACAAGTGGCAGGAATCTATAGAGGGGTTAGATGGGTAACAAGAAGAAAATAATTAAATGGAGTGCCATACCTTGGTCTCAAAGCCTGTGAGGAACTTCAAGTCTTTGGACTTCTGCAAAACTGTGGCTCGATCCCCAACCGAGGCCGCATGCACCACCTAGTGGATTTACCAACATATAGCAAACAGATAGGCTAAATGAAAGAATTTCAGTCTTGTCTGAGTTCAGCGTAAGACAAATGAATGGGAATTAACTTAGCTGAGTAACATTTACCTCGTGATAAATTTCACTTTAACTATATTTTATTAAATTCCATGAATCTCACTGTGACAGTTTCATGTGGCAGATGTACTGAGGATTCAAAGCACATAAACCTCAAGACAGAATGTCTTTTGCAAACACTTCTTAGAGTCAAAAGAAAATTAATAATTTATAAAATCAATAAAATATTTAACATAAAAGCTTTAAAATATATTCTACCGCCAATGTGTGACAATCTCAGCAGCTGCCAATCTGCTGTACCTCAATATAGTCATCTGTGAACGCCTCCGGATATTCTCGGCAAGCTCCAAAGTCTAACAGGTATATCTGTTAAACAGAAAAAATAAGTGTGAGATTGAAATTTCTTAAAGCAAACCAACACTGAAACAGTACGTTAATATGGGACATACCAGTGAGTCACTTCTTTTTGTGTTTTAGAACCAAAAAGTGGTTGTTCATACTCAAAAGCAAAGCCCATGCGGTTTTGAATAAACTCCATAGAAATTTAAAAGTGCACATCAATAAATTTGACAAACAAACAAATAAAATGTGATGTTTCAGTTTGGAGATGACCTCACCTTGTTCTCCTCAGCATTGTAGAAGAAGTTGGACCAGTTGGGGTCTGTTTGCATGAAGCGAAACTCAAAGAGTTCTCTCAGACACAACTGCAAGATACTGAAGCTTATCTGTAAAAGAAAAAAAAATAAAGCTCAAACTACAGCTGGTTCCACCAAGTCATTCAGAGGATCGACGTTTTGGACATTGGACGATTGATACATTACTGTGAACAAACTTCATTTTAAGACAGAAACTAATTAGCCTGTTTCTGCTTTCTTATTTGCAGACTTTAAAGCTGGGGTTTGGGGTTTTTAGCCATTTTTTTCTTTGTTTAGTCAGCCAGCTGCTATGTCTCTCATCACACCATGTTACCAAGCTAGGAGGGCGAAGGCTAGCATGAAATCACATGAAGCCAGCTTATTTTTTCCAAACACCTGCAAACACAACGCCATTGGACAGCACAGTGTGCTTGGAGAAGATCGCTAAATGCTAATTCTGTTATGTCACACAGCCAGAACGTTATCATAGGCTGTCTTTGGTTGCACCACTGCAGCCACCGTGGAGCAGGTCACAATGAACGTTCAAATGCCACTGATAGTAACTCACAATCGAATAATTATTTATTTGCAATTTTTGTCTGCGACAGCATTATCATAACCATTATCGCACATTGTAAACCTATCTTTCCAGATTAGCACACGCAAAAACTATAGATGAAAGTCAACCTCAGCATCTCTTCAACCTGTAACAAAACTCATACATCAAACTAGCACTGGTACACTTTCTTCAAGTGTAATTAATAGAATCGGTCATGTAAGGTTGTGAATAGGAAAATTACACCCACTGTAGATGGACATAAATGACACAAAGGTCTACAAATCTACATTTTGTCCAATCATTACAAGAGAAAAGGCAGCATTCATATCAGTACCTCTTAGTGGCAAATCCTTGAAATATGTTTGCTCACTCACTTTATTCCTGGTCTCCTGATCCAAATCCACACAGCTGTCCAGCGGGACTCCATTAACTAGCTCCATGGTGATCACTCGAGTGGTGGTAAGCTCATCAATGACCTTAGGCACTTTGAACATGGGGTCTCCCTCCAGCAGAGCCCTGCAGGAGTCATGCATCAGATCAGTCAAGTGCCTCCAACCTACAAATGACTTGGTCAGTGACTCAAAGGCTCTTAAAACGATCCATTAACTAGTGTGAGTCATCAAATCCATTCTCAAAATTACACACCAGAGATCTAAGGGTGCTCTTTCTGCTAATTTTATAAATGATTATTTCACAGCCTTCAGAAATACAGAGTGATATAACACATCACCTTCTACCTTTCATCAAACACACCTTTCAATATTACATTAAAGTGACAGTTAATGAGGTGTTAAGAAGGAGCTCAAGCACTGAACATTCTCTCATACACGGGTTTCGAAACAAACTGCCTCTAACATATGAGCAGTTAATAAATCAAAGTCAAAAGCCAGTAGTGATCAGCATTACTAAGCTCTTTTATGGGATAAACAATCAGTGCTGGAGTGGACGCATTTGCGAGTGAACAGTGTCAGCATTGTTTTTATTAGTGTTTCTGTCACAGCACTTAAACAGGAATCCTGACTAAGTCTGAGCATCAAAAAATCTAATACAGCTGCAGTTAACTCATTTTACAACAGCAGTTCGTAATTTTCTCTGTACATCCAGGTTTACATACTCAAGCTATGCTGATATCTAGGTTTCCTGCAATAAAAGGCAAGATTTTTCATGTGACTGATGATGGTGATGGCGACTGATCCTCCTCTCTATGGTGTTGCAGTTAATCTTGCAGACACAAGCATGTCTTTGGTGATCAACTATATCTGAGGTTAGGCAAAATAGTGAAACGTGATTTTGGCCAGACTATCACTTTAAAAACTCTCAGATCATCACTGGATGTACCTGAAGCGCTTGGCGCACGCTGCTTCCCTTTTGTAGTCACACTCCCAGGCGAGTTCCCTCTGAAGAACTTCGAGGCTGCTATCAGCAAATAATCCTGGCACAAAACAGCAACTTATTTCACAAACATCCTTCTCATTGCACAGCTGAAATTCCTGCACAAGGCATAATCACGAATGTTTCTGCAAAGCTGATCATGCTGGAGCGCCCTTCTTAAAAACCAAAAACTTTTGATGTCCCTCACCGTCAGGAAGCACAATGCTCAGCTTCAGCACCGACATTAGGTTGTTAATGTCACTTTTGATGCTCTCAGCCACTCCAGGATACTGTAACACACAGGAAGGTATGCAAGCTGGTTAGCTATTGTACCTCCTAATAATGTTTGCGGCTTTTTTGTTTTTATAGATATTACTTTAATATTAAAAACTTTAAATTGACTCAGGTTCATATACAAATAAATTCAGATACATGTTGATAACTAACATGAGGAGGACATTACTGCAAAAAAACAAGGCTTCAAACCAGCTTCAGCAAAGAAAATAAACCCCAGAAACAAACTGTGTTATGCTAAAAACAAACAAAAACATGTTATTTTTCTTTCAAAACTTACATAATTCAATCATTAAGATGAAAACAAAGTCATTAATAATGACTTTAATCCTATGTAATCCCATGTATCTTCTGAGTGTGTAATGTCAATGATGGTAAAATAGCAGTAAATAATAAAAAAAAATTCTTAGGACATTTTGCCTATCAACGCCGTAATATATTCATTCATAACTTTTTTATGTAATGGATTTCTGTGAGGGAGCTTTCAGAGGCACTAAATGCTTCAGACATCTGGTTCCTATCACCACCACTGTGAACAATTCAGACTCAGTAAGTTACTCTAAAGCACAGCATTTCACATCAAACAGTAACAAAACAATCCATTGTGCAGCCCTACTTTACCTGTATCTTCATAGCCACTTCCCTTCCATCTGGTAAGACTGCATGGTGCACTTGCCCAATAGAGGCAGCCGCAAAAGGCTTGTCCTGAAATGATAAGAGCTTTTCCCGCCAGCCAGAGCCCAATTCTTCCTCCAGGACTTTCTGTATATAAGAAAATAATCACAAACACATCAGCTGGTATAAGAAAAGCAAGTGAACCTCAAAGTAATTTCTGTCACAATAAATCAGCACTTACCTGTACGGAACACAGAGCAATACAGTAAGTCCTAAACCATCATTTACTGACTGTTTCAGTTGTTCTGAACTCATGCAGTCAACTTTACAATGGCTGACAGGGACCTTAATTCAGTTGCACCCTAAAACTCAAACTTTGTGCCACACTTTAACCTTCACTACATCTTAAATGCTCCTACAACATCTGTGAACAGCAAAGAAGCAAAATGGGCATTAAAGGGAAAGAGAGGAACTTACGTTCATTTGCCAAGCTGGCATAAAGTCAGCGCTTTGTCGAACCCTCTCAAATATCTTCTGTAGCTGCGGGTTGATGAAGCTGTTGTCTAAAAATGACATGAGGAAGAAGAGCAATTATCAGCAACAAAATGAGCTATTCTGCATATCCTGCAAAAGTGTGTATTAAAAAGCTCATTGATTAGCAATAAGAACTATTAGATAGATCTGTGAAAAAAGGTCAAATTATAAAAAAACAGTCATATTGAGGAAAGTTCTGCTTCCAAGATCTGAATAAATGTTTGAAGCTGCATTATGTAAGTTTTGGGGTTTTGGCGACATCTCTGGTGAAAATCTGTAATTGCACACAAAGCACACAAAGAACACTTTGTAACAAAGGTTGCGCTTCTCCGAGCAGATGAATCTGAACCTGCAAAATCCCACCTCAAACCTCTTTTAAATTATTTCAGGCTTTACAGTCCGACTTGCAGAAGCACACAGACATCATATTTTATTTTAGTTTTTCAGTGTGACTCAGTAATGCTACACCTTTTCATTTTAACAACAAAATCTTACACAGGGCTGCCTAAAAGAAGTCTTCCTTAAAAGTGTTTATGAAAGGCTGTAGAAGAAGATCCTCAAACTGTACCTTGAATGCTAAGCATCTGTCCAAGCTTGAGCGCTGCTCCTCGCACCTTACATAATGTGTCAACAATCCTCTCAGCGTTGGCCTCTGATAAGAGCGGAGAATCTAGCACAGCTCCTGCATCTGAGAGAGAAATGTTCAAAATTTTAAAAACTCTAAATACAAGACAACATGCCTAGAGGCTGGCTTTACACAATTCACACAATCACCCCCCCCCCCCCCCTTTACCCCAAATGCAGCTGAACAAGGCATGCTTGGTCTCCAAAGTTTGCTTTTTTCCTGCCTCTTACTTTCGCACTGATGTAGCTAAAATGTAATGAAAGCTTACAGCCACCAATTAGCATCATACAAACTGCATGTCTGAAATACCAGACTTTTGCCTCAAGCTGCTGCGAGTTGCCAAGTAATCTTATAATAAATAGACTTGCCTATGTGGTTTGTGACACTGCACATCGTACTGTTATCTATGAAAAGGGACGCAAGTTTGTGGCATGGCTAAAAAAACATGCCATGTCTTCTTTCCCATACTTGCCCATTTTTACCCACAGTAGAATATCAAGCAGTGTATTGTTTGGTTGTAAACTTCTATTACTTGTCAGCTACATTAGCTCCAATGCAAAACTAAGAAAGCAAACTTTTGGACATTTGGAGCAAGGTGATTTTTTTTGGCCAACTACTGCTGTAAGAGACTGCAGAAATTTCATTCTTTAAATTACACAAGATGGTGGATAGCTGAGGGTCATGGTTACTTTTTGTTGTAGTTCTACCTGAACGTTTGCCTCCAAAAGTCTGCTTCGCTACTTCAGCAATAGCTCCCAGACCAAGACCAACAGCTAAACCTGCAAGGGAGTCCATGAAGAAGACAACAGCTGTCACATCAGTGATATTACAGTAATAGCAAAGCTTACAAAATAGAGACTCATAATTAAATCGTTAGCTTTGTGCGCCGTCATTCAATGTGATAGTATCAGTTTCAGATAGAGATGGCATGTCAGTATTGGCAGGCAACGGTATCAACTGAAATTATGAAACTGACATTCATTTGTAGGTCTTTGGACATTAATTACCACTCCTTATACATATATTCATGAAAAATATTAGATTTCCTAATAATATATAATACGAATAATAATATATTTTTTTAAATTTAACATTTATTAGTAATTAATGTATTATTAACTACTATCATTATTGTACATTATTATTAGTATATAATTATATTAAATTATATTAGTATATAATACTATATTATATATATCAATATATTATTCTTAGTCCAACTGTTTTGGAAGTAAATGATGGTGAGGTTATTCTCCATCCCTTCATCTTCAAAACTTAATCAGTATCACCCCCAAAAGTCAACTGAATAAACAAACAACATACTTTTTTATTATTAAATGAAAACATAGCCTGTCACAATTATACAATCATATTGTACTGCAACAAGCAAAATATGAGCCAGATCCATTTTCATTAGTTGGCTTGAGCCAAACAAATGTACATAAAAGAAAATCACTTCTTTCTTCTAACTCTTCCAGATCTAACCTCGAATTCTAAATTTTAGCTGCATCATTAAAAGGACCAATCAGATCCTCAACAGGCAGCGAACAGCTTTTATTTAAATGTGTAGGGAAAAAAATGTCCACCCGACCCTGAGACAGAGACAAGACCAAGTCCAAATGATGTCGAGACCGAGAGAAGACTGTTCATTTAACTCCTGACATTTCACTGGCCATAAACTAATAAAATAAAACTACAATTTCTTTTATTTTGAGATTTTGTCAAGAGGAACAAAAGGTCACGGGTTGACCTGAGGTATGCATTTAAGAATCTAAACACAATTTTTTAACACGTGTTCAGGGTCAGTTTTGCTGGAACATAGCTTTGCTTCAGTAAATCAAACATAACAGATTAACTAGTTAACATGGTTCACACTCAGAAATCACTGCAGAACGTATCAGCTGTAATCAAGACTATATCTTTATGTAACCTGATGATCTGAGATTGTTAATGAACATCACTCACCCCCAAAATTGACAAGTCGACTCATCTGTGTGGCTGGCACCTTCCGTTCTCTAGCTCGTTCACTTAGCTGGAAACATAACAGAAACCTCTGTAGCTATCAAATTCCTTCTCATAGCAGACTCAGAAGTGCACAGAACACAGTCTCTCTTCATTATTAGATTTATTACAGAATTTATTTCCTTATCTTCTAACATCCTCTATAGACAAACATAGAAGATGAGAAATCTGGAGCTTTTTAAGATGATTCATCTTGCTCAAGGTCAAGAACTCATATTTCCCACCTTCACCTGGGTTACTAGATTTTTAGTGAGAAAGTCACAAAAGGAATTTAGGTCGAGACACTACAGGTGGAAAGTGTAATTTGTCATGATTAATTTTTGCCAGCTAATTACTGATATTCATACAAGTATGTACTTGTTTTTTCTAAAAAAAATACATTTAGATATGCAACTGAGGTATCAAATACACATATGTTTGCATATATAAATTTAGAATTAAATGTTTATTTCATTGTTAAAACAATCAGGAGAAAGGCTTTTACAGAATAGATTGCTCACTGTTTTACTGTTTAATCAAGAAACACTACGCACATTTTTCAGGTCCTTTTGTAGTATATAATTACCATAAATCCTGCTATTAGCAGTAAAAAACCCTTCTGTGACATCCCTCACAATAGGGTTACAAATAAATATGTAAATATGTGTATGTACATGAATGCAGCTATTCTACAAACCAAGATTTCTGGTCCTGGATGTAGAGAAAAGCTGATTTTCAGAAAAATGATTTTAAGAATGGGCTTCAAACTATGTTACCCAGTGAGATCTCCGATATTTCAATTCCAGTTAGATTCAACAAGAAAGAAGCTTTTCAGTGAAGGTTGTGCCAAGTGTGGGTGGAAACATGCCTTCATTAAAGTGGCTAACTTTTGGAAAATACAGTTAAATGCAAGTGGACACAAATTGACAAGTCACACTGAAACATATTTCTGTTAGTTTAAGAAAAGACATAAATTATAAATGTAATTTATCCAAAAATCTGAAAAACAACTGAAGGGACTAATGTAATCATTTCTGCCTGTAGCATCTTGCCTTAAAACATGTTTCTAATGTACAGTGAAGCCACGCAGCTCCGACAAGCACAAGAAATATCCATACATATGCATTCAAAATACACAATCCACAGTAAAGGGACAGGCTGTGATTTTGTAAAGCATTAGACAAATCAATCAATCATCACTTTAGAAAATTCTAAATATGGAAGTATGTAACATTCCCTACCTTCTGTCGAACAGGCCTGGCAATGCTCTGTTTAGCCTCCCTGGCCTTTTTCATATCTTCTGGAGTCAGTCTGGCCACTACGGAGTCATGAATGAACCTCGTATGATGAAGGGGCGTCGAAATGTGCAAGAAACGAGCGGATTGTCCAGGCCAGCCGGTGCCACCCGTTGTTCCTTTGGGTGTTCCTGCCATATCTGTGGCACCCTCACTGTTTATGTCAGGTGGCATCTCTGAGCCCACAGCCCATTTTGCAGCCTCATCGAGCTCCATCTGCTCCCATCCCTCAATGTCAGGGAACTCATCAGATTTTGGGGTCTGGCAGAACAACACAATAAACCCAAATCCAAAAAAGTTGGAACAGTTTGTAAAATGCCATTAAAAACAGAAAGTAATGATTAGTAAATCCTGTTTGACCTGTATTAAACTGAAAACAGTACACCAACCATATTTTGACAGCTTCTAATATGTATTTTGACCATAACCTGCAGTGACTTATGTTGGACTATTCCATAGCTGTGTGTTGGCGCAATTTACTGATTAAGTTTTTGAGCATCCACCAAACTGCCTACCTCATCTCTTGCCATTGCAGTGCCCACCAAGCTCTCCACCACCTCTTGGGCGGCCTTGACCCCTGCGCCCAGTGTTGAATTACAGGCCATCAGTCGCATCTGCTCGCCTTGGGTGGTGGCGAAGGCAGCGCCCACCTTGCCAGCACCCCTCAGTACTTGTAGCACCTCTGACAGCATCACTGTAAATAAAAAAAATAGTAGCAGCAGATTGTTAAGTCAGTCAATAAGAATAACACTGTCAACAGAGACTTAGACTTTTATTCTCCAAACACCAAACCAAATAAAAGTATTACAGTGTTAGATAGTTGGCAAAGACAGCCAGGAAGCAACCCATGAAGGATTAAAGAGCCTGAGATGTCTACAGATACAAGAGCCAAGGAGGTAAGAACAGTTTTAAGCTGTGATGAGGAACTAATTTGGACTACAGGTTCAGGTGCCATCAAACACTTAATGAAATGGACACAGTCAGAATCCTCTTTTAAACAAATTCAAAACAAGTCTCAAAAAGTACTGATTAAGGGTGGGTGATATGACAATGTTTTATCATTATCATGATAAATTACATTACAAAACACTCTTCTGATAATATTGCGGATATTGTCAGGTTTTTTGTCTGCTCCAATTTATCAAACCTCATAAAAGCCCGAAAATATTGTAAAACATACTACGTAAATTGCAGAAACAGAGCAGAACATATTCTGAAAGAGATACCTAATAAACCATAACGATCTTCATTAATAATGAAATAAGCCAACAGAGCATAAAATAAAGACAATTTAACTGCTCTGATCTACAGAGCCCTACTGGTGACATCCCGTATAAGTAGAAACAAGGCCTTATTAAGCTGTGGTCAAGGCTTCATTATCTCAGTCCCACACCTTACTGAGTTGTGGCCACTCATTAGCATCTTGTTCCCACGCCTTACTAAGTCGTGGCTATGCATTAGGATCTCATTCCCACACGTGGCCACGCGTTATTTTTATTTATGCGGGATGTCACCAGCAGGGCTATGTACTGATCTGTAAAGTTAATTAACACTTACATGAGAGTATGAGTAACTTAAATAAACACGACCCTCAAAAATATCCTAACTAATAAGATTAAACTGGTTCCAGTCCATCTCAGAACGTATGGGAGATTAATCGTTTAACCGAGCCTATTAAAACAGTAACACAGGGTGGTACACACTGTTAACAGTGCATACTGAAGCAAATGAACGCGAGCCTATAGCTGCTGAACCTCTGCTAAGGCTACATGTTTGACGTCCTGAAATATAAAATTCTGACACAATATAAAATCTGAATTTTATATCTAGTTTCTGTGTTCACCCAGGAGGGTCAGTTCACACGCGTACACGCTGTCAGTAGGGAGTTATAACCTTACTGCAGCGCCGCTGAGCAAAACACTGCTGACTGATGAGACAAACAATCACTGAACCGATTCTCTCTCTCTCTCTCTCTCTCACTGAAACGAGAACAACAGTGGAAACGACTGGACACGCCAGAGGTCAGCTTACCACCGTTCAAACTGCCCTAAACAGTGTCTATCAGTGGAGAGCGATGTTAGCTGATGTCCTTCTAACGCTCCTGATTCACCACACTATTTTGTAACCGCTGCCGGACCCGGAAACACTAAAGCGGACGGACGTGTTCCTCGACAAATCATATCCAGAGATACCAGATTAGGGCGGGCTTTGAGTGTGAACACCCAATCATAAGCGAATACTGATCGTGACTGAGGCTAAATCTCAAACGGCCGCCTCCGTCCTACATAGTGCGCTATGTAAGCTATGAATTTCTGGACTAAACAGACTAAACAGTGCTGTGTTTGTAAAGTATGGGCTTGTACACCCGTGGCTGAATCCCAAAAGGGTGTTTGTTAGACGTATTATGCACAATTTGTGTGCAGGAGTCAGTATTTTATTTCCTGTGTGGTGCACTACGTAGGGAGTAGGGTGCCGTTTAAGATTGAGTCCACGCTCATCTTTGACGTGAACATGTTTGGATTGATTGTGGTAGACATGACCAGACGTGGGAAGAGCACCCTACATCCAACCTCAAATAAAAGTGATGACAGTGAAATAATCATTTGGGTGGAAGTAGCAAAAAAAAAAACCTATTTGATAAGGAGTAAATTAGTATATTTTTAATTGCTAATGCAATTAAAATGTAGCTGATGCAGGTCTTGGAGCCTCAAAAACCTGCATTTATAAAGCACACACTTATAATCACATATTATTCAGTAGACTGCATGTTTTTATAGCCAACTCTCCAGCACTGGTCATGCTAGTGGGCTACAGATGGCAAACTATGCTGGCAGTAATACTCACTCCATGAGAAACAATGAATCCAGCTCAGTATGACTGCATTAAGCCTTGGAAGCTCCATATGAGCCTGTGGATGGATCTGGAAACTCAGCGAGGAAACACAAATGCATCCTGTATGAAAGTCTTTTCTATTGTAGCATGTGACGTAGGCCTGTGGTACAATTTCTTCGCCTCCATCCGGTGGTTTTAGTTAACATACCCTCTACATTTAGTTAATGTAGAGGATATGTTAATGTTGATGTGTTTGAATTTCAATAAAACATGCTCATGTGAAAGGTCAGTTGATTATAGGATAACTGTTTATTACTGACAGATCAGTTCAGCCCAGTCTTGCCTCCTCAGAGGAAATGAGAACATGCAACGATTTGAGAAGCACCTTAAATGTGACTCTGTGCTAAAGGTTGCAGTTGAGGTTGTCAAAAACACTGATTCGTTCCTTGTTTTGTGCACATTAGAGAGTCTGGAGAGAGTTACCTACATTCTACCAATCGACTTCGCGTTACAGAATCATATACATTTTGCAAGAAATGCTTCTTGACTATGATTATGAATTGAGTCATCATGATCAGGAAGTTTTAGCTGACGATTAATTGTCATATTTAATTTCAATTAACAATTCAATTACCTTTTCTTCTTCTTTGTTAGCAACTATTAAAATACATACCTAAAGTGCCTGATTAGCCACCTTGCCTGCTAGCTATTAGTAAGTAACACCGGTTGTACTGTTGAATCAACACACTCACACAAACATATACAGTTACACAGAACTGTGTGTAGATATGTGAGTTAAGCAAAGCTACATGTTCTTCATGAGAGTGAACATATGAGCAAAAAATGATTGCAGTTGCATGTTATAATTGTGACAGTCCTGATTATGAGAGCACTAGAGATTCTTTGGTATTTAAAGGGAAACTCCACTGAATTTTCACAAAATTCTACATAATTAAGTATTTGAGATGTACACAAGCCATTCAGAGTGGTTTGGTGTGAAATGCTCCATTCTAGTCAGAACTGTTCACAGTGGTGCTGTTAGGAACCAGATATCTTAAGAGTTTAATGCCTCTGAAAGCTCCCTCACAGGATGTTATTTCATGAAATGTTTAGATATATACTGACTGATGTTTGAGACACTGATTAATGATGGCTATGTGATAAAGTTTTTGATTAAAATGTAGTTTAATCTATTTATTCTAATCCATACATATATATGCATGGCATCGTAAGGCAAAACAGTCCCTAAAGAAAACATATTTTTGGCAAATTTATGACTATTTTACCATCATCAACATTACATATAAAAACTCAGGAGGCATGTGTTTTGGATAGTAAATAAAATGGCTATATTTGTGTTGTAGACATTGTGACGCCTGGTTCCTATGAGGGAGAATTTTAATAATATATAAAGACTTTTCATAATGATGAATTATCTTAATCAGAATTTAATAAACTACTAACTCTTTTATAATATAAAAAATATTTTAATCAATAGATTATTTCAATCATAATTAATCATATTAATGCTGTACTGTATGTCTTTCTGTCACATTATATTAGTACTGTCTCTCTCTCTCTCTCTCTCTCTCTCTGTGTGTAGTGTTCTCCCGGTGAGAGTGACCATGAGAATGTTGCAGATGACGAGTGATGTGTGCCAAGTAAGATTTTCCCAGGGGAGGCACACGCTTGGGATGACACCTGCTTATCCTTTATCATTTTTAATGACACCTGCTTGTTTATTATAAGTATTAAGATGTCCCTAAGGGAGGGAACACACATACATACAGAGACTTTGTTGTAAGGTCAAGGACTGATAGTGACTCTGGCCTGCTTGGCTTACAGCTATTTTTAAAAAAAAATATGTTTCTTTTGGGTTGGAAATATTAGTGGGAATCTTCTCAATGATAATGGTGACAAATCAGAAAAGAGATGACATAATTGGGAGGGACAAGGGGGTGCCAGGTGCAAGCCCCCCTTGCCCCAAAGAAAGTATAAAAGGTGTGAGGTTTGTGAGTTGGCCAGTTGCTGCCCGGGCCAACTCAGATTAACGCTTGTCTGTTGGAGAGCCTTAATCTTGATAAAAGGAACTGTGCCTTTCCTGCCAATCCTGGAGTTCTGATTTTTGCTTTAATTTTTAGGTTTTGAGTATAAGCCGCTTACTTTTTGCGAGTCTGTAAGTTTTTCTACAATGAACCATTTAACATCAAACCACTCTAAATGACTCTGTTTACATCTCATGGACTGAATTATTCAGGAATTTTGTAAAATTGGTGGAATTCCCCTTTAAATTATCAATGTCTTTCCTTTTGAATTGTACAATCTAAGTTGCTATCTCTACATTTCAAGAATATTTATTCAGAAAGCTTTGAGCCCACAGTGGTAACTGTTAAGTGAACGTTAACCAGCCAAGTGTCAGGTTCTTCTGAAAGAATAGCACTATGGCTCCAACAAGCTCTGCAGCGGCTCAAGGTGCCCAGCTAGCTTTGAGAAGCGAAAGACAGGTTTCTAAGCAGGTCTACTGTCTGTCATTTCTGTTGCTATGAAAGGCTCTTCTCTCCTGCAGCTTGATTTTCTGGATTTAATAGTGATAGGATGTTAAACAGCATCCCGCACCTCCTTCGTGAGCTTTGTCTTGGAGGCTTTAATCAAGCCAACACATGAACTCTGCCAACCCCTATTCAATCCCACTGTGTGGCAGAAATACAGTACTGGAAGAACAAGAGGCAGCACATCTTTTTTCTCCTCCTGCGAAAGTGGGGGCAGAGAGGGGAGTTTTCAGCGACCATATATGGACACGCCATCAACTCGCTTTTCCTATTGGCTGCTGGCGTTTTGCAGCTGCCTGTCAACAAGATGGCCTTCTTCAATTGCTTTTCGAAGACCAAGAAACTACATTTGTTTTACGAAAACACCATCTTTTTTATGCGTGTTGAAGCCATCGCTCTGTAACAGGTCCAGCTAGCTCAGAGTCGGAAGTTATTACTGAGGTGGAGGCATATGTTAGCTGTCGAAAACAGTGTGCACGGCGATGGCAAAGTGCGCCAGGACATTGTCATTGGCTTCGTAGCTACTAGGTCGCAAGGGCTAATGTTGTTGTAGCCAAGTAGCGACTCCCCGGCCTTGTTTCTATCCTGTCCGAGTGTTTTTAGAGACGTTTTTATTAGACGTGATTGGATTTTCTCTCCTTGCTGTTGTGGGAGAACTGCCGGAACAAAGCCAAATAGCCTCACTTGTTGTTGCAAAGGTAAGAGGAAGTAACGTTTCATCGCATTGCATATTTATCTAACGTTAGCTTGAGACAGCCATTGTGCTAGGTTAGCTAGGCTGAGTTAACCTGCGCGTTTAGACTGGCTAAATTGTCGTTGACATCGTGAGAGCTAAAAAGACTGACAGCGCCACCAGTGTGACCAGATTGGCGAAATGATGTGTCAGCATGAAATTCTTAGCCCCAAATTGATAGAATTAAAGTGATTAATGCGAGAAAGGGTTCCGTCGATTTGCTTAGCAAGCTAACTAACCTAGCTAGCTTAAACTTATTCGGGCCCAGAGGTTTATCCTGCTAGCACTGTTACGTTTGGACAAATACACTGACACCAGTTGTGCTTTGTCCGACCCAACATTTATCCATACTGTACTTAATTATATCTCATCCATTTCACGTTAATAAGACAAGTTTAGTTTTATGAACAGGCGTAATGCAGAACGTCTCCTACCTTGCTAGCTAGCTAGGTTAGCTAACCGCTAACGTTAGTTCAACTTCACTAACTTAGCCAGAGACAAAACTAACTAGCTAGTAGCCACAGTTTGAGTTCAAAGTGTTTTTTGTTTGTTATAGTTCAATATCACTTAACATTTCTTTCATGCTGACATTCCAAAAAGACTGTTTAGCTGGGAAAAGTGTCGAGGAAGTAACTGCAGGTTTACTACGCTGCTAACGTTAGCTACCACGTTAGCCGAGCCAACTGGAAGTAAGTAGTTACCCAGGCTGTGTTCGCAACAATACCTCCGTGAGCCATGTTGTATGTTGTAATACAGTGTATTGACTGGTGTTAATCTCAAATACGCTTCACTCTAACCAACAAACACCTGACTGGCGGTAGTTCACACTGAGTTTATTAGTCAGTATTTGGCTGAATTAACCCACACTGTTAACCCGTACGTTTCATATACAGCGGACTAATAGATGTTAATGTAGGGTCATTTGTGTTTTACGGGGAACGTTTTGTCAGTTGTCAGTGTTTTTGTCCATCAGGCGAGAAAAGGTGCTAATCGTGCATTTTCTCCAGTGGCTTCTGAAAAATCGTTACTTCCAGTATACATCAGCTCTGTTGTCCCTTCTTCAGCTGAGCATTTAAGGAAATCAAGCCTGCAGTCTTCCACTTGCTAGCCAGCAGTAATGAACACTGAGCTACTTACCAGTGAAAAATGTATCAGCCTGTACTAGCACAGGCTTTGTGCCTTTGCCAAGGCACTTCAGACACAGTAGTAGAGATTAAAAACCCTGACTACAGTAGCTAGCTTTACTTGCCTTTGTTGGCTATCTTTAAAATATCTCTGCTCAGAAAGATGATTGTGTACTAATTTTGTATTGTCTAAGTAAAGCATTTCTAATTGACACTATTGTCCTGCGTTAGTTCAATAATAATAGAGCTTTAGACTTGAGTATTTGAAATTGGTTATTTTTATTATTTTTTTTAACAAACTGTAAAGCCTCTATATAGATTTGTGAGTTTATCTCTTAAAGAGGAACACTTCTCTGGAGTGCGTCAATAAAATTGTGGTTTGTGGTTAGTTTATTAACTGCCTGCATTGTGGTTTGATGAGCTCAGAAACCTGCCTCCTTCTGTTATCAGTAGGCATGTGTTGCTCTTCCAGCATATCTTGGTGTAAGTCATGGCAGCAATGCAGCTATTGAGCTAGATAGGCAGTAACACTGCTGACACTTGTCATTACTATATCTAGTGGCTCTAAACCATGTACAAAAATATACCACTAATAAAAGTCAGCTTCAAGTGAGGTTATATTTAGCGTAGAAACAAAACAGACAAGTGGGATGGACAGCAAAAGCTGACTTGAAGTTGAATATTAGGTGTTAAGCATAATCTTTAAGGGGTCATGCAGATGTGTGTGTGTGTGTGTGTATATATATATATATATATATATATATATATATATATATATATATATATATATATATATATATATATATATATGAATGTTTTTTTATTATTAATTATTTTTAAAGACAAGCAGTTTTTGTGGCTCTGTTTTTGACCAGCAGTGTGCTGTAGCCAGCGCAGATGTATGTTGGAAATAAAAATACTGTTAAAACATTCCCTTTGTTCTATTGCCTATACTGAGAATATTGTAGTGATACTTAACATGACACAATGTTTGCCAGTTTGAATGCATTCCAAGCATAGGGAAAAATGTGCTTGTCAGTAACATGCCATGTCTGATTTAGGTTATGTATAGTCATTGAGTAAATGGCAACACAGTGTAAGACTGAAAATACATAGAGTGATGCTGTTTATTTATTTCTTTCTTTCTCTCTCTTCTCAGATTGAAAACTTCAGTGGATGCTGCAGACCTGAACAATGAGAAAGAGCGGTGAAGTACAAAGTAACTGCCCTGCATAGTGGCAGATATGCTCTCAATGGGCTCACAATGAACCGTGACACCTTTTCCCACATACGACTGTGGTGCCCACGTCCCTTCGGCACCTACTCGCAGAATAAGCCATACAGCAATGGAACGATTGGCAGTGGGACGACGTCTACCCTTTGTAAAGTAGATGCCCACTGGCTGCACCTCCATAGAGACCGGTGGGGTTGGTGAAGAGCATAACGAGGATGTAGGCACTGAGAACACTCCTCCTGCCCCACCTTCCACTCTCCTGGCTCCTCCACCCCCTGCACCACCCTCTCCTACATCACAAATGGAGGATGGCAGGGTGTTGCTTGATACGTGGTATGTCATCAAACCAGGCAACACCAAAGAGAAAATCGCCTTCTTTGTGGCTCACCAGTGTAGTGGAGCAGGCATTCCGAGGCCTAGTGCCATGAAGGTGAAAGGAAACTGGGGCACTGATTGTACCAAGGCTAAACGTCGTCGACGATGCTCTTCCTACGACCCTCCTACAAGAGCTCAGAATGTTACCCCTGAACTGCCTTCGGAGCCCAACCCTCCAGATGATGGTATTGGAGTGAGCGAGACCGATCTGCTCTCCGTAGCTGAGATGGTTGCCCTCGTTGAGCAGCGCACAGCTATGGCCCTGCAAGGCATTGTGGCTCATGGACAGACAACTTCTAGCCACCAGCAGCATACAGTACTCCAGAATTCGGTTTCAGATCCCACACCTGTTGTATTCCTTTCAGAATCACCTCCATCTGCACCAGCCTCTAAAAGTGATTTAGAACATCAGCAGCAACAGGAATCCCGACGTGTTGCTCAGGCTGTGGCCCACTTTGAGTCTCAGCAGCAGAATCTTGACAGTACAATACTCCGGCCTCAGATTCATGGCTCGGGCAAAGAACGAGATTGTGCTAGCGAGAGTGGGGGTGGTGGCCAAAGCCATGGTCGAGGGGAAGTAAGGATCGCTTTTCGGGTGTCTAGTTTGGATCCTCGTTCCCAGTCTGAGCCCGTAGGACGCTCCAGGTGCATGTTTATGAGTTGTGGGGCTGGAGCAGGGCAGGCAGGAGCAAGGGCCAAAGAAAAGATCACGTGTGACCTCTACCAACTGGTTAGTCCTTCATCTCGAGACCCGAGTGCCATCCTGGCTGGCTCACCAAAGTCTGATCCCTTAGGGGAAGACATCACCGAGCGGCCTCCCTCCACAGCTCCTGACCCGAACCAGGATCACTGTTCAGGAGAAAAGAAGGCTGTGGCTCGAGAACGGGTGACCGGCTTCCACGTTGAAGTTGTAGTCACCGGTGCTGTGGATCAGTGTGTCTTCTATGGTAAGGACAGCACAGAGAATGTCCAAGAAGAGACTGTATGCTTTGCTATGCCTAGTGGGGTTAAACCAGCTGATGTTTCAGAGGACCCCCCGCCTGGCCAGCTGTTCTTTCTACAGACCCCAACTGCTGAAGATGAAAGTAGTACTGGGGTCTCCAGTGGAATGTGTTCTTTGGATTGTGCAAATAACAATGGACCGGTAGGAGGTGCAGTAGAGAGACCAGACAGTCCAATTGCCAGCGTGGATGATTGTGCTGATAAATCACTCTGCCGCCTCTACCGTCATGTCTCCCACGACTTTTTGGAGATACGTTTTCAGATCCAGCGGCTTCTGGAACCACGGCAGTACATGCTCATGCTTCCAGACCACATCATGGTCAACATCTTCAGCTACTTACCCACCCGCTCTCTAGCAGCCCTTAAGTGCACCTGCCATGACTTCAAGGCCCTGATCGAGACCTATGGTGTGCGTGCTACAGATTCCCGCTGGAACCAGGACCCACTGTACCGCGATGACCCCTGCAAGCAGTGCAAGCGGCAGTACGAGCGGGGGGACGTTTCGCTCTGCCGCTGGCACCCCAAACCTTACCACCATGACCTGCCTTACGGACGCTCATACTGGATGTGCTGTCGGCGCACAGACAAGGACACGCCTGGCTGTAGAGTTGGACTGCACGACAACAACTGGGTACAGCCGTGCGACATGGTTCAGGCCCGCGCCAAAAGAGACGATGGGAGGTAAAGGCTAGAGTACGGGCATTTTGGGTTCCTTCCCTACTCTCAACTTTGCCTAAACCTCATGCCACTGTAATATTTATGGTTGAGCTCGCCTCCCCTGTCTCAGCTTGTTAACCTTGCTATCATGTCAGTATCAGTTCTTAGCAGTGCACCATACTTAATTCTTACTCCCATAATACGCAGACCAGTGCTGTTGTGTGAATACCGATGCTGATTAAATGAGGTTAATGTCTGCTGCATGGGACTAGATCTTTACATGTATTTGTGAATTGGTTAGAAATTTTTCTGGCTTGGCAATCTTTTCCTAAGACCAGCTCCGAAGCCAACCCCAAACTTGCAAAAAGCTGCAGGCTAGGCACCGACTTTGTCTTGTGAAAGTAATTAAATGTACTGAGGTTGGATGTCAAGTTTTGTTTGCTGACCCTGGGGCAAAAAAGAGCAAAATGATGTCACTTTACAAATACCTGATGTCACTTTGTAATCAACCGTTCTACTGCTTTTTTTTTTTTTCGTTTTTTCTTTGTGTGGGTATGAGTGGTTTTTCTTTTTCTTTTTTCCTCTTGGTTTTTAAGGGTGTTTTCAAAACCGAAAGCATTATTGAAACAAGTCTTTGTTTCTTGTCCAGATGTTGTTGTTTTCTGCCCTACCACTGCACCAGCCAGGCTGCCACTACCTGTCTGCTTGCTAGTAGAGGACAGTCTTTGCTTTCTGTGGGTGAAAGAACAACACCAGGTTCCAGCCTTAACCCCATTCATTCTGCTCACATCAATCTGTAAAATTTTTCAAACAAAATCAAATGTTGATGCTGATCCTTTGGTTTGGGAGACCGTTGTAGGTTTCACTGTCAGCTGATGCTATAGGGAATTTTTGCCTCTAAAGTAAATAAAAGTTATTTAAAACTGGTATCTGTATCAAACTGCATTATTTTTAAATTTGATACAAGGATTCCACACCAAAGGGCCTGAATTCCAGTTGGCATATATTTCCCTTTATTAATTACAGGTGCAAGGAGACATTGTATGGTCATTTGTAATATAAAATCATAGCTAAGCTGGCAATATATTATTGCAGTACAAAAAATTTCACTATTTTTAGGTATTTATAATATAAAATAATCTAAATGTGCTTTATTATTGGCCTTTTGTACAGATTTACTTCATGCTGACTTGTGGATTGTGAATTTTGTAAGCCAGATATTCATATTGATGTAGAATACCTATTATAGCACACAATTTTTTTGAATTCCAGGTCCAAAGTGGTAAATAATTAAATTAAGTAAAAATACTTCGTAACTATTTGCTTGAAGATTGTTCTCAAGCATAAAACCCCCAAAAGTAGACAGCCACTGCCATCATTATGAGGGCATTAGCATTGACAAGGTGCTTCCAAACTGGGTCTTCGCTTATGTCTGGTAGTTGTCTAGACGCTTGTGCGACCTCCTCTTCGGTGGGCTCGGGAGCCTGAGAGCCACTCAAGCCACAGAACCAGCTGATTAGACGGACAACTGCAGATTTCTCCTCATTTGTAGCTGCAACGAAAAAGATTTTTGTCTGTGGTTCTGTATCTTGCTGTTGATGGACAGATATTAGAAGATACTCCTGTATAGTGGGTCTCAGGTTAATTTTGTAGTGAAAAATACTTTAAAAACATTTTTATGTCCACTGTGGGTAATGAGTGCCTTTAAATAACATTGTTTCTTAAATATCTTACTTTTATCCTCAACACACATGGCCTTATTTTTCTCCTCCGCTTCCCTGCGAGCTTTTCTTCCTCCTTCCTCTTCCTCCCAGTCCAGATCAACCCTGTCTACTTTAGAATGGCGCAAGCTGAAGACAAGGCGATGAAGCTTGGAAGAGAGAATTAGGCAAAATGGAAAGTGAATATGACCACAAAGATGTGAATGACTTCTTATATATTGTCAGCTGCTGTGGTTCACTTACGTGCATGTCGTCTATGGGTGCCGTGCTGTAGCTCACGAGGAGCACTAGAATACCAGTACAGAAGAAGAGCAGCACTGCGAAGTACAGGTAGTGAACCCCACAAATTAGTTTGGGGCATTTGGAAGGAAAGAGGCAGCTACCTGTGCCAAAGTAGAACTCTGGTCCCATGCGACACAGGCCCATGAGCAGGCCACCCATCAGGCCCCAAAAAGCCCCCTATCGCAGAAGAAAATGATTGCCAACGTGAATAAAGAAACCCTGCTGTGACCAAATTGTATACTGAACACTAATATTATAAGCAATATACATATATGAAATCTTAATATTTTAAGATTGTAAGATTTTAGCAGGTCAGTATGTAAAATATTAATATACAGCACTGTTTTGTACAGGAAGTAATGACATTCAGTCAGGTGTTACTAGGCCAACTTATACAATTTGGGACACCTCTCTCTACTCTGGAAGTAACTGTCCTACTTTTCCTCAAATTGGGTATATTTTTAATATGTAATTAAGCCTGGTCTACAGTTAAATAGCACGTTTTCAGCATGCATAATTTTCAAGAATATATATATAAAAGTTTGTTGAAACATAAACTTTGGGATGAAATCGGTTGAGCCCAAGTTTAGAAGCTTTTCTATACAACCACGGCCAGCTATCAGCTAGTGCTAGCTGCTCTGTTACAGGGGCACTTCAGCCAGAATGAAACATTAACCAAGGCTATGTGTCTATTCACCCACTCCAGCGGTGCCACAGGTTTCTCACAGTTGTTAGATTTTCTAATTTAAAAACTAGGAAAACCCCTTCTGATGATGATCTTATGAGAAACTACAACTGTGTAGGGGTGGATTTTTAGGGGTGGGCTGTTTTATTTATTTATGTATGTATTTACATCTTTTGCAAATGTAGAAGGAAGTCGGATTGCCAGTGTAACTGCCGAATATCACATGTACAGAACAGTATAAAAGATCAGTGGTTGAGACATGGCATTTGTATATAGTCAGTAACCAATAGTTCTCTCTGCTACACACTGTAATGCTAGGTTTACTGCACGGATTCCCCTTAATTTACTTTTAAGTCAATGGAATCAAAAATGAATGCCGACGTGCTTTGGAACTTCGCCTCAAAGTGACTCACTGCAGTGGGATGGGGTGGTGGGTGATATTACCGATAATCGTGATTTTTAAACTAGAAAATATCGTGCTTGTATCTGTATTTGTTAGCCTCAATATCAGTGGTACATCAGTGTTTTTTTTTTATCACCATGAGGGATTCCCAGTGGTTGTATGATATATTTGCATAATGCACTGTAGTAAGGGAAAACCGATAGAGGAAAACACAAAAAGGATACAAACCGATGAGGCTAAAGGATGCAATGCTGCATAACATGTCAAATAACATATTAAAGCAGCATTATGTGAGAATTCGTTTTTTTTTTTTTGCTGTTGGGGTCCCCCTACAGTTGCAGAGTGTAATTCACTTTTACACCACTGTCGTAAATACAAATCGCGTTTAGAGCCCCCCTCATGGACAGCTGTACATGATGGATTTGTTGACAAGCTGAAGGATACAGAACCAGCAAAGACAACATCAGAAGTGAAGGAAACATGTCGACTGACAAGGTAGAGTCATATCACATATTGCAGGAGTTTACATTAACGTAACAAAACAATGACAAAGTTTTAGTTTTGCTGAAATACTGCTTGCAAAATGTTATCGATGACATGGGCTATGTTGCACATAATATACGTTGGATTTATTATAACTATTATTTATTACAAGCAATTTGGTTTGCAAGGTTGCAAACTTTCAAGGCGTGACCAACCAAACTGGCATAAAATGAATTTATTTCTTTGCATGTTAGCCTGAAACGGGACTGAGGTTAAATGACTTTTGGCATCCAGAAAAACTAGGAAACTCTGCAAAAAAGGTGCAGGTGTTCTGGGCCTGGAGTGGCAATGACAGACATCATTCTTTCTATTATGAGTCAGTGTACCATCAAAATTATTTTTAAGCTGTTTTTTAAGGTAAAATTGTTACATAATGTTGCTATAAATGATTTATGGCCTCTTTAATGAAGTACAATACTAAACACATTGAACATATACACAAGTATTAGGAATATAACGGTTAATTACCGGCTCGTTGACTCTTTTCACAAAAATAGCCAGAAAGAAGACTGCTGCAATAGGTGGGGCTAGGTAACTGGATACTGATTGGATATAGTCGAACAACTGACCACTCTGGGCAGCCTGGACTACAGGGATCCAGCAAATGCTGATTGCAACGATGCAGAGTACCCACACCCTGTTAGGGGAGTAAAAGGAACATGATAGAGACAAATCTCTGCAAATACCACAAACATCAATACATTTTGATGTCTCAACAACAGGAAACGTAAAAAAAAACTACATATAGTACTGTGCAAAATTGTTTTAAACTATGTGTCTGGGTAGCAAGTGTTTTTTTTCTTTGCTTATGGGTTGGTTTCTGATGAGGGATTAAGCCTAGCACTGAACTATGTTTTGTTTCCAGTGGAGAATCTCCTTTCAGGATGCTGTGTAGTTCAGGATTAGTCTTAGTCCCTGTCTGGGAAACCAACCCTGTAAAATAATATTAACAAAAATCTCACCCTTATTTGAAGTACAATAATTGACGTAAATTTTATCATGAAATAAATATTTTTCTCAAATGGATATGTGCCACAATTGTTGGCACCCCTAGAAAGGGCAATAAACAAGAAGTTTAAAGCAAGTGGAAATATTCAGAATCTGCCAGGAAGATGTATGTCTATACTGACCCCATGCATAGTGAGGAGGATGGTTAGAGTGGTCAAAGAATCTCCAAGGATCATAGCTGGGAAATGCAAAAATTAATTAGGTCTTGGGGTTAGAACATCTCTGAAACTACAATCAGATGCCACCTACATAACCACAAGTTGTTTGGGAGGGTTACCAGAAGAAAGCCTCTGTAGTCAAATACTGACAAACTCAAGCGCCTACAGTTTGCCAAAGGTTACTGGAAGTTTCAGTGGGACTGCATTCTATGGTCAAATGCGACCAAAACAGAGCTCATCCCCACTGTGAAGTATGGCCTTTTCTTCCAAAGGCCATGGACAACTTGTTCAGATACGTGCTATCATGGACTCCATCAAGTACCAGCTGATATTAAACCAAAACTATGACTGCCTCAGCCAGGAAGCTTAAACTGCGCCGTAGTTGAATAGTAGGATAATGATCCAAAACACACATCAAAATCAACACAAAAATGGTTCACTGGCCACTGAATCAAGGTTCAAGGTAGAAAACCTGTGGTATGAGCTGAAGAGGAAAGTTCACAAGCGTGGGCCTCAGAATCTAAAGAATCTGGAGAGACTCAGTATGGACGAATGCCAATAGCGGCAAATATAGATTTGATAAAAATATTTAATGACAAGATTTAGTTGTACTTCAAATAAGTGTTAGATTTTTGTTAAGATTTTGAACGAAAAGGATAAGTAATAATGTTTCTTACAGGCTGTTCTGCTTATGTTTATCAGGGTGCCAATATTTGTGTGGAGTACTGTAGAAATACCACCTCTATGTCAAGTAGCAAATAGTTAAGCTAACACATCTGTGTTTGGTGGGCAAGGTCCTATTAAAGAAAGTGTCACAATGTGGTGCAAACCTGCCAACTATCATGAGCTCTCTGTCTCTGGCCTGAGGCCTGATGCGGGTCCATATGTCCATGGTGAACAGGGTGCTGCTGCTGTTGAAGATGGAGGCTAAGGAACTCATGAGGGCTGCTAACATGACAGCTAACATTAATCCCCTCAGACCTGAACAGAAACGAGCGTAAAGGTCATGGTAGGAAATGAAAAGATATGTTACAATAACATGGGGTGATGCATCTAGCAGAGCTGGGTCAAGTAGCCTAAGCTCATGATACAAATGTGTAAAGCTGAATTAAGAATTAACAGTGAATGGCTAAAATGTAACTGAGTAAAACACAAATGTCCTACCCCAGAAATACTTGCCGACACTTAAAAACAAGTAAAAGTATTATCATTTAAAAATGCTCAAAGTACAATCAACCCATCAAGTTTACATTATGATAAACTTCTGCAAACTATGGAAGCTCATTTCTGACAGGCTAAAATTGGCTATATTTTTATCTTTTGCTCCATTTCTGGCGGTATGTCAAAATTTTAACTTAGTACTTTAAAAGAATGACTTATTTTCTCAAAAATAAGACTTATTTTCTCAAAACATTGACTTACTGTTTCAAAATAATGACCTGTTGTCCTGAAACAATGACTTATTTTCTTGAAATGTAATTTTTCAACACGGTATGTCAAAATTTCATCTTAATAAGTCAATATCGAATAATGATAATTAAAATAATGATATTTTGAAATACTAAGTCAATATTTTTGATTAAAAAAATATTTCAAGATCTCTAATCAATATTTCAAGAAAATAAGTCAAGGCACGGCAAGTTTTATTTAAATATATAATTATTTTAAGATCAATATTTCTTGATTAAATTAGTATTTCATGAAAATAAGTCATTATTTTGAGATACTAAGTCAAAATTTTGGCATACTGCTACCAGAAACCAGCAACAGAGAAGAAAACATAGGTAATTCCCCCTCCTGGCAGGTATAGGCTTCCATAGCAAACAGCATAGTCACAGAATTGTCCTTGCAGTATTAAAAGAGCAGCGGAAATGCATCTCACCGTTAGGCATGACGGACACTACCAGTTTGGGGTAAGCAATGTTAGAGCAGCCAACTTCAGTCCCACATACTTGTTTACAGACATCCGGCACTACACACCCCACCTCATCTGATAAAGGGATGATATTGTGAGAAGCTCTGTGAAACGCCGAGTAGTCTATTTAAATCTTTCTTTAAATGAAAAGGGAAAAAAGTAATCAATAAATATGTTTGTCTGAAAGAGTTTAGTCATGTGGTATGGCTTACCAGGGTACAACACTCTGCTGATCATGCCTGGCAACACCATGAGAAACATAGGGAGCAGCTTCAGGTACCCACACAGGATACACCCGGCCTTCACATGAGTTAGACTGCGGGCAGCTAAACAGCGCTGCACAATCACCTATAGCACAAACCCAAGTGAATTTAGGGAGTGTAGTCAAGTAAAAGTACCTCTCCATAGAAAGCAGAACTACAGAAGTACCAGGCCAAAAAAAAAGTACTTAAGGGGGCAAACTGGCCTAAAACTAGCATTTCATGTTATTGCAGTAGTCTGTACTGCAATATTATATACCTCAGCCTCATTTAACAGAATTCACAATGTTATTTATCATATTTATGTTTCATTCTCGTTCATTCTCTCACAGCAATACTCAAAAAATACATCATACAACCACAGGGAGTCACTGTGGTGTCAACCAATCCTGATGCTAGCTTAGCCTCTGAGCTACTGTCTAATAAATACAGCCAAACTAGCATTAGTTGTATCTCTTACCTCAGTCACTGCATCATTACGTAGCACAAAATGGATGCCAGAGTTGTTTTTTTACGCTTTTAGCCAGAAAAAAAGGAGCTAAACTCAGGTACATAGAGCTAGACAGCCACTTAGCTACCTTGCTAACTCCTCATCTGATGAGTCATTTCTATCATGTGAGTGACCTATTCTCTTCATTTACACACTTAAAAAAGCTGGTTCTTCAAAGGTTCTTTAGTAAAGAAAATGGTTCTATATAGAACCATGAACAGTCAAAGAACCTCATGCATGATTAAAGGGTTCTTTGCATCATGAAAGTGTTCTTCAGATTGATGGAGAATGTGTTTTATGTGGTTCTATGTAGAACCTTATTGAAAAGCGCTCTATGTAGCACCAAAAAGCGCTTTTCGATTGTTACGATCTCAAGCCTGTAACAATAGAAGAACCTTTTTTTGGTGCTATGTAGAACCCTTTTCAAAATCTACAGCCCAGTTTCCATTAATCTGAAGAACTATTTAACGATGCAAAAACGCTTTAATCATGCAAGGGTTCTTTGAGTGTTCATGGTTCTATATAGAACCATTTTCTTTACTAAAAAACCCTTGAAGAACCATTATTTTTAGGAGTGTAAGTGATCTGAAGACAGTTACGACAGTTGTATGGTTCGGCTTTCAAGCAGTCATGTTAAATGTCAAAAAGCTTGACAATGTAACAACAGAAGAACCCTTTTTGGTGTTATACAGAACCACGTACAACACATTCTCCATCAATCTGAAGAACAAGTTCACCATGTAAAGAACCATTTAAGCATGCAGATGGTTCTCTGAGTGTTCATGGTTCTATATAAAACCACTGTCTTTACTAAAGCACCCTTGAGGAACCACGTTTTTTAAGAGTGTGTGTTCTGGGATAAATAATGCACTTTGAGATTAAACAGAACCAGACTGTAGTACCAGTAGAGCGAATATTCCTCTTGGACTGGTTGGTTCAGATATTCAACAGTAGAAATGTAGCTATTATTCATTTTTAAAAATGTGCCCATGAGCAAAGTAGGCACAGCTCACCTGGTCACTGCACCAGTACCAACACCCTATAATGGCAATGCCAAATAACACGCCAGGCCACGGCAGGTCTCCAGTCACAGGGTCTCTCAGCAGATGAAAGGCATCTTCTCGTGGGGTGTAACACAATGGGGTGATATTGTAGTGCTGAGGGTCTAGGGACTCTCTCATGGATGGGGAAGGTAAAGCTAATCCATATTTCTCAAGTAAGGCACTGTAGCCTCCGACCTCCTTAAAGGCTGTCAACAAGAAAACAATAAGGAAAAAAGGTATGACGTACTTTCAGGATCGCATAGCATTCTCCTGAAAATCGCCTTGCCTGTTTGGTGACATGCACTAGCTTGGCCTCATAGGTATAACCACACTCATGTAACACAATATGTCCCATACAGAAGTCAGAGACCACCATTTATTTATTTATTGAATTTCCAGTGAAAACAACCATTATTCAGGTATTCAGCCTCAGGAAAAAACAGAAAGCATCATTTTAACAGGAAATTACATAGAAGCCTCAACAACAAACCATTTTTTTCAGTATTAGTGTGTCCACTCTGTGCCTTTATTACAGTGCCCATTCTATTTGGAAGACTTGCTTTCAATTTTTCTAAGAAATTGGCAGGGATTTTTTTTCAAACCTCCAAAGTTCAGTCTAAGTAGTTGGTTGCACTTTCTACTGCTCACGATCCAAGCAATCCCAAACACCTTCAGTGATGCTGAGGTCTGGACTCTGAGGTGGTCAGTCTATTGTTCTGAAAACACCAGCCTGGTCTTTGTTTGATTTGCAAATTTTCTTCTTTTTTTATCTATTTCCTTTTTTCAGAAGCAGCTTATTGACAGCTACACATCCTTTCAGACCCAGTTCTCACAGTGGAAGGATGGACAGGTTTAGATCTGAAGTAAAAGTGGAGCTTCATTTTCTCCTCTCCCTCAAAGATGAAAGCACTGTTTATCTGACGGTAACTGTTTTGATGGTGTTCTGGGTCTTGCACGGCTGTTAGGAGTTACATTTTCTCTGTTCTCTTTTAATAACGCAGTTTTTGACTTTCCCACTGTGCAAGTGGATTATCTCAAATCTAATCTCCTCAGAAATCTCCTGTAGCCATTTTAGATGCACATGAATTTGGGTCGTTGCTTGTGTGAATGTTAGTGTCTCTTTGAAAGGGAATATAAAGTCAGCTGTGGCATCATCATTAGTTTTAAGATTGGAAGGATGGAAGAGTTAAAAGGGTACACCAAAGTACAGAGTGGACAAATGAAATACTGACCCTGCTGAAAAAAAACATAAAAGCTATTAAGTGTTTCTGTTGGTTCCTGATAGTTTTGTAATGTGTTCTGGTTTTTATATTGTGTTGATATCACAGTGTTTGATGGTTGGACATTACTATAAATGAAAATCTAGTTGCACAGTACTATTTTTCCAGAGAACGACACAAAACTTACAGAAGCCCATGAGGACGAAAGCTCCAGCAATGATGATGAAGGTCTGGACAGTGTCAGTGTACATCAGAGCAGCCAGACCACCTATAGAACAGTCGAATATGACTTTTAACACATCGTCAAGATTTACACAGGCAACTTTTATCACAGGCAATCTGCTTGATAAGGCCTAATGTAATGACTACAGTGGCTAAATAGAGTGAATATAATAGTTACAATGACAATGTATCTACTGTAGTATCTACACTCTTGAAAAAAAAGGGCTAAACGAATCCACAAAGGGCTCTTTGGAGAAATGGCATAGAAGAATCATGTTTGGGCCCCTAAAGAACCTTTCAATGGATGGATCTTTAAAGACATATTTTTGTAAATGAGATCTGAGTGTGAAGGAGTAGTACATCTAAGCCAACAACTATGTAGAAACCTTTTTTTTTAGATGTGGGTTGTAACTCATTCACTCACTGCCTGACATTCAGCATGCTGAAAATTCTCCACAAGGGGGCATCATTAGCAGTCTAACAGCCTTTGTGGCTTCATAACAGCAGTGCTGTGCATCAGTGACACTGCTCAGAAGAGCTTTGATCTTTCTTTGAATGTTGTCATGTATGTGCTCGACTGTGTGCAGCGAATCATTGAATCATTTTCAAGCCTCTGTTTGTTTCATGGTTTGTTCACTTTCGATAATGATTCAATGGTGGTTAGATCTGCTGAGGACAACTTTCCTGGCATACATGAAACCAGGATTTAGTAGTGTGTACAGGACAATTTCGTTTTGAAGAAAGAGTGCCATGAGGTTATATTATTGCTCCAAAGGGTATTCGGCCCTGTAAAAAGACCTTAGACATTCTATGCCATTGCAGAACAATCACTGCACCTAATGACACTCATGAGATGGCTCTGTGGCCCATACTACTGTGAATCCACTATTATGTTCAATAGTTGTTGACATTCAGGTTTGAAGCCAGACTTTGGCTTTCTCCAAAGGTAAACATGTCCAGGATTGACTCATCAGAACATATTGTTTTTTCCATTTCTCTGGAGCTCAGGTTTGAATTGTTGTGCAGTGGCTTTGGATGCAAGCAGTTTCCAAGTGGTATAAATTTTGAAGCTCACCATGTGCAGTGTTTACTGAGACTGAGTCACAGAATGCTTACTCAGTTCTATGGTGATTACAGAGGGCTTAGTTTTGTAATGTTGTCCTTTTCTATCTGTCATAGAGCTTCAAACTACGACTATGGTTCCTCTTGGCCAATGCAGTTTGTTTGGCAGACTGTTGCTGTCAGAAACCTCATATTTCCAAAAAGGTGACTTTACAGAAGAAGAAAGAACAGTGGACCACTTCTGTTGGTCTATTCATCATGAACTTTTGACACAATGTAAAGGGCAGCTTGCAATCCCAAACTATGGCAAAAACTAAAAAACAACAAATTTGGAGATATACGTTTTTGTCCTGACAGCAACGATGTGTTACTATGATTTTTGAGACTGTTCCCCTGACTCACCCTGACTTGTGACCATGGCATCTGCAGTTTATCACCTATTTTGCTTCTCTGAAACTTTAATTAGCCCCACCTGTTAAAGATAAAAATCCAATCTGAAAGTGCAATTTTCAAATTGCAAGAGCTATAATTTTAATTATATTCTATATTATTCAATGTTGTCTTTACAAGTTTTAAGCACGGAAATTTAACCTTATAACACAGAGCTCCTGAACTGGCTGTCTGGCACACAGCACACAGCGTTCAATCTTTAAGCCTGAACACACTGGATATGCTGGTTGTCTTGGCACAGCTAGGAGCTTCATTTATAGAAAATAATCGCATTTCTATTGCAGTTGCAATATTGGTCAGAAAAATTGCAATCACAAAGATCTTTTCCCCTACTTAGATGAACAGCCATCACATACTGCTAACACCCCCACTTGTGTAGCTGCCTTTGGAATTCTTGACAGACTTTTTTCATGTGCCGTTTCTCTTATTTTACCAGCACAGAACATAAATGATATGAATTTCACCTGTGACAGTGTAGAGTGCCGTAATGGCGAGCAATGCAATCACTGCGATGTAAATATTCCACCCGAGTGCCTGCTGTATGAACACTGCTCCAGCAAACATGTCCACCTAAAGCAAAGGACAGAATGAAAACTCCCAGTGGAAGCTTTTTTGGAACACTGCCAAAACATTTCTAATGACAAACAATACAGTACTTTGTAAAAGTCCTAGGCAGAAAATGGTAATCATTGAGTTACATGGCCACATAGTGAGCAGTAAGATCCCATTGTTTTGAAGTAAATGTGTCCCAAAGTCTGAAAATCTGTGTAACATTAGGAACTGTCAGTAACAAAACACATATTTTCTGAACTTTTTTGTGTTTTAATAAACATATTATGATTTTATGTGTGTGTAGCTGTTCAAACCTGTGTTTGCTAGTAATTTTCAGGTATTTTGGAATAAAATTGTGTCTACCGAAACAGTCACTACTGAAACATTTGGTACAGTTTTGGTAGTGTTCTGACTGTTTGGTAAGGAACAAAATGGAATGTTCAATCATTTATTATTAATAAAATTGAACATAGTTAAGGTGTAGGTCACTCAAAGCAAAAGGATTTTAGTCTAAAGTCCAAGTAAGGTAAAAGCCTGAAATGTGTTTTGAGCTCTGACTTTAAACCAGTTTGGTAGAATGATTTGTATAGTGTTTTTACTGGAAAAAAACCCCCAAAAAAACAAAACACATACTGCTGAGATAAACTGTTGTAAACATTTTTCTTGGCTATGTAAGACACTGGCACAGTACTGGATATAATTCAGCTTCTCCTGATTCACATTTGTACTTACAGAAATCTTTGTGAAGATGTAAAGGAAAAGCGAGATGACAGAGAGGTACAAACTGATTCTGGTCCCACCAAATCTCTTTTTCAGGTACTGTGGCATTGTGATCACCTATTGACAAGCGGAAGGCATAAAATCCAGAACAGTTCTGTCCATGCATGTGCATACAGTTACTCAGATAATCACTCGGAAAATGTAATATCTTCATCAATGAAAAGGGAACTTACTCCAGCAGTTAAATAGACCGGTACAAACAGCCATCCCAGCAGCAGCACAATGAATAAAGCCTGAAAAAAGAGAAAATGATTAAAGTAGGGCCTATAGCCACAACATACACAACATGTCATGTTGCTGTGGTAGAGTATGATGGATTATATATTAACAACATGGATATGACTGACTGGTACTATTTGAACTCAAATTTGATTTCTTAGATGACTGTAATACTTTGGTCTGTCAAACACCCACAGAAATATCTGTACGTTGTGCATATGAAGTCATATGAAAAGAAAACATGGTCAAACTACATTTTGTTGATTTTCTGTGAAAATAAGTGAACACATCCTCTACTGAGAACACACTTCAACATAACATTTTTTTCTGCTAAGTTTATGGCACAATTTCTGTTTATTTGCCGAATCTTACATCTTAAAAATTGTTTAACTTAAGAAAAGTAAGTTAAAATGTAGTTTAGCAAACTATTATAACAAAAAAACACAAAATTAAAATGCGCAGAAAACTCTGTAGAGGGTGTGTTCTTCATTTGACCAGGGGTACTTAAACACTTATACATATATGTATAAAGAGATACAGTCCGACTTACATTCCATTCAAAGCTTCCTACAGCTATTCCACTGGCAGCCCCTGTCCCTGCAAGGCCAACAAAATGGCCACTGCCAATGTTGCTTGCAAACAGAGAAGCGCCAACCTGATAGAATGGAATAGAAAAAATCTTTAACAGTTCATGCATTTGCTGATTTTATGACAGTGGTAAACTTGCTGTTGCAGCAGAATTGAAGGAAAAACAGCTCCGACCAGGAACAGGTAGATCACCCTGCAACAAATATGTACAAAGCAAAATTTGTTATATCCCATAAATGATAAGCTAGTAGAAACTGTAGGGATGCAGATTACCTCCCGTAATCAAGTCAGAATATTTTTTAATATAGGAATAGTAGTTCTTTGTCTTTTGTGTCTCTGTAAGCTCTGTGTTTCCCTGAGAAGGACGCTGTGCCATGAGATAAGGACGTGTTTATGTCCATCTCCAATCTTTCCTACCAGACATGGCTGTGGCTGATGGTACAGGAGCTGGAACTGGGTTTTTCCATCATCGTATGACACCTGCGGGTGTCCTCACACCCACTACTCCCGTTGCGTGTGAGGTTATGTGTGTTTGTGTAAACATGTTCACCAGCGGAGATTATTTCTCTATTTTTTTATCCTTCTTTCAATTATGTTCCTGTCATCCAGAAAGAAAAAAACATTTTTCTTATAAAGTAAATATAGTAATTATCTATTTCACTTTTAAAATTCAATGTGTGGTCTTCTCTTTAGTGTTCGGGGTATATCACATCACAGAAATTATGAATAGGTGTTTTTCATACATTTCTAAATGTTTATTTCAATCACGCTGCGGTAAATTATCCAACAAAACAAATCACCAAGACTTACTGGCCACCACACCATGGTCCGTCCAGCAAGGAAGTAGCCACCTACTGTGCCACGATTAGTCCTAAACATGGACTGAGAAACAGAGAAAGGAAAGTAAATCTATGGTTTCCTTATATTACCATCACTGAACACAAATTAATTGTATTTTTTCCACCCTTTCAGGGACTCTGCATGAGCTATGCAATACAATGCAAAGCATATCAAATGAAGGCACTGAAGGGTCGTTCTTTCACTGATGTGGCAAACGGGATACGACTTTTCATATGTAATCCAAGTGTAAAACGTAGTCTGTTAGATTGAACAACATCAGTAAAGTTGTAACACCACTGACTGACACATCACTGAGAAAAGTACTAAAATCTGAGCTTTTCTACAGTGCAGTCCGTGTTGGTTTTAAACCACGAATATTGCATTCTTTTTATTTTATTCCAATTTTAAAATCACAATGTTTCATGAGTAACACTACTGACATTTCTTGTGACACAGGAAGTTGACAGTATTTTAGCTAAGTGTATCAGAAATATAGAAAGAGATTTCATTATATTCTCACTCTTTCTTCCTTTGTGATATCCATACAAGAAATAATTAAAAAAAGATACTATATTTTTAAATGACATTTCAATTTCTGTAACACCACTGACAAAAAAAATCTCAAGGTAAGATTTCTTCTCATATTTAAAACAATTTCAACATGGACACACAATAATTCGAATGCATTATTACAGTTTGTACCAGGCATAAAATTTGGTGCCTGACATAAAAATAATACTTCAGCATCTGTGAAGTCACTCCTGTGACATGTTGTTTTTTGGTTGGTTAATTTAAGAATAGAACAGAGAATACACATTCCTGTGATTTATTCTAATTTGGAGCTAATTTTTATGGCTTCAAAGTTGTGGGATGCCATTTGCCACTTCAGTGGTAGAATAACCCTACAGCAAAGTACATTTCATTGAGATGGACTTAATAACTTTCACACACAACCACTTGAAAAACAGTAAAGCACTAACCCAAATTCCCACGCCGATGACAATCACAAAGTAGCCGAGAATCACAGTGATGTCTGCTGGGTTGCTGATGGTCACTTTATCCTCAGTGAAGTTCATTTTGCCCAGTTTCAAGACGAACTTCTAAGCAATCTTATTTTTGAATGGACAAATCTCAGGTCAGCGGTGCTGAGGTGCCTCAAGGAGGATAAGATTTCTTTAAAATAGTATTCTGTAGTCTGAGGGTACAATCCAAGACCTTTGTTCACAAGAAAAAAGCTGAAGAAGGTATTAGCGAAAATAATAATTAACACATTGCCGCACTGTCAGGAACGGGAGACTGATGAAGCGTTTAACTGTTATCAATGACGAACCTCCTATCTAAAGTACAACTTACTGTATTAATAGGTAATAAGCTGAATTGAAGGCAACATGATACACTATATGGCCAAAAGTACAACTGACCATCACATCTATATGAGCTTGTTGGACATCCTATTCCAAAACCATGGGCATTAATACGGAGTTGCCCCCTTTGAAGCTATAACAGCCTCCACTCTTCTGGGAAGGTTTTCCACATGATTTTGGAGTGTATATGTGGGAATTTGTGCCCATTCAGTCAAAAGAGCATTTGTGAGGTCAGGAACTGACGTTAGATGAGAAAGTCTGGCACGCAATTCATGAAAAAGGTGTTCAGTGGGGTTGAAGTCAGGTCTCTATGCAGGCCACTGGAGTTCGTCCACACCAAACTCATCAAAATATCTTTATGGAGCTCACTTTATGCACGGGGCACAGTCATGCTGGAGCATAAAAGGGTCTTCCACAAACTGCTGCCACAAATATAATGTCTAAAATGTCTTTATATGCTGTAGCATTAACATTACACTTCACTGGAACCAAGGGGCTGAGCCCAAACCCTGAAAAACAGCCCAGACCATTATCCCTCCTCCATCAAACTTCACTCTTGGCATTGCACCAAACCTAGATTCATCCATCAGTCTGCCACATAATGAAGTATGATTTGTCATTTCAGAGAACATTTCCACTGCTCCAGAGTCTAGTAATGGCATGCTTTACACCACTCCAGCTGACTCTCGGCATTGCACAGTGATCTTATGCTTGTCGGCACCTGCTCGGCCATGGAAACCCATTTCATGATGCTTACGAGTTCTTGTGCTGATGTTGCTTTCAGAGGAAGTTTGGAACAAACTTCTCTGATGCAACAGAGAATATTTTATGCGCGATGTGCTTTAGCACTTGATGGCCCCACTCTGTGAGTTTGTGTGGTCGACAGCTTCATGGCTGAGTTGTTATTGCTCCTTTCATTCCACAGTCATAGCACTTGCAGTTGACCATGGCACATTTAGCAGGGCAGAAATTTCATGAACTGCCAAAGGTGGCATCCTCTGACAATGCCTAGTCGTGGTTTGCAGGTGCTATTTAGATTAGGACAAGGTTAAGTGCACCTTTAATGTAGCTAGATTTCAACTACTTGCTACATCATTAATACATATTAATATCAGATATTGTAAGATAAATTTCTGCATTCCAGGAGCAATTGCGGTGAACACCTGTTACATTAAGGGTCCCCTAGGTAGATACCATAGTAGTTGTTGTTACTTATGTGAAGTATACTTCTTTAGCTAACCACTAAGGTAATTGCCTCTGTAGGATTGCCTTTATGGTTAAGTATTTCCAGTGGAAAGTAATCTCTAGCTTAATTAAGCTAACTTAATTATCTGTTTAGTTATCAGCTAACTAAAAATTGCCCTTCTAAACACTGGGTTTTATTCATTAACTGGCCTAAAAAAACATCACAGACCACCAATTTCTTTCAAATGATCATCTTTGAATCCATGTGATCTCAAAACGTCAAATATTTAGTCGTATTGTTGTCATAATGTGTGCGTCATATGTTAGTCCTGCACAACTGTAGATGGACAACAGTAGAAAAGAACCAACCAAAGCATGAACTAACAAATGGGCCTTTCAGTGAAGGAAGAAAACATTGTTCTTAAAGAGGAATGATCAGGTTAGAAATGCATGAGTGAACTGGAGTGATTCACCAGAACACTGAGGTCTAGTTAATAATCACAGTCATCAGAGCATTTTGAAGAAAGCAAGAGGAGCTTAGTCAGTACACAATTAATCACCTTGCAGTTTCGTTGAAACGTTTATAAGTTCTTCATATAGTTGCTGTTGGAACAAAACCTTCTATCTCCAAAATGATAACTTTAACAAGAGAATGAAAAACTTTCTTAACTTTAAATGAAAGTTAACGTAGCAAAATTTCTTTCCAAGTCATTCTGGAGCATTTCTATTGGTCCGTTCATCATGACATTTTAACACAAGGCAAAGGCTAAATTGACTTTTCAAATTATGCTAAAAAGAAAAACAACAAAAACAGAAATTAAAAAGAATTATACTAGCAAACTATATTGACAGGTTACTGAGCTCATTAGCAGGGGTAGATATTATTGACTACTTTATTGCTAAAATATTGTTTTTGGAAGATTTGTACTTGAGTATTATTGAATTTGGTTTCTTGTACTCTCAATTATATTGTCAAGAGAAGCACTTTTTTACTCCTTTCTTTAATAAAGAAGATCGTTCTATATAGCGTATACAACCCTTTGCATGATTCAATGGTTCTTCAGATTGATAGAGAATGTATTGTATATGGTTTTACTTTTAGACCTTAGCGCAGCCTCTGACTCACACTATTTTGTTGGATTGCCTGAGGTGTGGTGTTGGCGTCCAGGGTCCTGCATTAAAGTGGTCTGACCTTTTATTTTGAAGAGACACCTCTTTCTATCAAGATGGGTAACTTTTCCTCCTTCTCAGTGCCTATTACTTGTGGAGTACCTCAGGGCAACATCTTGGGCCCTATTTTGTTTTCTTTATACATGCTCCCCCTTAAGGTTCATTTTTCAGAAGTACAAAATGTCTTATCACTGGTATGCAGATGACACAAAATTTACCTCTCACTTAGCTGGGTAAAAATGGCTCACTGCACCAAGTGCTGGGTGTCAAAGAACTTCTAAAACTAAACCAAGACAAAGGAAACAAAACATGTGTGACAAAGGACAAAATGTGTCAAATTTATTCCAGTCAATGACCAGTCATTGGTCAAAACTGCACAATCTCTTTTTACATTGTTAGATTAATTTCTTCATTTTGTTGATTTGTATTGTGCAGCACTTTGTCTTTGTAACTTGATTTGACTGATATTGCTGGCCTATACTATATCTGTATAGTATACCTCTCAGGGTAATACAAAATAGAGCAACAAAACCCTGCTCACACTATAGAAGAGTTCATAATGTTAATTAATGCAATGCCTTCTGAAAGTATTCAAACCCCTTGGAAATTAAACATTTTCTGGATTACCATGTCACATTGTTCCAATCAGTTAGTGCATTTACATGCACTTAATAATCTGATAACTGCAGAAAATCAGATTTTGTCAGTAATCCAATCAACACATTTATGTGCACTTGGATGATCAAATAATAGGAAAAGTCTGAGTTTACATGAATTAAGCAATAATCAGATTTCTGCTTTGCAACCAGCCAGTAAACTCACAAACGACATGATGTAACCAATGTTAAATTTAAACTTCATGCCATGGCTTTTTTTTAAAACATCGAGCCACTTCACCGGAATTATGAAAATTCATCATCTAGAAGATGAAGAACATTCAAATCCTTCATTTCATGTATTTTTGAACGAAGCTGAAACCAAAGTGTTTTGTTGTTATCTTGTGGGTGCTGTGTTAAACGCTACTTGCCTTTTCCGGTACCAGTCTGTTTTCGCACATACACAGACTGAGAAATCTGAAAGAAATCAGAGTATACATGTGCTGAGAAATCCAATTACCAAGCTAAAATCCAGCTCTTTTTATAAGATTTCTAGACCTTACTTGGAAATCGGAGTATGCTGTTTACATTTGAATAATCAGATAACTACAGAAATCCAATTATGATTGGATTAAGTGCATGTAAACACACTCACTATGGTTATTGTGAACACTTGAATGCAACACTAGAGGTGTCAGAATACCACTTTTTCTTTGCCAATACAGATGTAGAAACTTTGAGCTACTATCATATACTAAGCTGTAAAACAAGCTATTTTTAATTGAAGCACTTCACTAAAGATGTGCATCTTAAAGTAGGCAATCATTCTTGAACTAGGAAAAGGTTATAATGAATAATGAATAATAAATATCCAAGTACTTGGATCTTCCAGTCAGCACTGTTGAAACAATGCTTAGGAAGCTGCATCACCCACACTAAAGGCATGAGCTCAAAACTCAGCATCTAAGAAACACACAGACGTATGCGGGAAGCCACAGATAGGGCAACAGTCAAACTGAAAGAGCTACAGAGTTCAGTGGCTGAAAGTGGAGTAAAGGTGCGCTGGCCCACAATATTAAGAGCTGTGCATAAAGTGGCCAGAAAGATGCCATCACGCAAGTATAAAACATCAAAGTACGTTTAGAGTTTGCCTGAAAGCATCAAAGTGACCCAACTACAATGTGGGAAAATATTTTGTGATCAGATGAGACTAGGATAGAGTATTCTGGTCAAAACTAAAAGTGCTGTGGTACAAACTAAAAAATGCTCATGCATCAATACATATTCTTCCTGGTGAAGTATGGCGGTGGGAGTGTCATGCCTTGGCGATGTTTTGTTTCACAAGAGGAAATCTAAGAAACTTAAGTTTGGGTGAAAGTTCATCTTTTAGCACAACAATGCCTTAAAACATGGGTAAAGCAACATTGGAGTGACTCTAAAAATCTAAAAGATTACAGTCCTGCTATCAAAGCCCTGACCCCAAACCTACTGAAAATTGCAATCCACAAGCAACCAACCATAAGAGCCTGCTGCAAATGTGCCAAGATGAATGAGGAAATCGAAGCAAAGCTGGTATATAGGTACCATAAAAGATTTAGAGTTGTTATTGCATCAAAATCTCACTCTTCCAAATACTGTGTACTTTGAATTCTTCAAGCAAGATGCTTGTCATATTTGCAGATACATAAAGAAATAACTTATTACAAATCAATTATTTTGTGAATGTAACACATTTTTTTCCAATTGGTCTTTTTGTTGTATCACATAGAAATCAAGAAAATATTGATTAATGTTCAAAGGGGTCTGAATACTTTGACAAGGCACTTTATATATAACTTTAATATGTATATACAGTATATGAGTGAAGACATAACTATAATTATATTTGTCACTTTTAAAATAGAAAACTGCCTGTTTCGACCACAGGCTGCAGAAGTATTTGGGCAGTACTGCTTATTTGGCTTCGAGCTCTCATTTGGTTTTGAAATGTGAATGACTCAAAGGAGCCATTTTGAACAGTACAACAAAAAACTTGCAGTCAAAATGATGATTTATTGTGATGCAAAGCAGCATATTACCAATTCAAACAGCCCATTTTATGACATCAGCGGTGCATTTTTGACCCAGTTCGTATCAGACAGACAGAGCGGTTTATCTAATGATGAAAATGGGTCATCCAAGAGCTCCTTCTCTTTGCTCTTAAAAAATATGTACATTTTTATGATATTACACACAAGAACTTAGGAATCAAATATACAAAAGTCAGCCATTTGGTTCTCACCTTGATTGCATGAGTTCATCTTTAACATGAGACAAAATAAACATTGTTAGATGCAGTTTATGCACTTGATAAAAATAGATATTCAAGAGGACTGACCACTGCCAAGGTACAAGGATGGTCACGCTTGTATTACACCATCCTATTAGGGGTGTAACAATACACTCAGCTCATGATTTGATTCAATTCACAATATCGGGTTCACAATGTGACATTCTCATGATATTTTTAAACAAAATCTGTAGGAAGAAAAATGCAGACTCTATTCATGTTGATGCACAACCTGCTAATTACACTAGAGCTGACCCTGAACGTGCTGGTGTGGATTAAGAAGATTGCGACCTTTGGTGTTCAAACAATGCAGCTGCATTAAATGGCATAATAAACAGAATGCAGCTGGCATCTTCACGATGTGCATGGTCTCATACAGTTCCAATGGAAGAGTCATAGTGCTGGCATTGGTTGGGTAAAGTCTTTAAACATTTGTGAAACTAATATTTATGGTTTTTGTAAATGTTTCTGGCTACTCTTATAACTTTACTTTCGAAGACAGGAAAGGAAGTCCCTGGGGCTACTCTCAGTTAATAATAAAACATTATGGCTCAAACAAAATCAGACATTACACTACTGTAAACAAACCATATTTGATATTACAATACGTTTCACATAAAAAGCCTTCAAATTACTCTCAACTGTATGATAGAAACACATTGATCAGTTGCAACTGCAAATCGCCAAACTTTCCTGATGTTGCAGATGATATGTAACTGATTCCATTCATATACACTTGACAATGAAGTGCTTCAAAGTGCCAACATTCAAATATTTTTAACAGAAATTGCCATAGCATTTGTAGTATCTGCTTTACTGAGTGGAGGGTGACTGTTTTATTAGTTCTTGTTTTTTTTCTTTTGTTCTGTTTAACGTGCTTCTTTGTTAAATTTTAAATTTGCAGAAACACGATTGACCTCAGTGGGACCTCCCTGTGTATTAAAGGTTAAATTAAAATACAAAATGATATTTAGACAAAGTTAATTTAGGTGCAACTTCAACAAAAAAAATAACCAACAATCAATTCATCTGAACTTCATAATGCAATCAGTCTCATTTCAAAGTAAGAATGTGGGATTTGAACATTTAGACCTGTTTTACGGTATTTTTACAAGCTGGTGTCATTCTGGTTGTTTTGTAGTCCACAGGTGCATATATATATATATATATATATATATATATATATATATATATATATATATATATATATTATATTTTTTTTTAAATAATTTTAAATTTAATTCTTTTATTTTTTAAACAAAACAATCTTCATTAATTCGATTCTTCATATGAAAGATGCTTACAAGACATTTCAGGTCTACACCCAAAGAAAAATTCAAAAGGAACTGCAACCACCAAAACAACCAACATCAACTACGAGATGTAAAAATTCAGTCTAAACAAGAACATATGTGACAGCTATCAATGTGGTATTGTTTTTGAGGGGATTTAAAAAAAAAAACAAAAAACAAAAAAAGCTACATTACACCTCCTACAAAGAAACTGTGTTCACCAAAACAACCAGAATCATGAAGTAAAAACTCAACATAAACAGGTCTAAATGTCAGATCCCAGATTTATTCCTTAAATAAAAATCACACGTCCTGATTTGCCCTTCTGGTCCGCCTCTCTCTGTCATCTGTCTTCCGGCTAAGTCTCTTTTCCTTACCCTGCTTCTCCAAGGCTGACCTAAGGCGAGCCAAGATGTGTTTTTTGGGGAACTTTAAAGTGGTACATCCAAACTGGCTTACTCCTCCAGTATCTCCAGGCAGTTTCTCACGTCTCTGGACCCAACTGCGCCATCCAGGCTTCCAGCAGTACACACTGTCGTAAAACCTTGAGCCGTTCTCACCGCCCAGTACGTATATCCGCCGTTTCCATCTTGCGACCCCTCCGGCAGCAATGCGTCGTGGCAGGCCTGGAAAAACGACAGGGCTGGGGGCACGGTCGCTACCACCGCCGCCTCCTGCTCGCTCCGTTACGGTAAGTATCTCCCGTTCCGCCCCTGTTCCCCGTCCTTCTCGGAAAAAGAGCACTCGCCCTGTGGCGTCAAGTGGTTCCAATTGGGTATAATTACCATCCAGAAATTTGGCTGCGTCGCGCATGTAGCCACCCACGGCGCAGACACCACCCCGCACTGCTACTCCTCCAGCCAGGCAGGTGGCTCCAGAGTCCAGGCTGACGCGACTCCAGGTCCTCGTGACTGTGTGGTAGATTAACACGCCAGCGTGTACCACGGCCCTGTTCTGCTCCAGCGTGGCACCTCCGAGCAAGTACAGACGCCCCCGCAGGGCAGCGCAAGCGAAGCAGCGCAGTGGCAATGGCAAACGGGGACCCGGAATCCAAGTCAATTTGGAGAGGTCAAAAATTTCACACGTGTCAAGAAGTGCGGAACGGTTGCAGCCGCCCAAAGCATAAAGGGAATTTCCTGAGCCCAGCAGTCCGAACATAGCACGTGGTTGCACCATCGGAGGCCGCGAGATCCACTGATCGAGCACTACATCGTACTCGTGCACTGACGACGACACCTGGCCAGTCCGCAGGATGCCACCTGCCACAAATAGTCGGCCCCCCACGGCCGTGCAACCGGGGCACAGCAACGAGCCCAGTGCTGATAGTTTCTCCCACTTTCCGGTGCGTGGGTCAAAGCAATCAACTGTGTAGTCACTCTCTCGCAAAGCCTCGTCCTCCCTAGGCTTAAGGTCCACACAAACTATCTTCTTCTCAAACATGCCCTCCCTGGGCCTCAGAGGGCCACCCATGCCCTCAGTGCTGGCCCTTGGTCCGAGCTCTTTGTTGAGCCGCCGGCTCTCTTCGGGAGCCAGCAGACCCGGGCGTAAATGCCGCAGCAGGTTGGGCATGTGAGTGTATCGTTCAGCCGGCCGATGCTCTGCCCAGCGCCGGGCTGCATTGTAAACCTCAGTCTCTGATTCTACGCCCAGCCGGTCTGACTCCAGCAGGCTGCCCAAAGTGCCTGGGTCCAGTAGGAGGAAATCCCGTTGCCGGGCCACTCGAGGGAAATGCTGGGCCACCAGCCTCAGAGAGGCCCTTAGCAGCAGCTGGTCATGATGTGAACGGGCCAGAGAGTACATTCCTAAACAGTTCTCCACAGATAAATGCTCAAAAAGGAACCTACAAGAACAAACACATTTTTCACATATTTTGTACATAGTGTTCAATTATACTGTGTTATAAAACAGGGATGCCCAACTCTGGTCCTGGAAATCTACTGTCCTGCATTTAGTACCAACCCTAATCCAACACACTTTATCCAGTTAATCAAGGCGCCTGTACCAAATGGCACCCTAAGCTCTGTCGTCCTCTTCCAAGTCAGCACATTGATTATGTCAACAACATGTGGAGGAATACGATGACGGTCCTCAAGGGCACCAATTTTAAAAGCATGTATTTGGGACTTGCGTGACATACAGAACATGCATGTACCATACCTGGTGAAAATATGTTATTAATTGCACTTATTTTCTTCATTATTAAATTTACTAATCTACAGTGATTCAGGATAGATTTACAGGTATAATGCAGCTCAATGACAAGTTAAACTATTAAACAAAGAAAATTTAACTCAAACCGGTGTATCATCCTCTCCAGCATGGTGGTCAAGCACCTGTAAACAAACCTATGCTTGCTCTAAGCATGTACAGCAAGAAATGTTATGCAAGAGGTAAGAGGTTTTGTCCCGTTCTGATACTAACACTGAAAAACCTTGAATATAAACTGATACCAATCCAGTATATTATGTATTACAAAAAGTATATTTTAACAGATATCATGCATGAACATGACTTGTAGATATGACAGCTCTTTGTTTACAGAACTTCCATATATAAATGTTTTTTTTTCTCTCCATTGTCAAACTTTGTCTCTCTTAGTGGGATGTTGATATTTATTATCTTGATCAACTGTACTGTACTCACCTCCAGAATTCCCAGCTCTAAATCTCTCAGCTCTCTCTCTCATACTGCTCATGCCAGGTCCCTCACTGACTGACTCCTGAAATTTACAAGAATCCTTAAACAGTTTATCTGCACTTCCTCTCACTGTCGACTGAAACTGTAGTCTCACAAACAAAATTAATACAGGCATAATAATAAGCGTAAGGAATTCTACTGCTACACTCCTTCCTACCCTGAACTTTGTTGACATTACAGCCAAATCAGAAATCAGGCGTGTTGTTTGTTCTCTAAGAATAGATTAATAATAAATGCAGACAATCGTTACAATAACATACTTGGCTACTGAACGTATACGAGTGACAAACAGCACTCAGTCTGATGCTACCTTGTTTCTTGCTGCAGTGCTCCAACTAAATTGCAAATAACTTATTTTTCACACTAGTTTAGCAAATTATATTGATAGCAACACAACAGTCAGACAGATATCGGATGCAGACAGACAGTAGTAAGAGGCCAAGGGGTTGAGTTGGTTTCCCAAAAGCAGAAAAGTTTTGTATTCTAATGAATGTTTTTTATGCAGTAAATTTTGTTCACCCGCACATTCTTTTGCACATTCTCTCATCCTCCCTCCCTCAACGTTACAGTCTACAGTCACGTTCGGAATAGCTCTGGAGAGGGCAAACGTGCCCTTGAATGAAACCATGAATGATGAGAAGGACATGCTGGGTTGGTCAAATGGTTGGAAAAGTCAAAGCAGATCTTTCCTCGTTTGTTAAGCTAACTTAGAGAGTCAAGTGTTCCTGCCGCAGTAACGTAATCCTCTAACGAACATTAGCGCAGCAAGACTAATACTAACAGTTAATCAGAGCAGGCTGGATACTGTTCTTTGCAAGGTACAACTGTCAATTTTGCAAAAATATACTGATAAATACAGCTAGTATCTTAATATAATATAATAAATATAAGTTAATGCCTGCATTGTATTTTCTGTCATTCGACTCAAGCACTGATAAAGCAAAGCATCGTGAAACCATATCTGCAATAATTCATGTAACCCATGCAACTGAGATGATTTTAAATTTAACAGTACCAGTTGGACCTTTCAAATTCCACCTGTACAGACCTCAGAGGACACATGCGAGCACCCCTTTGAACCCCAAAATGAGAAATGAGACACCCCACAGCCTCATGTTTCTCACTGGCATGTACAAATAAGGACCACAAGACCACAAGTGCATCAATTGGTACAGGGCCAAGGAGCTTTAGGAGCTTTAGGTACTTTAGGAGCATCTGAATTTAAAAGCCAGGTAATAGAGAGTTGGGCAGAACTGCCTTAAAATAAGTATTCCAAATTTATAAATATATATGTATTACCTGGAGCAAAGATCTTGCAAGGGCATCACCTGAAGACGATTGGCTGCCACAAACAAGTCTTCTGCTGTGTCCAGACTTAGCCCTGCTTCCCCTGTGTAGATGAAATGAATGACTGTCTCCATAACTGAAGGTGTCACTTCCTCCAGTCGGATCTCTGCGAGTCGAGACTCTACAAGGGGGCTGGTAAACATGGCACGGAAATATGGGCTAACAGCAGCCAAGAGGACTCTGCAAAGTACAAAACAATAACAGAGTGGAGGATATTTTTTTGTTTGTGGGCTAGAAAAAGCAGAACAATACAATGATTAATGTTACTCTACAAGAAAGAAAGTTATAAATACTGAGACTATTACACGAATACAGCTCGCACCTGTGGCACATGAACCTCTTTCCTTCCACTAAAAGAGTGACATCACACAACTGCTGGGCATCAAGTAGTTGTTTTAACCCTGAACAAGAGAGGAGAGGCGACAGAGGAAGTAAGAGGCATAAAAATAGATGAGGCCTGTCACAATTATCGCATAATCGCCTCATCACAATTTTGTGCTCCTTAAATGTAAGTAAAAGAAAGCAATACATGCATTCAATGTGAAACACCATAAGACTCAAACACAAAGGTTTTAACTTCCAACGTGGTGCTCTAACACATTTTTGAGAGCAGCATACGCAATATCTGATTTGTTGCCTATGCAGTGCACTCTAATGTTTACAGCATGTGTGCTTGCAGCGCGTTGTTTTGTTTATATTTTCACTCAAGAAAAAAAATGTAGCTTGGGTTCACTCATGTCCTCCGTACCTATGTGTTCAAGAGGCAAGATGAGTAATCATATAATTTGATCACTTCAGCTTTGTACTTTGAACTAAATAAATAACTATCAACCGCTGATCTTAATTATATGGCAACTGATAGTCAGCTAAGGTTTCATGACTGTGATAGCCCTAGTGACGGCATGAAATAAAGCCATACTTGGTCAATATGGTTGGTTATTATGTGACGCCAAGAGGCTAATATAGCTAGCAAGTAATGGAGGCTTCTACCCAAAGACTGAGAAGCAGTAAGATATGTACTGACCAAAACAACAAAAAACAAACACAGCTTGGGACAAAAACATCCTACAGAATCCACAACACAGAGGTGTATCTCACCCTGAGTAATGTATTCTCCCAGGGGTGTAGTAGTGTCATCTGGGAAATCCTCTTCCTCCGAGTCGCTGTCGGAGAGGGGTTCCCCACCTCCGCTGTCAGCGTCGTGCCATGGCTGTGGTCTCCAAGTAACTGTCCCACCCTTTACTGAATTCATCTGAGAGACAGTTCAAGTACAAATTGGCAAATTGGTATTTTAAAACATCACTATGAAGATCTTTACCACTCCATGTCATACAAAGCACCTAAAAGATTTAGAAACTTATAATTTGACTATAAGCAACCAATTGCAATGGATCCATTAAAGACAATGTTCTATTTCATGCTTTGGAGCATAAATCAACTGTATGCTAGCATTTTCTCCCGGCTTGGAGGACCACCAGCAACTGCAGAGGTGGCTCTTCTTGAGCTGATGCATTTAAACAGGCAGTCCTTCAAAGGTTCTTTAGTAAAGGGAATGGTTGTATATAGAATGATAACAACTCAAAGAACCACCTGAATACGTACATTGTTCTTCATATGATGGAAAGCATGTTGTATCGGTCATTTTTAAGAACCTGTAATAAAGCTTTTAAAAAATAGTTCTAACCCTCCAAAGAAGGTTCTGCTACTGTTACAGTCACAGATCTAGGGCTGATCAACATGATAATATATACTGTTATTGTGATAAATTAAGTCACAATACAATGTGCTTTTTGAACATACCGTGTACACGGTCACTGCTTGTGAAGCACTGACCAAATGCATGTTTCACTTAGTGATTTAGTGCAAATATTACACAAAATCATCATATTCACAGTTTTTGATAGTATCTTTTAAAACGTAACACTACTGGTTCTTTTTCTGTGCCAACTGATCAGATTTCTGAAACAATAAATACCGTGACACATCATGTATTGTGAAAATTTCTCTAAGTACTGCAATATTATATATTTGCCTGTCACCCAACTCAACATATAACATTTTTGGGCACTATCTAGAACCCTTTGTGCTAAAGGTGCAGGGAGAACATAAAACTGCAGTGCGAAGAGGCCTCCGTCACTGGAGTTGGGGGAAACACTATCCTACAGACATAAACATAACGCTATAATATTAAGGTTGCCAAACAGAGCTCTTTGGAGCGATGCCACAGAGCCGCCCTCCTGGACTGTTACCGTTATGTCTGAAGCTGTGTGTTTGTGGTCCTCAGAGATGACCCCGGACGCCCTGCTTCAGCTGGGAGAGCGGTCAGTTTACCTAGCTGGGTTAAGTTAAACAGCAACAAAGAGTCGTAAGTTCGTGCCACAATGACACGAGGCCGTTTCCACAGGCCCCGGGCTGCTCCTGGACTCTTGCACCGAAAATCGGCCAGCTCATCATTAGAGACTCAGGCAGAGAGCAGAGCGCCGGACACGGCTCCAAACAAACTCCTCATCCCTCCCTGCGACTTCACCGGGTCTCCGTCTCCACAGCCTCCCTCAAACTCGCCCCGCTAGAACCTCAGGACCACGTCTGGCGGACTCGGGCCCGGCTTTATCGTCGGCCCGCGGGTGACAGCTGAATTTCCTCGGCTGGAAGCTGAAGCTCATCGCTTTTCTGGGGCTCCATGCCGGAACAACAGTCCGCACGCTTCCCTTTTCCCCTACGCACCGGATATGACGGTGTTTACGAGGGCGTCTGGAAACACATTCGTGCTCAAACAAGTTTGTTTTGGTTTTCTTGCTCCGCCTGAAATGAGGCGAAAAATCTGTTCTCGCACTTTCTGAGTTACAGATGGAGCTGCTTGGCTGACTGATTGGTGAAATGGCGACGCTTTTGTTTTGCACGTGCTGAACACAAGCGGCCGTCTGTTTGGACGCAAATTAAAGTTCACATTTACTACGTATTCTCACAGCACTCGAAAAGAAACATCAGACAGAATTCGACAGAAAACATCATTTAAAATCAAACGTTGGGCAACGTTTCCTTCACATACGAGCTTAGTAACGTTTTTACCGCCGCCTCAAGGTAATTAGTGCGGCTTCGCTCTGAAACGAGTCGCTCTTTTGAACCGACTCACAGGTTCGACCGAATCGAAGTTTCTTTGGTAACATCAACGCAATGATCTAATAAAAGTCCGACAATAATATTTTACAGTTTCACCCAATAAAAATAAATAAAATGTATAAATTACCACACGTAAATAACAACTTTGAATGCAGTTAAAATTTCTTTCTGGAATGAATCAAACTTTTTTTATTAGACCAAAGACTTAATGTTACAATAAAATGTTAACAATAATCTTTCGCAGTTTAACCTAATAAAGAATACCTAGTTAAATTCAGTTAAATAGTTACCTCGACAGACATGGCTCTGCTTTCTGTCACGTTTTTGTGGTGTATGCCAGCCCTGCGCCTGACCTCCTCATACCAAACGTCCAGGACATTTTTCTCTCCCAGGTATTTTAGCACTATAGATGCAGGTACACCACCACACTCACTTCTGTGTGTTTCTGCAGAACTCAGTCTCTTTATCAGTTGATCATTCAACAGAATGTTTTTTATCTTGTCATAAACAAAAACAAACATGACAGCTGGCGAGATAGACGCTCTTCAAGACCAAGTTAAAACACTATTTTGAAATGGTCCTGCATTTATTTAAGAAATGTTTTTTGTATGTCTGTATTTCTATAACACGTGCCAGGCTCCCTTCCTCGCGGGCCAAAACACTGCAGACTTCAGATCGCTGCCTCATTAAACACACCTGATTCAGCTCATCAGCTAATAAATGCAAGGCCTTCATGAACTGAATTCAGAGCATTAGATGAGGGTAAACGCTAATCTAATCTAACGCTAATAATGGAAGAGTAGATAATATTTAATATTAGAAGTCCAGGTAGTTCCGAGAGTTCAGGATCTTTTTCACGCAACTGTACATACAGTAAACAAAGAAAAGGTTCATTATTTGCTATATGTCTTATGTTGAACATAATAAATGTTTTTATTTTTTCAAAAACTCACATTTCAGACATCTAAATCTAAATGTCAAATGCTAACGAATATGTTTCCCAGTAGACAAAAATAAATAATTTATGTATTATGTTATTTAGTCCAGCAGATACCATGTTTTATAACAATACTTTGTTTAAGTGTCCAGCCTCGGGACTGAGGGGGCTGGAGAGGTAACAGATTCACTTCAGTAAAACCCGATTCCACATGGTCCGAATCATTTAAGAAACTCCTTTTCCTATGTAGCGTTAGCTATTTTCGTTTGATTCTGCCTGACAGCCATGAGAAGTGAAAATCAACGATAGCAGATAGGAAAGGATGTTTCATATAACTATTTGGACGCAGTCGCGGAAGACGGGAGAAAACATTTGACTTGTTATTTGTGTCAACGAAGCGTTCGATTCTTTTAAACGGACAGTTCGAAAGAATCGATTCGCAAAACTGAATCGAACTACCCATCCTACTCGTTTCGTCCCCAATGCGGCTTCCGTGGTTGCTCTACGAATCCCACCGAACATGGCGTCCTCTGTGAGAGCCATCCGCAGGTTCTCCGCGCTGTCTCTTCTGGCCTCAGTGGCGAGGCGTCGTTTCCGCGACGGACAGAAGACGTTATGGCGACCGTGCTCGTCCGGCAGTGTGAGGAGCAGCCTGTGGGAGCATGTGAGGGAGGGCTACAGCGACAAACCGGAACTGGACATGAGGCCGGTGTGTGAGGAGACGGAGCGGCTGATAACTGACCTGCAGAACAGGAAAGGAGATCTGGGGACGGCTGATGTGCGAACTATCGTAAGGAGTAGTTTACTGTGTCACGGACAAAACACAGAATAGCAATACTGACCACTGGACACCACCAGGAAATAAACTTTTTTCAGCAGGGAGCTCAATGGCACCACAATCACATTTCCGTAAAAACGTCCTAATGAAGTTTGGTTTCTATTAAAATAAGACTGACATCCAAAAAATCTCCATGAAAATAAAATTGCTATACCTTCAATATATTTACAAACCCTTGAGAAGTGAATGTACGATACGCTTTGGCTTCTCAAAAAATGGTTTGCATTGCAAAGTTTGCTTAACTACGTAATTAGCTTTGTAATACTAGACGAGCTGAGGACAAGTGTCCCCTGACCCCGGGACCCTAACCATGACCTTGACCCTTTCAGAGGTTGTCATGTATTACATTGAAGTTTGATGCATCCTGTAAACAGCTGAGGGAACACAGGACCCTGGAAACATAGATACTCTCCCTTCATATACAGCGAATGAATGATTTGTGGCTGAACATCTCAGTTTTGCCGTTTTCTGCTCAGGTTTCAGTTTGGAAGCAGCTGCTGGAGGTGCAGAAGGAGATAGAGGAGTTGGAGGAAAAGAAGAAAGTGGTCAGTGCCGCTGTTCGAGCTCTTGTGGTCAGTATTAGTTTACATTCTGCTTTGTTAATATAGAAGCTTTCTTTATTACTGAAAGCCATTCAGTCATTTTTGTTAGCAAAATCAACAGGCTGACAGGTAAAGATATAGTAGTGAGTTAACTTGTTTGTACTGAGTTGTTGCATTTACTGTAGGGGTTGACCAATATGCTTTTTTTCAGGGCCGATACAAATTATCAATAATCAAGGATTCCAATAACCGATATTCGGGCTGATATTTGTTTGCCATAAATTAACCTTTATAAGAATGCAACTCTTACAGACAACTTACATTAAATGAATATTAGAGTGTTATAAACAATAGTGCTTTGAGCTTTAGACAGTATAGAAGCAAAAAAATATTAACTTAAAAGGTTATCTTTAAATATTAAATATTGCAGTAAGCATCTGAGCAATTCTGGATTAAAAATTGTTACTACTTTGTAACAACAGTGAGGAATATAAATGTTACTGTGTTTATTTCATTTTGTTGTTCAGCCAAAAATGCATTTTATGTGATAACAAGCAGTAGTTGGACATGAGTGTATCAGACATATTCTGATTGTTTCTTGAAAATGTGCTGCATGATTAGATGGAAACGGCTCGTTTAGTCTAAGGCCTGTCCACAAGTGTCCGGATATTTTTGAAAACAAAGGTTTTTTTCCACCGTTTTAGGTGACTAAACATGGAGATCTTTGAAACGCTCTCCATGGTGGAGATTTTTGAGACCTCTATTTTCAGTGTTTTTGTGTGGACAGGCAAAACACTGTTTTGAAAACATTGACGTCACGCAGTTAACTTGCGCATGCTTCTTGCTGTTTTACCTTTCGTTCAGAGACTGTTCATTCAGTTGTGAAAGACTGATGAGAAAATTCAGTTAAAATTTTTACTGCTATGTTTAAGTTTGGGTAGTATGTGATAGAAATCAGTTAAATTGCAGCAACATGGATGGTGTGTGAGAAATCCTACTTTCTTTCTCTTTCAAGCAAAAAGTGAGTCTTTATTGTTCATTTCTATTTCTGTTTTTTCAGTGCACCATTTTTGCAGGACTTTATCATTTGAAAACTTTGAATATTTCTTTTTTTATTAAGTCTGTTATTTTTTTCCCTGAATTTTATGACAAACTGCCATCAAATGCCCTCCGTGGACCATTGTCCCACCTCAGCATTGGCCTGAGCACAACCAGTGGGTGTTTTGTGGCCCCACTTGTGGTCCGCAGCCCAATGTTGAGAAACCCTGTATTAGAATATGGTTGTAGTTGCGGCTAACAAGATATAAGTCATGCTAAAGAAATCCAAGTCAGAAATGGGAACATGTTTCTCATCTATTCCTTTCTTACAGGAACAACATGACAAAAAGGTTCTGGCTGAGGTGAGTTTAGTTTTTTTATACACCTTATTTGCCTCATATCATGCTAATATCATGTCTTTTAAGTCAGATACAACGTATTGAAATGTTTACCCTGCTTAAGTTTGTGATAATATTGGTTCGTTAATATAACTCTTAATTTCTGAGGCAACAATTTTGGGATGAACAAATTGAAGTGAAAAGAAGTTAACGCATTCCCTACAGAGGACAAATTTCTTCATTAATTTGGATTTTTGTTAATATTAGCCCATTCCCTAGTGCGCTGCACTTCAATCCCCAGCATGCACTGCAAGGTAATGTCCGCTCCCACTCCTCCCCCAGCAACAATTTGTGGGACAGCAGTTATATCACCAAACCCACTAGCTGCTTTTCAGCTGCAGTTCACCCAATACAAACATGCTCAGCAGTTCAGAAATTGATGCCAAAAATGAATGAACTTGCAGCAAGAAATAGAGGCCAGATGTCTAGATCAAACACATAGGTAAGTTTCAAAGACCTACCTGTTGAGATTTACTACAAGTGCCTGTATTTTTCTGATGACGTTTTGCCGTGTTTTGAATAAACAATGGCCAGTTCAGGTCTAAGCAAAGTGTTACTTAAAAATGAAATAAAAACTTTCTGGCCCACAGATTTGTTGAGATTTTTCAATATGGCTGTTTTAGTGCTTTAGTTTGACACCTCTGCTCTAAAATGTGGGAGCAAGAAGAACCCAAGGCAAGTGTATTCTATTGTATCTGTTGTTTTGAAATTATGTCTGACATGTTGGTGATACTCTACCTGAATCTTTCAGCTGGCAGAGTACAGGACTGCAAGAGAAGAGGGTCGAGGGATCAGAGCCAGGCTGAATGAGTTATATCCACAACAGAGTGATCTGGAGCAGCAGTACTATTGCCGTGCCCTGAGGCTTCCCAACAGGACTCATCCAGATGTGGTAAGAGAGGACGTCATTAGGTCTCTCAACATTTTTCTTGTACCTTGTAGAAGGTAAATGTTGCTGCTAGTTGCAGAAAACTCAGGCAAGCATGAAGTTGTGAAAACTTCATTTTTGACTGATGATGTGTGAAATGAATGTATATGACAACGACAAATGTTAATTCTTCTTCCCGTCAGCCCATTGGAGATGAGAGCAAGGCGAGGGTGGTTGAAATGGTTGGGCAGAAAGCTGGTATGGTAACTAAAGTGGACATTTAAATATGCCCTTTTCCACAACACCCAATCTCACTATAAATCACAAGATAATACTTCAGCAGATACATGATAGCACTCTGAAGTGCACTTGTCACAAAGCACAATTTGCTTTATACATTATATTCTTATATTGCACTGAAAGATATAATCTATTATTAAAAGAACAGCAAAAAAATGATAATAGCAAGTGTCTTGCTTTTTATGACCCTATGTTTTATGTGAGAGGGGATAATTGTTGGGATTTTCTAGATATGTTGGTATACATTTTCTGCTATTGGTATACATCTGCAGTGATGTACATACTCTGTCACTGTTTCTAAAACAGAGTTTGATTTCAAACCCCGGGGCCACCTAGAAATTGGGGAGAGACTGGACATCATAAGACAAAGGTAACATGCGTCCTCTGTCACTCATTCACACATTTTTTTTTTTTGTGTGAATTCTAAATGTCTTTTCTTTTATAGACGCCTTGCCCATGTATCAGGTCATAGATCGTACTATCTACGGGGAGCAGGAGCCAGACTTCAGACTGCCTTGCAAAACTTTGCTTTGGATCTCCTTCAGAAAAGGGTCAGTGAGGCATGTGTGTGAGTATGTTTTTGAATTGTTTGCATACAGCATTTAAATAAGCAACTCTGTTTATTTACCGCAGAGACACTGTTAGATGTTTTTCATTTGCTATTAGTATTAATAATAGAAATCTCCCATTTAAGCCCCAGTCAGGTGTCACTGCAGGCAAACATCCAAGCGACATCCTGACCATTAAAACACACATTTTGAAATAGTATCTCTTTGTAACTTACAGGGTTTTATTCCCATGGTCGTTCCAGATATGCTGAAAGGAGTCGTGTTTGTAAGTAACTCTTCATCTCTTTTCGACTGTCCTGTGCTGTGCCTTCCATAAGAACTAGTCAGTGAAATTGATCAGAGCACCAAATCAAATTAGTTTTGATTTCAAATATACTCAGACTTAAAGATGTTTCCCAGTGTCTGTACAAAATACACAGAACTGCACTTTTTACTTCTTGTTACATGTGTTCTAGCCCGGTTATGTTTACCTCTGTAAACTCACTATAACCCCATGTGCTTATGTCTGTCTGTGCAGGAGGGCTGTGGGATGCAACCTCATGCTCATCGCTCACAGGTGTACTCTTTGGACCCTACCCGCTTTCCTGACCTTAATCTGGCTGGCACAGGGGAAGTTGGTATAGCAGGTGAGAGAGAGCTGCAAAATATCTATAGACATTGCCTGGATAATGATGCAGCCATGTGACGTATGTAAGCTTAATGTCATCTCTAATCTATACACACTGTTTAATAGGACATTGCAGAATAATCCGAAACAAGATAGAGATTCTAACACACACGGCCTGATGTGCAAACGAATTCCAAAAAAGTTGGGACAGTAGGTAAAATGCAAATAAACACAGAAAGTAGTGATTTGTAAACTGTGTTTTTTAAATGTATTTTATTAACATTAGCCCAAAGAAGAAAGATTTCATATTTTACATTATCAACTTTATTGATATTTGTAAATATACACTAATTCCAAATTTGATATCTGCTGTACATTCCAAAAAAGTTGGAACAGGGGCAGTGAAAGACTTGGAACTTTGTGGAACGATCAAAAACACCTTTCCGCGTTTAAACAGGTGAATAGGTAACAGGTGATGCTCATGTTCATGAACCGCGTAAACTGCTTGAGCGAGTAGTCCAACATTTCTAAATTAGAGAACACAGAATCTGATTCAGAGAAGCCAGAGAAATGTCTGTGCGTAAAGGGCAAGGCCGAAAACCAGTGTTGAAACTGTATCATTTGGATGGCACTACGTTAAAAACCAACCTGCTTCTGTAATGAATACAACCACATGGGTGGAAATACGTCAGAAAAGCACTGTTAGTAAACTGTTCATCACTGCATGTACAAATGCAAGGATGCGAAGTTGAAGCCATATATCTGCAACGTCCAGAAATGCCGCCAACTATATGCTGTGATGTGGCTGAAATATGTAGTGTCAAATTACCTGAACGATTTGCTAAAACATAGTAATGACATTAACACCTATAAACATTAAATAGTTATAGAATGTTTTCTTTATCACATCTAAGGTTACTTTATGGACCATGCTGTAAATTTAAAGGATGTACCTGTCAGGTAAGAAAAGTTTGTGTCCAGACAGCCTAACTTCTCTCCACATATTACACTCTGCTTTCTTCAGTCCACATTACTTATTGGTGATTGTCAGTGGCTTTGTTTAAGAAGTTTTCCGTCTTTCTGTTTTGTAATTCACTCTTTAAGGACAGTTTGCAGTAGCACGTGTTACCGGGCTGAAACAGACACTGGCCGAGAGACTTGGGGGCTCTACAGGGTTCATCACTTTAACAAGGTAATCAGAAGCCACAGGGTTAAAACTGTGGTTAAGCCTATCATCAGAAGATTATGAATTTATTCCCTAAAGATGCCACAGCCATCCGTAGCTGGGAGTCCAAGAGATCATGTTGTTACTCTTGCTGTTAAGGTCACAGTGTCCACTGTAGTTGATTTAATGGCGCTTAATCAAAGTTTTGCATTTCTTTTGCCAAAATAATATTGTTGCTCTTACTGTACTATTGCATGTGTAAATGTTTTGCTTGTAAACTTGCCTTCTACTGTTTGGCTGTTGTTGTAAGTTGCTGTGGATAAGGGCGCCTACAAAATGACGGAAACTTGTGCGTGGCAAGTCCGAGTAAAGTCATTTTCTTTCTTTGTGCAGGTGGAGATGTTTGGTGTGACGGCAGATGAGACGGGTGACGAGAGTTCTCAGCTGTTAGATGAATTCGTGTCATTACAGAAGGAGATTTTCTCTTCCCTCAAGCTCCATTACAGGTCTGTAAAATGTACATATAAAATGTATAAATGTTAGTTGGGGTCTTGTTGCCATTAGTTGGCTTGTTGTTCATATATTTATTCCGTTTCAAATCACAAAATTAAACCCTTCAAGTTGTATTACGTACTCATCAAAACATTCTGTGAAATCCAGAAGAGGGTTGGAGTAATTGCATTGTACCATGTCTCTCCCCCCCACCTTTGATAAAGGTGCACAACAACTTGAATGGAAACTATAACAGTGAGTTGAGCTTGAAGTGTAGGAACAGTCAGTTTGCCAGTTTTGTGCTCTGATAGTAGAATTAGCTAATCACGTGGCTTGTTGTGGTTTTTCCTCATGGCTGGGTTCAGCTGTTGTGTCCTGCAGTTTCTCATGTGTGAAGAACCCCTGACATGGCTTCACTTGAACTTGATGTTGGAGGGTAGAAACATGCAGTATGAATCTATTAATTATTGACTGGATTGACTAGTGAGTCATACTGATGGATTCTACATGCATCAGTCATGTAGTTGTTTTTAAACTTTTGGTGTTCTTGTCAGTGTAGAGCTGAAGTTGCAGTTTTGATGGTGCCTTTTGTAATATGAATGTGTACCTTTAAAAAAAAAAAAAACAAACAAAACAGTGTGTTACTGGGTATACTGGGTACTTACCCTCACCTTTGAAAATGCCACATCAACTCTGAAAATAACAGTGCAGAACAGCAGGCTTACAAAAATGTAATTTTTGTTGAATCAACTAAAAAATGTGATTGTAATTGTATTGGAACTTTGAGAAATTCAAATCTGTTTTTAGATTTATTTCTATCACCCAGTGAATTTATATAACAAATGCTTCGTTCACACTTGGCATTAACCTGCATCCTGGGTGATCTGATAAGTGTACAGTGCTAAGTACAGGTGTGAATGGGGTACAGTGTGTCTTGGAGACGTATTGTGATCCAAACACTCAAAGCAGCTTCGGAGGTGGTCAGGGGCACATATGACCACAATAGAGCTGGGCGATAAAACAATAACGATAATTATAGTGAAATAACTTTTCCTCGATAGAGCGATACGAAATGTTCGATAAATATTCGATATAATACACCATTCTCACACCCCCACGTTCAGCGAAAGCCTTGGTGGCGTTTTCTACTACAAGGAAAGCGACATTACTGTGCTGTCGCCAGGAGAGGGCGCACTTCCGAGTTGTTCGACATGATTAGAGAGGGAGGGGGCCACGAGAAAGATGAGTCTTTAGCAACGGTAGAAACACGGAGTTATACATTCCCTGTTTGAGTGGAGCAACACGGAGAATTGATGATACTGTAGATCAAACAAGACACAAAAGCACCGCTTTCAGTTTAGACGTACCTAAAAGGAGGACTCCGTTTGTCTGGTGTTGATATTTTGTGGTTCACCACTTAAACTACTACGATAGTATAGAGAAATCCAGTCGTCGCTAGCTGGTGTCTGAATACTGTGATGTCATTTGTAACGGGGTAGCCGAGCGCTCATCACCAGCTAAAATAATCTGTTTTCTTTCTTAAATTATGAGTTACAAAATAGCCTGTAGTATTTTGACTGTAGTGTGTGTGTGTGCATGTATGTATGCATATATATATATATATATATATATATATATATATTATATATATATATATGGGGTACCTGTCCTCCTGTCACAAAATCCCATCATTGGAGACTCATTTGAGACACAGAAGTGCCAGGTGTAAACAGCTACATGTCTCATTGTCCACTTATGATCAGATCACTCGAGATGGATGTTAATGCCAAGCGTGAACCGGCCAAAAAGACATTGTGTGTGTGTGTGTGTGTGTGTGTGTGTGTGTATAAGCAGTGGATTATTTGGTTAAAATCTGTTATTTTATTACTTCCTTCTTAGGGTTTTGGACATGCCCACAGAAGAGCTTGGACCACCAGCCTTCAGGAAGTATGATATTGAAGCTTGGATGCCAGGCCGTGGCAGCTTTGGCGAGGTCAGCACAATGGTTAAATTATTCAGCAGCTTGAAGTCAATGAATTACTAAGTTATCTGGTACTTTCCAGAAATAGTCTCGAGTGCATTACAGCTGCATTAATACACGCTGACTTTGTGAACAAGGTTTTGAATATTTGTCCGTTTTGTATTAGAATTGCTAATTTCATCAAGCTAGTCTATATTTCATCTTCCCCAAATATACAAAATATGTAACAATGCAGCATGTTGTTAGCTTGGACAAGCGCAATGCAGTCTAGTAGGCAGTGAAAATAAGTGATGTTTAAGACTTGCTCACATTTTTTCTAGAACCCCTCCCTGGAATAAGATGTAACAGCACACTGAGAGATGTTTGATTGTGTTCTCTTCAGTTTTCACTTGGACTTTTTACAGTGCTTGTCTTCCTTTATATTATGTTGAAAAGGTTCTTTCTTAATTCTATTTTAGATCTCCAGTGCATCAAACTGCACTGACTATCAGAGCCGGCGACTTAATATCTTCTACGAGAGAGATGATGGCAGTCTGAAGTACGCTCACACGGTGAGTGAATTGCACTAGCTGTCTGAACAAACCTACTCAGCTACGTCTGTAACTCAGAAGCACAACCTGCATAATGCTGTCGCATCAAGATTAATACTTATAAAAGCTCTCCAAAGTACTTCACTGTAATGGAAGACACTTAAGAATGCATGATATCAGAATCACTTCGGTATCGACAGATATTTGCTGGAAAAATAATACAGGCAGATGTTTAGATGTGGCCGATATTTCAAACTGATATGTGATGTACATATTATTTGTACTCCAGAGGAGCAGAACGCTGGGCTGCTGCACTAGAATGTCTGCATTTTATTCATTTTATTTGTAATCCTACAAAAATAATAGTTACATTTCTTTCTAAGGCTAATCTGGGTGAATTTTCCAATTTCTACAGTCAGTAAATGTTTACATATCAGCATCGGCAGAAACGTACATGAAAAATGTTGGATATCGGCATTGGCCTCACAGGACCATATCGGTGCATACCTAGAAAAAACATTAATGCATTGTCGTAGACTAGCCTCCAACTTCTAGTCAACTTTATATCTGTCTATTTCCAGGTGAATGCTACAGCATGTGCTATTCCACGTACTATTATTGCAATTTTGGAGACTCATCAAACAAAGGTGGGTTTTTATTTCTCATACACTCACTTTTTGAGACTAAAATTCATATATAGCTCTTAGTTTGTTACATAGTCATATTTATTATGTATTAATTGCAGAGTTTAATGACACTAATGATTAAATATTAGCCAAAAAACAAGACTTTATTTGAAGGGGGTTGATATTTTTTTTCTCTCCAGATTTCTGCATAATATCATTATTGAGATGTAAACAGTTATTCAGTGTGGCGTGATACGACATGGTGTCCTGTCGAGAAAGTTACTGACTTAAGCCCATTTGGACAGGATGGTGGGGTCGTGTAATATTTAATTGCATTTCTGTGTGATTTTAGTCCCACCCACACGCTCCATATCAGTCATTTTTACTAACTGCGCACTCCTGCTTTTACTGATTCCGCCGCCCTTTACTTTCTATAAAACGAGCAGTACAAATAATCCCAGGTTATGTTAATCTCATGAATCGACATTATAATTAATTATGGATTAAAAATGTGTTTTAAGACAAAACTTTCTCTAAACTGTCATAAAACAATGCCTCAGACATGAGGCAGTGTGCTGGTATCCACTTCATAAAATAGCATTTCATGATGTAGCTTTTAGAGGCATTGAACACTTGGACATCTGGTTCCTTTCACCACCACCAGGAACAATTCTGACTCCAAGTTTCTCCTGAATACTGCATTGCACATCAAACCACTTTGAATGGCTTTTACCTCCTAACCATTTAATTATGCAGTAATTTAGAAAAGTTTGGTGGAATTCCTCTTTTAATGGAGTCCTCTGTTTTAGCTTATGTACCTTAATGGTTAATGACGTTATCTCTCTTATTTAGCTGCTCCAGGACTATAGCTTAGTGAAATGTTCGGAAAAAGTAAGATCTTTACTGCTTTCTTTCAGGAAGGAACAGTGCGGGTTCCAGATGCCTTGCAGCCATACCTAGGGTTGGAGGTGATTGAAAAGCCCAAATACACTCCCTTGAAATACATTGGACCAAATCAGCCCAACCGTCCACCTCGTTCCCAGCAGCATTAATATGGCAGCCATGTTCAAATTCATATGTCAGCAAATTCCGATCATGACACAGTGGTAGCCTCAGCACTGACTTTTCTAAAGAAGAGTACAAGGCCTTAGCTTATGCCCTGTATGTTGCCAGATTCAGCTTATTGTTTCCGTTTGGAAACTCGAAAGCAAAGCTGACAGCTGAATCATGTAACGTATGAAGTTTTAAGGCTATTTCTTGTACATATGAGATGAGAACACAGTTGTGATGTGGTGATGAGGTCCTTGAATGTTACAAGTCTAATGTACGAATGATTTTTATTCATAATAAGAGGTGTGAATCTCCTTCAGACCTACAGTCCAGCTCTGGATACTGTCTAGAGGAAATCATTGTGTGGACCTTACAGATCACCTTTTGTTATAAAAAGGGTGACAAACTCCTGGACATTCTGTCTTTTGTTCTTACTTTGAAGATACTACTAATGCCAGTATGGATTAAAACCTGCAGAAAGAGCTTGTGTTTGTATCATTATGCAAGTATGATTACACTGAGCAAGTGTGGATGAACTGCAGTCATGAAGAGATGAACTTGGTTAGTAAACATGTTCAAATACAGTACTTGGCATAAATGAGCAGTCTTATTAGTAGTTGAGGCATATTTGTTAGATATGCTTAGTTCATTATCACAGATTTGATTTTGCCCTCCTGGCAAGGTGGCAAGGTTTCTGTAGAGCGTCCACATGTTTCATTACATTTAATGCTGTATTTTCATCTGAATTTGAGTTATTTATAGCAGCCAATCACTTTTACCTTTTTCGGTCTCTCTGGTTTTGCTGGCTGTACCCTTCAACAGCACATCACTTTACAGAAAACTTGCCTTCCTCGCCAAAGTCAACGCTAAAAGGACTGTAGTTCAGGGGGCGTGTCCATAAGGTGCAGTGCAGACGGCCACACCCCCACTCAGCTGAAACAGTGCAAAGGAAATCAAGGAATAAAACCTTTGTAGGGTTTTTGAAAAAAAAAAAACACTGGAATACCTCTAGAACTGCACCGCAAAATGTGATGATTTTGTCCTACAGTGTGACTAGCTGTAGTCTCGTTAGAATACTTGTGTGTGAATAAATATGAGCATAAATGTATTATAAAGGGTGTATTTACTTTGTAACAGTTCACCAAATTACCTGGCTTTAGGTACTACAGCAAGTTCAATGTAGTCTGTTTTGTAACATGATTAAAAATGAAACTTTTTACATTCCTCTCAACACATTCAGACCACTCTCTGGTCTGTAATATATTCATGGATATATTACAACATATTTCTGATATAGACTAACAATGCAAAATAAGACTTTATTCAAACGTCAACCAAAAGCATGTACATTTATTTCCCCAAATACGTCCAGCATTACATACTGCAACATTCAGTGTCTTTATTTTGTGTAATGTCTATGTACAGATTCCACCTAAAACCATGTCATTTGTCTGGAAAATCCATGTCATGAAGTTGTTAAAGATGGTACTCAGGTCCTTTACAGAATCCCTTGTTGCTGATTCTTTCCAGCAATCTTCTTGGAACATTCCAGAAGAGCATTATGGATGTCTTTAGCACAGGAAATCTGGGACTTTATCATGCTGAGATACTGAGAATAAGACAGAGATTCTGTCTGCACTGTGTCTGGCTTGGTAGCTGTAGGCACCAGGTTTGGAGAGTGTTTGGCACTGTCAATGCTCTGGGAGAGGCATTCATGGGCTAGCCGCTAAAGGAGACAACAAAAAAAAAGTGTTAGCAAAAAACATAAGTAAAACACATTACCTAGATCAGGGGTGGACAACTGTGGTCCTGGGGGGCCGATGTTCAGCACAGTTTTATGATGTCCTTCCTCAAACTCAAACTAGATTCAACTCATCTGTTAACTGTTTTTGAGTAGGGGAACTACCAACTGTACTGGACACTGGCCTTCCAGGACATAAGTTATGAAACTGACTTAGACATACAAGTCATTTACTAATCTACTGAGCTATGGTTACTGATTCTTGTAGAGGTAACTCACTGGTTGGGATTTCTTAAAAAGTCCAAACTGATCTATATAATATGGCTAAAAGTATGTAGACACCCCTCTTAATTACTGAGTTCACGTGTTTCAACAACAACTATTGCTACCAGGTGTATAAAATTAAGCACACAGCCATGCAGTCTCAGTAGATAAACACAGGCAGTGGAACTGGTTGTTCTGCCATGCGTCAGCTGAAGTGGTGTAAAGCACACCACAGGGCTGAAAGATTAATTATTATCAATCACGTGTTTGACATCACAAACACAACTTACTGGCACACCACATTAAGGGGTCAAGCCTCATGCCAAAAAAAGTGTACATCCTGGTCTTCTTGGTAAAAAAAAAAAGAAAAAGGGATACAATAACAAATGTGAAGTGCTTACCAAACAGAGCTCGAGCTGATCACAGAGGGCGTAGAACTCTTCTAAACTCTTGTCAAATCGCTGAACTGTGCCATCGTTACTTTTTCTGAGGAAGATAAAGATAAAACAAAAAAAGAAAAAAAGAGTGCATGAAAAGGCTTGACTTTTATATTTACTACACTTTCAGAACCAAGGGAAACTCTAGAAATGTCCAACAGTTCATATTTTAGTTTTCTAACTGTGGCTTCACATTGATATATATTCATTCTCCATGTGTAATATGAACCAGTTACAGGTGAATGTTAAATTTTTACCCACATGTGTTGGTTTGTCACATTTTGCAGCTGTCAAGTCCATCTATATATATGTGCATTCCTATTCAGTTTGGGGGTATATGAGAAACAAAGACTCTAGTGTTTTTTTTTAGGACAAAGGTGTTAAAAAAATGAAACGCAACTGAAATGAAAAATTAATTCATTCAATTTATAGGAACACATTAAAATGATCAACTGTAGTTCATACAATATTGGCACAAAACCCAATACACTGTATGTCCAAACATCTGTAAAGCATTTCTTCTGAAATCAAAAGTATTAATAGAGGAGTGTGGATACTTCTGCACAGGCAGTGTATTACTTATGATCATCAAGCAATTAATAACCAAAACATTTATTCTGCCACAGATACCACTGTGTTCGGATATCGAAACAACCTTGAAAGCTAGGATAAATGGGTGAATCACAAGTGGCTACCGGCTCCCTATATAGTGACTTCCATCATGTACAGAGATTGAGCCTCAGTTATTACACATTCTTATAGAGGGAATTCCACTGGTTTCCTCTGCACAATTAAATTGTTAAGATACGTCGATGTGAGACACTCCATTCTAGATAACCTTTTGAGTGAGTGGTGGTGATAAGAACCAGATGTCTTAAGTGCTGAATGCCTCTAAATGCAACCACAGAAAATGTGATGTTGATGTTGGATACCTGAAACACAGGTTTGCAATAGATCGAAATAAGGATTTGGGCTTAAGTCATATTTTTTATCATTTTATAAATGACATTTTAAGACGGAGAGCTACATGAAGGACACAGTAAGATAAAAGAGTAACGCTACCCATCTCGATTTTAGCATTATCAACATTACGCTACATATAAAACTCAGAAGACGTGTAGGTTCACTGTCGTTTTGGGTAGTAAATATAATGGCAACATTTCAGTTGTTCACATCGCGATAACACACGACCTCGAGTGTTCTACTCCTTTTATACAACAGTTAAATAAATAAAGTAAGAAATTAATAAATTGGGCCGTGAACGCGGCGTTTAATATGTTTTAATGTCAGCAGTTCCTTCCGCCAAATTATAGTTCCTTAACAAGCAGCTTGTTGCTACGTCAGAGTAACGAGCTCCGCTCACTCGCTGCACAGCCGGCAGTTCGTTCCCCAGCTCCACACAGACCAAACAGACAGTTTGGGAATTTAGTATAGTTATTTTGTGCGCAAAGTAATAAGTAAAAACGTTCAAATGGCTTGAGCGTCTCATACAGCTGTCAAAGTCGTTGCTTAGCAACGGCGTCTCAGCGGAGTGATACAGTGTCTGTGATAAACCCGTGACGTTATGACGAAATAAAAGCACAGTTAGAACGCCTCTCAACCAATCAGCTTGCGCGAACTGTTGTGTAATACTTCACATCAAAAGACCATGAATGACTTTGTTTACATCTCAGAGAGAACTAGCTGCACAGAAATCTTGGAAAATCGGCGAAATTCCCCTTCAATAATAAGTATTAGCTAACTGGGCCAGTGAACAGGCTAGACCGGAAGTGCAGTGTGTCCTGTGTGTACTTACACTCCGTTATCAATCGAGGTGTTTTGTGCGAAGTTTTGTGAAGCGATGCTCATGACGGTCTGAAAAGCAGAAAAAAAACAAGAAACCTGTTAAGTCAGACACGTTACTAATTACAGTAATCAGCTGTGTGAATACTAGAGCTTAAGCTAGTAAAGATGATGCTGACTAACGAAACTGAAGCCAGCGTCTTGTTCGAATTGTCCCGTTCCACCTTAAATGGTGCCGCAGCGTGCATGCAACAATATTTAAGGTGGAGCGGTACAATTCGAAGAAGCTGGTGAAAAGGAAACCGACTTCATCCTCGCTGAACTGATACCACAACACAGTGAGGGTTTATATTACACACAGGCGAGGGACAAACCTGTAAACTCTCTTTTAACTGAGGGATGAGCATTTTAAATCTGTGGACCGGGTCGAAGTCCTGCTGCTGGCTGAGCTGCTGCTGCTGCTGCTGCTGGGGCTGAAGTACAGCTGCCTGATGCGCTGCGGGGTTTGCAGTAACCGCCTGCGGCTGCTGCTGCTGGGAGGCCATGATGGGAGCTTACAAACGAAGGAAACAGCTCTAAATATTGTACAGTATACAGACTTTCAACTAGACTTTCAGGCTTTCTCTTCGGTATCTTCCTGCTCTTTCTTGTTGTTTCCTTCTTGCTTTCGTTCTTCCTCTGGGGTAAACCGTTGAACTCAATGTAGTACATACCGCCACCTACTGTACAGGAGTAGGAAGCACAGCCCTATTTCTCTCCGCCTTTTTTCTTCTAATGACTGAAGATTCGGTGCTGAAAATCCCAGCAGATGAACTCTTCGGGTGTTGTGTTGTGGCGAGGCTGTATGAGCTTCTCAACTATGGATCATCCTCTGCTAAGACGTACACGAAGTGTCCTCAGTTCGCAATTAAAATAGCTTTTAATAGCCTCCCTCTAGATGTGTATTTGTTGTATCATGTTTTTTTTTTAGCTTCAATCCCTGTTCTCCTTCTTATTAATCCCTGTCATTATTTTATCTGTATTATTTTATTGTTAAATTCCACCAAATGTTATTGTATTTTCACTTTTCCTTCCTTAGCGCTTTTATTTGCTCTATTTGCTTTGTTCTTCTCTTTTGTTGGTTTTGATTTTATCTTCGCTTTTTGAGCTGCATTTTAAATGTATGGAAAATGTTATGTAAATGAACATTTTTGTTATTATTATTATTGTTGTTGTTGTTGTTGAATTTTTGGTTGGGAATGAAGTAATATAAATGGACAACTGCTTAAACAGTAGAGAACATAATGAGTTATTATGTCAAGCTATAAGTAATCAAATTAAAATGTGTTGTTTGTTGTTTTATTTTAATATTTTACCAATCATTCAATAAAATAATTTTGCCCCCTGTGTAGAACTGGAAAAACAATAGAACGAAACCCAGGACAATAAACGGGAGCTGATGAAAACTAAGCATTTCTGTCTTTTTCAGCAAAGCTCGCGCTGGGCGGTGGTGCAGTAGGCGGCGCTATAGAGTCCGTTGGTCCAACCTGCTGTACAACGAAGAAACGATGTGTCGCCCTGTGTTCACGTGTTGTCCCTGTGTGTGCCGTCTAAGTTGAGGAGTTCGTGTTGAGGACAGTTAACAGCGGCGATATCTGTGTTTTTTCAAGCAATAGTTCAAGTCCAGCCACCGCCAGAGCTTCAGCTGCGGGCAGTAACCGTGTAGTCTCTTCTACGACTGGACAGCAGGTGAGGTGAGTTGGCTGTGCACTTACAGATACTTCAGTCAAACGAGGAGGCTTCGCCAACTTCTTGTTCGAGTTTTCCCGTTCCACCTTAAAAGGAGCAGCAGTTACATTCTAGCGTCTCAGCATTTAAGGTGGAACTAGAAAATTCTAACAAGAAGCTGGCGATTAAGAACCTGACTTCAGCTTCGTTTCAGTCAAGGCTGTCAGCCCTTAATACTGACAGTACTGGTGTGGATGTCTGTCCTCTGAATGACTGAGCTGACCGAGTTTCTGTGTATGTAGGCAGTCTTCACTAACATGTTCGCTGAGGAGGAGGAATGGGCGGACGGCCTGCCGGCTGAAGAATACAAGCCTCCTGCTGGAGTTAAGAGTAAAAAGAGTAAAGCAGTCGTTGGGAAGGTAACTGACCCTTTGCTCACACTGTTAAACAGTCATTTTGAGATTACGGCATTTGTGACTGACACATTTTGTGCACCCTACAGAACATTTCCTCTCAACATTATATATAAAATACTAAAGTGACTTTACCACTTTGACATTTACACCTTTCTCATTGCTACACGTTGTAAGTTTACAGCTAGAGACTATAGTTCATCTTTTTCCATGCACAGTTTGTGCTGTGCCTTCCCTTCGTTAATGGTCAGTTTCTGACCACAGCGCCAGTGTTGGCTGGATGCTTTTGGTTGGTTCTCACACTTGCAGCAACATTGAGGTGTGTAAAAACCTTAACGCTGCTGTGGCTAATAGACAGCAATATACTGCTTATAGACTGGAGTCACTGCTGGGCTGAGAATGACCCACAACCCAGGTAATATTTGGCCGGCAACGGTCCTATGGTGGTCCCTTTCTTTATTGGATGAGTCATTCTATTAAAAGAGTGCCATTTGAGTTAGTTGAGTTGTTTTTTTTCCCAATATTCACAGCAAGGTCATATAATTAACCGTTAAAAACTATTAAAAGCAGCAATCTGAAACAAAAGATAACATGCAGCATTTAACCCAGTCACATTCCTTTCCATCTCAAGATGGAGCTATAATTATCATTGTTATTTTGCACAAAAATATAAAAAATAGTTACCAAGGTGGGGAAAAATGTTTTATTGAAAAGAACTTTATGTAACTGAGACTTTGATATATTGACGAGCGAAAAAAATTAAATGAGCGTGTCCATTTGGCATCAGTCTTGGATGAGATAGAGAGGCTAACAGATGAGCTACAGTAAGTAATTCTATACCTACAAAATGCACATGAATGGTAGCTATACCTAATAAAATGACCAATTAGTGTAGGTACAACGTAGTTGTACCAAATAAGCTGACAGTACAAGTGCATATTATGGAAAAATATATTTTTTAAGTGTTTGCATTTCTGTGATTTCATTGGTTTCCTAAACAGTCCAAAGCAATCAGCAAGCGCTGCCTTAGGCAAACTCTCCAGACCTTAGGGTCAGTGCCAAAGTGGGACACTATAAGAGCTTCTGATAGCAGTGATGGGGAAGTGGAAAAAGCGACTGCCCACGTTAATAAAAAGAAGAAAAAGTCCAGAAAAAGGAAGAAAATCTCTGATGCTGTTACTGAAGGAGAGCAGCACAAGGAAGTGGAGGCATCAGAAACACCCGTGAAGAAGCGAAAGACAAAGCTAAAACCGAAGCAACAAGGTGAGAATCAACAGCCATTGTCCACCTTCCCAATTACGTTATGCTTCACTGACAAACTGTTCTAATCCTCTACAGGTTCCAGTACTTCACATGAGTCAGTAAGAGATGGTAATGCTAAAGGACAGCAGACAGGCAAAGAAGACACCACAGAGAAGAAGCTGACTCGCAGACAGTGGAGGAACAAAACGAAGAGCAAAAAACGGTGCAAGAATAAATACCGTCAGAATCCAAACGAAGTTGTTATGGTTAATTTGAATAAAGAAAAGTTAGAGCAAATACAAGCGTCCTCAAAAGAGGAGAAAAAAACAGTAGATGACCTGTCATCTGGGAAAATGATGTTAGGAGAGAAGAATGACTTTGTTGTCCCTGTAGATACACAGACTCTTGAGAGAGACAAGGCCACAAAAATAAAGAAAAAGAAAAGGAAAGATAAAGAAAGCAACAGCTTAAACCATTCACAACATGTGGGAGATGAGTCTGTCTGTGAACAGCCCAGTAAAGCAAATGCTGTTATTCAGAAGCATACAGACCCACATGAAGAGGATGAAAAACAAAAGTCAGTCAAAGAGGATAAAAATTCTCAGGTCCGTGCAAAGAAGGGCCAGGTTAATGAAGTAAGTACAAAATTAACAGAAGAGAAACAAGAAACAAGTAAAACAAGTAAAGAGGAGAGGAAGAATCCTACCGACCGCTCCAGCGCCTTAAGGGCACGGATGGAGAAGCGATTAGAGTCCGCTCGATTCCGCTACATTAACGAACTGCTTTACACCTCAACCAGTGGTGAGGCCAAACGCATGTTTAAGCAGGATCCTGATGCCATTGGGATTTACCACAAAGGCTACACAGAACAAGTGAAACGCTGGCCTGCGAACCCTGTGGACTCCATCATCTCCTATATTCGACAAAAGTAAGAGAAATTGATAATTCCAGAGAATGTTAAATGTTAATCTTTCTCATAATAATCTACTGAGTGTAAAGTAGTTGAATACTATTTATCCTTTTTTTTTGGTTTTAATTTGCCAGACCAGGGTCTTTGGTTGTAGCTGACTTCGGTTGTGGAGATTGCAAGATTGCACAGAGTGTGAAGAATAAAGTGCACTGCTTTGATTTGGCCCCTGTCTGTGACCTGGTCACTGCCTGTGATATGGCCCATGTAAGTCAGTTTTAACATTATTTTTATTAAATATTGTTTAGACACAGAAGTGCTGTTGAATGCTGCTAATGTTGAATTATGTTTTGAAATTTGTATTGGGTATTTTTGCTTAACTAATAAGACCCGATTTTCCATAAAACTAACTAAGACTGCATAGAGAACTTGGATTGCTTATTGGTGTAGATTGGTTATTATTTCTGGTGTGCTTATGCTAACGATGAAGAATGCTAAACTTTACGGTCCCTCCAGGGCTTTAAAACAGTGTGGTCGTTTTCCTTGTTCAGAATTTGAAGACTCATGAAACACTGGTACCCTGTGGAATTTTAGATTAAATTTAGATTAAATCTCCTGAAATGTCAATATTATTACTCTGAACCAGTAATCCTAATATTAAACTGATGTAGTATTTTATGAATTGTATTGTGGGTAATGATGTGTCAGAAGCTTTTCAGATGAAGGTTCATCTGATAGTATAGGTTCCTATTCGTTTGTACCCTCACAGGTACCACTCGCTGATTCCACAGTGGACATTGCCGTCTTCTGTCTCTCCCTCATGGGGACGAACCTTGGTGACTTTTTGGCCGAGGCAAACAGAGTGCTGGTGGATGGGTAACTTGTTTTTTTGATTCCTTTTAAATGAAACTCTCAATTTCCATTTCTATAGATAGATTAATATGTGTTAAGTGCTTACATCTACCTAGATAAAGACATCAGTTGCTAAATCACTTTTTTAAGTGTGAAGGCAGTACTACAGTTAAGGTTAAATACAGTGCATACTTTGGCTGTAGTGGGTCTCAGTCCCTTTCAATTCAGCGCATAAACTTATTACCAACCACTTCATATGTTGATTCAGTTATCTTGGAGCAAAGAAAATATGACGAGCATTATGGTGGTGGAATCCCAACACTGGCACTACTACATCTGAAAAGACAACAGCCATAGCTGAAACCATTTGTGCAAATATGTAGTATAGATGACCCATACCGGGTTTCGGGTTGTTATCATCAAAAAAGGCTGAAAAATGGAATGAATCCAATCCAATTCTATCACAAATCTAGCCTGAAATAACAGTCATGTTGACTGCTTGTAAGCACTACAAAACAGTAAGTAGGTTATGTCATAATATCAGTAACTACTTAATGTTTGGTGATGACAGTAGGGGTGGGGAAGTAGAGTGTTTGAGTAGTTTTATCAGGGTTTATAAAATATATAAAATATTTAATTTTAAAGCTTTGTTTTTAAAGAAATAAATAACAGACACGTATGTATTGGCCAATTAAGGTTTCAGTATTTGAGAAGAAGTGGTATCTAAAACATATAGTGAAAATGATTATTTTCTTTATCTTTTTGTCATTTTTTGAAGGGGTGTTCTCAAAATTGCAGAAGTTGCAAGCAGGTTTGATGATATACGCCCATTCGTTGGAGCACTGTCACGTCTGGGCTTTAAGCTGGTCAGTAAGGTAAGGCCAAATGTTTGCAGCTGTGAGTACATCAAGGAGTAGATTGATTAAGCAATGAAACAAATTTCATGGACAATTCAATTAGTATCACCACCAAAAATATTTTGTGAAACGTTGAAACATATTTAAAAAATCTATAGATAATAATCACAGATATAGGTGCCTGTGTGAATAGACTAAAAAGCTGCAGTGTTTAGGTGTAGCTCATGAAGGAGGCTAAATAAATAATGGGTCAATGAGAGTGCAGACCCAGGAAGGTATGATATCTACAGTTGGAAACTTTTAGCCTCCTGTTTGATATTATTAGATTGATGAGCAGCTTTTTGAGTATTTTATTGCTCATTTATTCCTTTTGCTTGTATTCCATCCTCAGGACACGGAAAACACCCACTTCTACTCCTTTGAGTTTATCAAGATACAAAATGCTCCAGATAATGTGAAGAAAATAGGGCTTCAACTCAAACCCTGTCTGTACAAGAAACGATAGTGACATTGAAAACTGGAATGCTGACAGAACAGGGAGCACAAACAAAAGGCCACAGTAATGTCATGTGAGATACATATTGTGTAGATATGTAGAAAGTAATGTTTACATTTTGCATAAATGTTCTCAGACTGGACCTAACAAGTCACCAGAGAACAGTGAATGTTTGGTCATACTACTACGAGCGGTATTATCGAGTTCTGTAAATTCATCAGATTAAGATAAAAATCAATGTATTTACCATTACACGTTTGTAAAATTGACCTTTTAAAGCCATGTTTTGTTTAATGATCTTTTGTAAGATGTTAAGCATCACAGTTTATGTAAACTTTGATTAAACTTTTATGTAAAAACCTTGAGTGGAATGAAATTAGTACTTGAAACTGGTTTCTTGGAGTGTGCTGACTAATCTGACTCTTCTCAGAGTGCAAAGTGCTGGGTCTGATCTTGTCATGAGGGGAACATGAGTGACAATATTTACTTCTGAGAGGCTCCAGTCTTCATCTTCATTTTCATTGTCCAGGTACAGGGGGCAGTTATACAGAGGCATAGAACAGGAGGAATTAGAGTGTGGACTGTCAGTGTCTCTTTCTTGAGCTCTGACCCAAAGATAAGGAAGAGGACAAGGCTTAGAGGATAGGGTGTCCTGCAGAACTCCAAGCCTTGTATCCCACAGTGCTCCATGTAGCTCTAGTCCAGAAAGGCAGATACCACTTGAAGGCATTGAGGCTGGAGATACTGCAGCATCTAGGACCTGAAGATGTAAAGACAAAGTATACTATGTAAGTTCCATGTTTCCAGAGTCCTCTTTATCATTCATTCCTTCAAGGAGCCACTAAATTCTCTTATTTCGTAACACTTAGCCAATGAATTGTCCATGTTGGAAAAGTAAACGTTCTGTGCATTATTGCTCATTGACACACTGGCTGAAAACATTGTGGTGGTAATTGGTGTGAGATGCTAAAGATTATTTGATCATATTTTTTTGAAAAGCATTGCAAAACTCTTTTGGTATTGATGAGTTACCTGAAAATGCAGCGAAAAGTGGCTGACATCTTGCTGTCTGATGTGAACAGTCTCTCTGATCAGGGCTGCCAGAAAGCCACGGGGGTTAGCAAAGGCAGATAAGCAGTAGACATGACATAAAACACTGTATTCCTGCGACTGATACGTTCTGAGCAAGTGTGCTCGAGTCTCCAGCTTTGAAATGGTGGATGATGTAACATAGGAAGAAGCAAAGGAGACTTGGGGTAGCTGAAAAATGTCGAGCAATGAGGACACCACCTCTGTAAGGTGCTCCCACTCGGTTTGAAGGAAGGTATGCAAGGGGCTTAATGACACTGTTCCCCGACACATGCTTCTGCTTTCCTCTCTGTAGCTCATCTTGTCGTGTAAAGCTTGTAGTCTTTCCTGAGCCTTTTTGTAGTCTGGGAGCTTTGGAATATGATTTAAGACACCAGCACCTCTGACAGCTTTGAAGCTGCCTTGGGACTGGAGAAGCAGGATGCTGAGTCTGTGACTTCTTACTTTCACCATTTCATTTGTCATAAATGCACTGAAGCCTAGTACACTGGAATCATTACTGCTCAGTGTGGTTTGAACACGCTGCTCCAGACCTTTCAGAAGATCCTTCTCATCTGAAAACATGAAGAAAATTAATTGTCTCAAAGGTTAGTACTGCAAATGAGTTCTTGAAGAAGGTTTTAAACTGTTCATAAACTGCTGGAGTAAAGTATGACTGTTCTAATATTAAATAACATTTTCATACCAAAATATCCTGTCATGATCATTTTTGAAAGAGTGTGAGGGCCACTTCCCCATATAGGAGGTGCTGGTCGTAGACAAAGTCTGCACACTGCCTCCACAACCTCTAAGTCAGCAGAATCTGACACATGACCACCATATGTCAGGTAAGCTGTAGAAAAAAGAACGGAAAACTAAACTCAGCAGATATAGCAACGTAATAAGACAAAAAAAAATATCCATAATTTTTGCTTAGTGTTCTGACTTTTTAGCTTAATGCTTTAAAAAAGTTTGTGTGATCTGATGAATATGGAGGAAATAAATAGCTTACAATAGTTTTATGAAACTAAAACTTAAACCGCAGTTCACTGAGTTAATCTCTTGAAGTGAGTATAGACCTGTGTTTTATGAATACAGGCAATCCCGCTTTGAATGGAGAATTATTTATCAAATATATCCGTCAAATAGCTAACTTGTTTTTTGCAGCGTTCCCTTTATGTCTGGCTAATTTATCAAGATTTTGTAGGGAGCACTCTTGAGGTCAGTTTGCAGATTCTCTACAACCATATTTTAGATTAAGCTTGTACCTGTATTAGTGCAATTTTCTAAAAAGAAAACTGAAAACTGAATATTTGTTAGTTTTTATTAGAGTTTGTGGAATAACCCTACTATCATAATGAAACGAACCAATAGTACCTGCTATGTATTCCAGGGCTTCAGTGGGGTCTCTGCAATGTTGGGTAATATGAACCTGAGCATCAACCAAAGCAAGCAGATCCTCTTGAGTCCTGAGGAAATGGCACACAATTAGTTGTTAATTTCTTTCTTTGTTGTTTACTGTTTAGTATTCACTGTGGATGTTTCTTACCAGTTGTAAAGTTTCCCTTGTCCTAGATGCTTTAACTTTTGTCTCTGCAACAACACCGAATGAAGAATAGCACATCGAATAAGAGGCTCTACCAACTGTCTGGTGTATCTAGAGGAGGTGGCTGAAAGATCTGTGGTAATAACTTGTCTCAGAGAGGAGCACAGCTCATCCTTCAGGTCCCAGTGGGAGCCGCACACCAAGTGCACAGCACCAATCCTCACTACAGCTGCATGAGGAAACAGAGCAGCAGTGTAACTGTCACTTTCATACTGCAAGAAGGTTTGGGGAAAAACATAATGAGGTTCTTTTCAGAATAAACACCAGAATGTTCTACCTGTAGTAGAACCTTTGTTAATGTAATTAACTTATTTTAAATTAAACTAATTGATGTCAGGTAAAAAAAAGGTAATGCCAAAGAATGGCTCTGCCGGCAAATGAAAGGTTCTCTATACCGTCTCTCAGTGGAGAATAGTAATAAGCTAATAGTGCATTTGAAGTTGATAGCAATACAGAATTAGCATAGAACTGCAGTTATAATGGCATTAGTGAGATCATAGGAAAATGTAGTCACAATGACAAAACTGTAATCAGTTGAAAACAATCAAATACCTGGAACAGAAAGTGGAGCATTGCCTTTTGTTATAAACCACAACCGGAAATTGGGGTGCACATGATTTTCTGCACATCTTCCAACCAAACTAAGCCCTTTTATTGTCTCCAGACCTGCCAGTTGCCCTTGAAAACATTTAAAACACAAAAAAACATGTTCCTTTCTACCATTATTTAATCAAGTCTAGAATGGTAATTACATCTTAATAATTATTTGTTAAGTGTTCAGTTAAAGGCTTAATAATAAAGAGCAAAGCAACTACCTTTTGTTGTGTAAGACATCAGTTGTTTTAGTTGAGAAACCACTTCGACATCCCAATGGTCAAGCAGGTGACAGTTGTTTAAGACCAGCCAATGGCCAGTCTGAACAGCTGTGTCAAGCGCTAAGAGAAGAACATCTCTTTGGCATTTGGACCCAAAAGAAATTACAGTCACTTTCACCTGTTGATGAGTATGAGAAAAGTACATGCTTGCATTCAAAACTTTGGAAATCAGTGTTGTCACTAAGACAAAACAAAGGTAGTCGCAGTGATTCTTATATGTTAGTCTTAAAGGTTTCAAATAATTAGAACACTATTAAGTTTTAAATATTACTAAAGAAATTTTAGATGTGTCCAGTATAATGAACAGCTGTAGATGATTCTAAAACGACCGAGAAAGTTGTAAAGCATTAAGTTTGAAATTATAACAAAATTAATATCCAGAATTCATCACGTTTCCAAGGTGATGATAAAATCATGGTGATGTGATCTCGAGGCAGATAACTTGACAAAAAAATAAAGAAATAGACTGATGCGGTTATGAACAAATATAAAGCTAATAAAACCTTACCCCTTTCTTGTCAGCTTGGTACTGGGCAACTTGTTTAATCCAATAGAGAGGGTGGATGCTTCCTGACTCATCTTGGCTTTGACCAGGTAGGGTTACAATTACAGGGCCGACATTCCTAGACAAAAAGTGAGAGAGTGCCTCTGGAGAACCAGTGTGAGGGCCGCTTGCCACACCTGAAGACAAAGACTGTCCTTGCTGACAGGCAGTGAGGTCATCTGCCACCGCTGCAAGCCACTGTGGAAAGAATGTCTTCCAGAGAATAGCACGCTGTAATGTTGTCAGGTGGGAGTGTGACTGACAAGGAACATGTCCGACCACAGTGGATGAAGGAAAGCGTAGGTACTCTTGCCACTGTCTAGATGAACTCCTGAGAGAGGAGACCAAGCCATGGAAGGGTGGGATTTTCTCTAAGAGACGAACATCAGCTTGTATGTGCAGTGGTATCCAGCTTGGAAGCTCAGTAGCAGACTGTTCAGATGATGGAGCATGTTCTGTGGATTCCATGTCACTGATTCCTTTGAGGAATGTGATGTGTTCGGTCTCAGAGCAGCTCTCATTGTGCTTAAAGAACGCTACAGACGCAAGCAACCTCAGTACCTCTGCATGACTCTGTAGTAAGCAGGGTCTGTATTGAGCAAGTATGTGCGACACCATCCTGTGTGAAATTTCTGACATGACCACACCACTGACTACCTCCCCACTACATGCAACATCTCGCTGGCCCTTCAGGGCTAAAGCTTCCCGCAAGACAAGCAAGAAGTTGTGCAGAGGAAAGGAATAGAAAGGGGACAGTCGTCCAACCTCCTGGAGAGCCTTATAGAGGTCTGTGGCCAGTACAGCCATGCGGTGAAACTCATTAAGCAGTGGTTTGTGGTAATCTATTTTACTGGACAGCTCCTCAATCTCAGTGTGAAGTTTCAGTGAAATACTTTGACACACTGAGACATGTGGTAGGAACTCAGGGTCCTGCAGCAGTGGTCTGAAAGACTGCAGCATGAAATCCATCAAGGAAGCCTGAAACATATAAAAGTAGCCCAAGAATCTGAATTTTACACAGTGGTTTGACATTATTGTGAAATATACACTTTATTTCAAACAAAATTGTGTAAAAATGTTCATCACTGTACCTCCTCTAGATGAAGCTTGTCCTTAAGTACTTGTTTATCTCTTTTGGCTTGGCAGTGCTGTATCCACACCTCTGAGCACTCAGATTGGAGTATATTATTCAGTATAATATCCTGGACTTCAGATGTGCTTAAGGACAGATCAATAACTTTTACCTTTTCCAGGATTGAGGGGTGAATCTCTAGCAGAAAATAAGTGAGAAAATGGAAATGGAGGTTAAATGCTTACAATTCAACATTTATCAGCAACAACAGTATATAGTCATATAGCAAATGGGTCAATGACATGACATTTTTGTGTTCCGGTATTTTATTTTCCTATAAAATAATTTAATAAATAAAGCACAAGTATGTCACATTACCTCTTTGATGTAAATATACTACAATACCTCCTTTATATGGAAACCGTTTCAGTGAATCAAAATTCATTTCATTTTATGACTCTCACAGTCTAAAAATGTAGTGCAAATGTCTAACCATATATGCAGATTAAGTAAACGATTAACAAAGATAATTTAATCATATACATTTCTAAACAAAATATTCTTTATATTTGCAACCTTTACTATCATAGCATGTTGAAAAATAAGGCAGCTTTCCAAGTATTCAAAACTTTTGTCCATAAATTCAGATTTCTTCAAATGTCACACAGCACCAACAAAGGACTTCATTCTGGAACACTTTTAAGAAAGAGTAGACATGGTACTGCACCATAAAGAAGACCCCAAGTGACCTTCATGGTGTAATGCTAGGCTCAGTAGCACTTTCAATAATATAGAAAAGAATGTCATTTTTGAGTCTTAGCTAGCCTGGTTCAGTTTACAAAGTCAGGTGGTATGACCCCAGGAAAACCATGAAAATGTGTTATTATTATAATAATGCTTATTTATTTTTAAAAATGCCCTGTGATGGACTGGCGACCTGTCCAGGGTGTATCCTGCCTTCCGCCCAATGACAGCGGGGATAGGCTCCAGCACCCCACCGCGACCCAGAAGGATAAGCGGTTTAGATGATGTTTGTATGTATGTATTTTAAAAAATTGTACCTGAGTTCAAGAACAAAGATTTGTATGGGTGTCCAGGTACAAAGACTAGTTTATGCACAATTTCAGTGATAGTAGTAATGCATGGTTGCACATTTTCTGGGCAATAAAACTGATGATCCTGTAATTAATTTGTACCATTATAGAAAGTTTGAAACAAATATCAACACACTGAATATACACCGATCAGGCATAACATTATGACCACCTCCTTGTTTCTACTGCTCATTGTCCATTTTATCAGCTCCACTTACTATATAGGTGCACTTTGTAGTTCTACAATTACAGACTGTAGTCCATCTGTTTCTCTGCATACTTTGTTAGCTCCCTTTTACCCTGTCCTTCATGGTCAGCACCCCCATGGACCCTCAAAGAACAGGTACTATTTGTGTGGTGGATCATTCTCAGCACTGCAGTAACACTGACGTGGTGGTGGTGTGTTAGTGTGTGTTGTGCTGGTCTGAGTGGATCAGACACAGCAGTGCTGCTGGAGTTTTTAAACACCTCAGTGTCACTGCTGGACTGAGAATACTCCACCAACCAAAAATATCCAGCCAACAGCGTCCTGTGGGCAGCGTCCTGTGACCACTGATGAAGGACTAGAGGATGATTAGCTCATACTGTACAGCAAGAGATGAGCTATTGTCTCTGACTTTACATCTACAAGGTGGACTGACGAGGTAGGAGTGTCTAATAGAGTGGACAGTGAGTGGACACAGTGTTTAAAAACTCCAGCAGCACTGCTGTATCTGATCCACTCAGACCAGCACAACACACACGAACACACCATCACCATGTCAGTGTTACTGCAGTGCTGAGAATGATCCACCACCCAAATAGTACCTGTTCTTTGAGGGTCCATGGGGGTGCTGACCATGAAGGACAGGGTAAAAGGGAGCTAACAAAGTATGCAGAGAAACAGATGGACTACAGTCTGTAATTGTAGAACTACAAAGTGCACCTATATAGTAAGTGGAGCTGATAAAATGGACAATGAGCGTAGAAACAAGGATGATAGGTCATAATGTTATGCCTGATCGGTGTATTCTTACAGATTAAAAAGTAAATCACATCCTTTTTAAATAAAAAAAAATAAATAATGATCAGTTAAAGCCTTGTCACTGACCCAAATACAAATCTGTGTAGCTCCAAAGAAAACATAAGGCAACAATCTCTCACCATCTAACAGAACCCGTACTGGAAGTGCAGTGCTTATGAAGAGATGAAATTCAGAGTGCAGCGCTTCAACAGGATGGAATACACCAAGACAGTGGCTTCCACCAGGCCGAACTAAGATGCTGAGAAAGTCTTCACTTGGAACAGCATGCTCAGTGTGAGTAATGAGCACTCTTAAACCTGTTAAAAATGCAAGCAAGTTGGGAAAGACATCATCAACTCCTATTGTGCTTCAGGATACTGGAAGTTCAAAAGGTGAAGAGCAAATACCGCACAGATTGCAAACCTTTCTCTGCTCCATGCCGGAGTTTGTCAAGAAATTCTGGGTCATCCGCTGATACAAGAAGCTCATACTCCTCTTCCTTATATGATCTTCCAACATCTCCTAGGAACTGATCTGAAATGCCCTCAAAATTTAAATCACAAATTAGTAATGAACATATTTGATATATAACAGACAATTATGATAGGGTTAACCACCTGTCAGCACATGTTGCTGTGTGTTTGCTAGCAAAGCCCAGTTGTGAGCCCATGGAAATCTATGCCCCCATAGCAACAGCTTCAAGAGCAGATGGGGAGGCACTGCTTGTATAAGACGGTCATCAACCCCAACTGCTCGAGCCACGATCCTGTGAAGCTCCATGGCCACAGGAATGGGGAGGTCAAAGAGGGGGTCCTGAAAACATGAAGACTGTGGTCCACTTTGTAGGTCTTCTGGACTAATCCTTGCTGTGAGACACATTTTGTGCCATTTTTCTAGTAGATCCAGTCGTATGTCAGGCCCAAATGGGCCTAAGTAAGCTATGGCACTAGCCAAAATCAGTGCATCTCCAGAAATGGTGTGGTTATTCATTTTTAATTCCTACGAAAAGGAAATAAAGTAAAGATTTAAAGAACTGATTCATTTTTTATGTGACATCAAAAATAACACATAGATAAAAATATTCAGCATATAGTTGCCTTTTCAATTGAGATCCACTTCTCAGTGTGGTCGCTCAATTGCTTGATAGCAGCAGCAGCCTCCTTCTCTTGTGCTTCAACCTTTTGGAGTTGGACAGCAAGGTCCTCCAAGTTCTTTCTGACTAACTGCTGTTGCTTCTCCATATCCTCCAACTTACCTCGTGCAGCCTCTTCCTGCAGCCTAGCCACTCGCAGCCGAGCACGGCTTTCGGCCATGCGCTTGAGTAAATTCTTCTTCTGGGCTTCCCGTGGGGCCATATGCCGCTGAACCCAGGCGTACTGGTACACTGCTTGTAACCAACAGCTCAAAGATTCACATGCTCGGCTCATATCGCGCACCAAGTGTGGCTGAAAGTTTGGTGCCTTTACAACTTGACCCAGCTTTTGAAACAACTCATCATTTAAGTTTGAGCGGTCAAAGAATTCCAATTCCTGATACAGTAAGAGACAGAAAGGAAAAAAAAGCTCTTTTAAAATTGAAATCTTCATCTTTTTAATTGAACAAACTATATTTTTTTGCAATAAATAACAAGGGTAAAGATTATATGGGGGGGGATCCAGGACTGGACTGTAGTCCAGAATTACTTTTTCTAATAGATTTTCCTTATCAAATGCATATGAATGAACTTGAAGTTAATTGCCATGTTTAATTGGTGTGATAGGAGCAGGAAAATCACTAATCTGTGCTGGACACTGGCCCGCCAGGACCAGTGTTTGCCACCCCTGGGCTATGTTTTCTCTGGCCTCTAACCTGTAAGAAATTGGGCTGCCCTAGAAGTTGTTTGCCGCTTTCCCAGTTGCATGGACGACTGAATAGCATGCAAATAGCATTCATCAGCATGACAACTCCATCAGGGGGATGTCTGTAGTGTCGCACCTCTTCCAGGTCAGACTGGTTTAAAGACTGCAAGGCCTTAAGGGCTGCCTGATACAATGGGCTCACCTACATGGAACAAAAGTCAGTCATTCTAAACAGAAAATAGAATACAGAACAAAAGACATGCAAATGCACACTAAGGTGAAATCTTCAGTCTGACCTCATCCAGGGCATCTTGAGCTTGCTGGTCAGCTAGTTCTAACTGTTCTTCTAGATGAGAAAGTCGACCCTCTTCCAGTAGACAGTGCTGGCGAGCTTGTTCACAGTGTGTGCCCTCAGTGTCCGCAGCTGTTTGTAGCCGGTTCAGCCACTACGGCAGAAAAGTCATGAACCTAGTATTTCTGCCTGATGGCAATTTATGGTAGTTCCATAAAACAGAATGTCAAATACAAGGCCATTTTTAGCTAAGTGGACACTGACATTTTTTATTGTTTTGGCTATGTATACTTTAGCACACTAGATTTCAAATGAAATATTGACTATATCATGTGATGTACATACATCAATACGGCCATTCAGTTCTGGTTTTTGGCCTTGCAGAGATTTTACTGGATTCTCTGCCTCTCTTAATCATAATATACATCCTTAGACAGTGAAATGCCTAAGATCTTTGCAAAACCTCATTAAAAGAACATTGTTTTTAAACAGCTGGCCTATTTGCTGATGCATTTTTGGCAAAGCTCTTTAAAAATTTTGATTTTTAAAGGTCTAGGCTTTTCCTAGATTCCTGTTGTGTACCCAAGCCTGTTTGCATCACTTCTTGTACATGTTTTTTGGACATTTAACAATGTTCCTAGTCTTAAATTGCCCCTGTCCCACCTTTTTGGAATGTGTTGCAGGCATACATTTTAGAATGAGTTTATATTTACAAAAACAATGAAGTTAATAAGATAAACATTAATTATCTTGTCTTTGTACCATTTTAAGTTAAATACAGATCAAAGTGGATTTACTCATCACTGCTTTTTGTTTTTATTTGTATTTCTCATACGCCCATTTTTGGAACTGGGTTTGTAGATGGCATTTGCATTTAGAATCAGCCGCTGTTGTATTACAACATGACAACCCAAGGTCCCGTATAACATTTTCTGATTTTATATGCCAAAAACAGTTATAATTAATTTTTTCATGACCATTTTCCAGCCTGTGGTGAACCTCTTTGTTACAGTGCCTTTAAGATTGATATATATGTAAATGAAGCCTGTTCTTATAGTGCCTAATACAAAAAGCAGTCCATGAGTTACCACATGTTCCAAATAGAGCTTGGCAATATGGCAAAAAGTAATATGACAATACTTTAAAAACGTTTCAAAATGCACAATAAGTTATACATTTTAGTAATAGGTTATTTATGTATTTTCTGACATCTGATAAATTGGAAAAGACAAAAGTGTCACATTCTGAAAATACTATCAGACTATGAATAGAACAATATATAGTCAACATTTCACATACTTACAACAGCATTTACCGTTGTTCCAAACTGTTCATTTAGAAAATAAACAATTATGCATCACAATGTACAGAGGTGGGTTCCCCATAGAGGATGTGTACTTATTTTGACTTAGAAAATTAACAAAACCTTTTGACCTATTGCAAAAAGACATACTAAGAATTTTTTAAGTAAACTCATATCTAAATATGGTATTCAGATAATACAAATAATTTTTACCTTTTGGGTCTCATCAAATTTGGCCTGAAGTCTGAAAAGCTCTTGGCTGTACTCTTGTGCTGTGTCAGTCATGTCCTTCACCTGGGCCAGAACTGTTGCCACCCTGATACAGGTTGACAGAAAAATTAGTAACCAAAATAAGTGTATCATTACTATGCAGTGAATTCCACAAAAGCAACAGTGAAAATAATGTTTTGTTTCATGTCAATCATCATCAATCATCACCTACTACTCGTTCAACTACTCCTACTACTCAAATCAAATATCACCAGTGCTTGCCTGTTAGCAGGTCCTCTAACTTGCTCATAGAGGTGGACACTGAGGTGGGAGAAGTATGTCATCAGCTCGAAATAGGTCTGAGGGCTGAATTGTTGGATGTTTAAGAAGGTGGAGGCATATTTTATAGCAGATTGGTGTATTCCAGCCATCGCCTGAGCAATACTGGCCACTAAGGTCTTGTCAGCTGAAGGGAAAAGTAACAAAACTCATATGATTGAAACATGATGATGTATATAGATAACGGATCAATTACTTTTTGGTATTGTAAAACATACCCAAGCCTACCTTGAACATGTGTCTCTGAAATCTGAAGATGGCTTAGATGATCTGAAGCAATTTCAACCAAAGTCTCAGAACCCCATGGCTGGTACACCTCTACACAGAAGCAGAGGCTTAAAACCTTGGTAATATGTGGCGCAATAACAGATGACTGTCCGGGTTGTCTCTCAGAACTGCCTTGGTTGAGAGGCAGTAACAAGAAAATGTGCAGGTTTCTTAGTTTGTTTCTGAAATACCTGAATAAGAGAAATATAATTTATCAGATATCTATTCATTGCAGTGTACACTATATAGATTGCATATAGAATGACAAGACAGGAATGAACAGAATGAGACATTGCTACAAAAGTTTTTTTTAAACTCAGCATGAATTACTGTGACGTGTTTCTAAGTGAAAGAGTGCATCAAGAACAGTCCCTGAGCTAGCTGAGCATTTCACACATCTTTGATTTGAGCTTGATTCTAAAACACCATTTTTTGAGACAAAAAAAAAAAAAGAAATTATATATGTCTTACTTTTCAAAGACCTGGGCAGTCCTTATAGGATTGTGAGAGTTCTTCATTATGGCACCAATATTTGGAAACATATCCTTCAGTTCTTCATCTGAATAAAGCCCTGGGACTGTTCCATTAGCCATGGCCACCAGTAGCTTATCCCTAGTGGTCTGGCTGATCGTCTCATGGATCAAGAACATCACATGTCCACCATGCACATCAATCTGGTTCATAGCCTCTCTCAGTATCTCCTTTAGTTTGCCCTCATTTCCACAATGAACCTCAATTAGTTGATACCCTGTCAAATAAGCTGCTAGGCGTACGGTGGTCTTCCGGCCTGTTTTCTTTGTTGCTCCAAAAAGAACTCCATGTCCACCAGGAATAAGTAAGGCACGTAGGATATGCACAAGCTGACGTACTCTCTTGCGATACACAGCAAAGTTGGCCGATATACAATTATCTTCTTCCTCTTTTCTTTTTATAATGTGAGCCAGCTGCTGTACCAGACTGTCCAGGTCTCTCTCCTGGTACACTGAGTACTGCTTAGCCTGTTGCTGTGCTATACATTTGTGTGGTTCACAAAATTCTGGGCTGTAGACTATATTACAAGCAGAAGAACCCATTTCAAGCAGCAACCGAAGAAGCAATTTGGAACTGGCTTGAGGTTTTTCACATGTTGATATGTTAGACTGGTTCAGTTCATACTGAAGAGCCATGCTTTGGCTCATTGTTTTGCTAGAACTTTCAGAAGAGTCTTCAGGACTCTGACAAAGAATCTCAGGTGAGCAACTAGTGCTTGGTGCTGATTCAGACTGGAAGTCTATTTTAGGGTTGTTTTTCTCATTTTTGCTCCGTCTGCTTGAAGAAGTGACACTATAATCATCACTTTGACTCACTGAAAAGCTGGAGCCTGAGCTGCTCTTCTCCTCAGAGCTCTCTGATTCCTCAGACTGCTTTGAACGACCGGTCAATTCAGCCAGTGAAGAATTCTCGAACTCTTTTCTTGATGTGATAAGCTGATCCTTATCTTGCCAAATAGGAGTTGAATGTTGATCCTGGTTTAGATAATCGCATGCAGGACCAGATCTGTCTGCTCCACTAGTCTGAGATTCAGCCGCCAGCCTACCACCAAAATTCTTCTCAGACACCTGAATTAGAATTGACACCAGTTTCTGAATCTCCTCATCTGAGGACAGGCGATCTCCAAAGGTACGCAAACACTCATGCATCCACAGACGGGCAATGCTGAGTACATTTGCTGTTTGACCAAGGGAAGCTGGAGCAAACTGAAGCAGGAGAGGAGAAAGTGGAGTTCTTGGATCCCATAGGCGCATCCCTTGGAACACTTTTAGAAGATCATGTAGAGAAAACACAATGTGGGGAGCATGTGCTGAAGAGTGTAAATGTTTACGCACAGCATGATATATATCAAATGTGGCAGCAACAATACACTGTGCCATGTCTGCAATCCTTGGCATGAATGGGAAATTTTTCAGCCATTGCTGTAATTGTGTGGAATGGATAGAAAATAGAACATCTACAGTCACATCCGGAAGCACAAAGATAGTGAACAGTCTAGAGAGCCGTGGGGAAATCTGCTTGCAGCTGTTTTTGTTTGTTCCAAAAGTGCTGCAAGTACCGAGATAATTTATTGCTCCAGAGCTGAACAACTTAAAATGATAGCCATCTGAAGTCAGCACTCCATCCCTAGAGATGCACTGACGTAAGTTCTCCAAAAGGACTGATGTCTTTCCATTATTATCTGGTGAGATGGAAAAGAGAACAGGTAACAACTAAAACTAAAAGACCGTTTTTAATAGGGATGCACAACAATATTGGAATCATAATTGGCATGGGCAGATATTTGCGTAAAAAACAGTGACACAGGACAGATGTTTAAATTTGACTATTGTTTCAAACTAATATTTGGCGACATATTTATTGCAAGAGCAGAATGTTTAGGTTACACTAAGCTTCTATGTTAAAATGTCTGCATTTTATTCATTTTATTGCAATTGTAACCCTCTAGGAATAAATTTTACATTTCTCCATAATGCTAACACAGGCATATGTAGTCCTAATATCTATATTTTATAAATGTTTTATGTGTCAGTATTGGTATTGGCATTGGCAGGTATGCATTTGAAAAATATCAGCCCATAATTTCTATGTCGGTGCATCTCCTATTTTTTAAGGAAAATAATGAAGCTATTCTAACTGAGGATGTTTATTTACTTACCAAAAGGTGCTTCATGTAAGTCATCGACAAACAGAAGTAAACCAGGATGCTGCCTGACAGTACCCAAAGAAGCCAGTCGAGTCTTGTAACTTCCCATACTTTCAAGTATATCACAAAAATACGCAGAATGTAGCAGTGGAGAAGCTGTTAAGTGCATATGTTGTCTTTCTTGTGATAAAGACTTGCACAATGTTGTTTTGCCTGAACCTGCTTCTCCAACTAATAGTGCTGGTTGATGGGCTTCCAACATGAGTTCAAGAGGTATGCTTGTTTTTCATACTGTGTTGAGAGGTTAAAACATACAGTTAACAAAACAAATGAAAATGAAGTTGGTGGTTTCACATGAAATAAAATGGTGTTTCACATTTGGTAAGGTCATCCACTTTGTACTCAGAGGTTTCCTTTTAACTATCACATAAATATACTTTATACATACAATATATTTTGCGGTGGCTCAGAAGTTGTGACATTAGTTTGATCCAAATGGTGATATAAAACAAATAAGCACCACATATATTAAGAGAATGTGCTCATAGGTATGTATTTGTAATCTCAAACAATTTTTAGCATATTTCAGATTTCAGCTGTTGATATTTTTCTTTTTGTTAAAGTTAAAAGGATTCATGAGGGTTTTTTTCTTTGCTTCCAACACAATCACTGAAATGCCCAAAAGGCTCTTTTTATATTTTAGGCTGCATTTAAGGACTTCATCTTCTAGTGTTTAAGACATATGATGCAGTGCCCTCCAGAATTGTTTGGATCCCTGGTAAAGATGAGCCAAAAAAATTATAGGAAATTATAAGGAAAAAGTAAAATTAGACAACATGTGTACCAATTACTGCTGGATCTTGTGTTTATATATATATGTGTGTGTGTGTGTAGTCCCCACTTTGAGTTATGTTGGTAGATGTTTTGAATTGTGGGGCACTTCCTTCCAAATGATCTTGTTAGGATTATTGGCATAGTAGAGAATCAAACACCAGAACATCCTTCTAGCAGGACAATCCAAAGCATACCTCAACTCAAAAATTGTTAATTGACCACAGAATAAAGAGTTTGTTGTGGTAAAACCAGTACCATGACTTACACCCCAACTTGTGACTGAGAACCAAAGACTCTGACAAATCTTCAGGGGTGCCAATAATAGTGACACATAAAAATGTTTATTTTTGTATTTAAATATTTTTTCTTTCTATCATTTTTCCTCACTAAAATTTTCTCTGTAAGATCAAGCTGATGAACAGCGAATACATTTTACTGGTGCTAATTATAATTTATTATGGGTATATATTATCGAATCTGGAGAGCACTGTAGGTGGTGTCAAGCTCCATCAATCTTCCATGAAATAGCCCTTATGGAAAACTGAATACTGAATTATAAAGATATATGTATCAAACAATCTATGAATGAGCAAACCTGTGGCACAGTTGTGTAAAAATGCTGTGGTCTCTTTTTCCTGGTTAAGCTGATCTCATTGGTAGTGTGTTCCAGAATTCCATCTCTGAGGCTGAAGAAATGTTCAAATACTGTGCCCTCAGCTGGCACTTCAATTTTGTAACGGCTCTCAAACAAGGCTTCTCGTGCAAGAATATCAAAGTGTGGCCAGTATCTAAAATCAAGGGCATAATAAAAAAATTCTTTGTTTAAATGCCACCGCACTTCTTCTGAAAGTAACATTTTGAGAACATACCTGGGATGCAGCTGTCCTCCAAAGCCCCAAATATAGGCTACTGCAAAGAGGTTTCTTGCCTGTAGTTCTGTGGAAAATGGCTTGGGACCAGTGTCTTGCAGGGCAGAGGAAAAGATAACAATTAAACTTCTACAAGTGATATTAGTAACCATGTAAGGGCTTACAATGAAATAGTGGATCATTAAAGTTGAATGCAAGCAGTTTTTTCCATGAAAAAGCAGGAAACGTACTGAACAGGACCAGACATTTAAATAAATGAGATGCATCTAGAATGTTACCTTTTTTTTCAGTCTGCTTAGATGTTGTTTTCAGGCCACATCCAGACTCTCCCAAAAAGGCATGGAGGATTTTAATGAATGAGGTTACTTCTTGCAAACCATCAGTGACCCCTGGACTGGATTTACTGGCTTCAACTCCATCACTGGACATTACAGTGGCTAATGCATTGTGTCTTAGGAAAATGAGAGTTCTAGAGAAAAGATCTTCAGCTAGATAGCTCCACATCTTCAGAGTGCTTTGGTCCAGAGTACAATCCCTGTACAGAGCATCCATCTCAGCTTTCCATACAGCCTTCCACAGATCCTTTCCAGAAACATACACCAGGCTGCACTGTGCCAGTGTTGAGGGAGTTGCATCACTAAGAGTGGTGCTCTCAACAATTATTTTAAGGTCCTCCTGTGATAGCTGAACTTTCTCGCCTGATGAAAGGCAAAGAAAAGGGTCTCTGGGGTGAACAAGGGTGCTCAAAGAGTCAAACCATCCAGGCTGGCTTAAGGGTTCCCCATCTAGTACCAGCCATTTAACTTTTCGAGTCTCAACCTTTTTCTGATTGATTTCAGAAAAATCATTACCTAAATGATCTTGGCCATATGCATCTCTTATCACTTTCGTGAAGGCTCCATCCCTCCAAGTGCCTGGCTGTTCATCAGATCCACCAAAAAGTTCCTCATGGGAAAAAGCATTAGGAAATAAGATCACAGTGTTAACAGAGCACCAACATGAAGTTGACAAAAGCTTGGTGTTTTCAATGTCTTCCTCAAATTCAGCCTCCACAGACTTTGCTGCAAGTTGTCGAAGTGCTCCTGCAAGAGCTCGATATAAAGTTGTCTTCCCACTACCTGCTGGCCCAACAAGCACAACTGCCTTAGAGAACTCTAGTGTCTGAAACAGGGTCACAGCATTGTGAAGCTGTTGCGTGTCGGCATGAAATCCCGTTCGGTCCAACTCATCTGTGATAGCATTTCGGAGGAGGTTTTGCTTACTCTCTTCAATGAACTGTTCTTCAGTGAATCTTGCCATTGGAAACATTTCTTCAAAATTGGTATGGAATTGTGAGGCCTTCTTGGGCTCAATGATAGCAGGCAACAGTACAAACATTACTGCTTTGATTATTGCTTGCTCTTCTCTAACAGCATTAATAATGGAAAATTTGCTGGTGCGCTTACAGAGAGATGAATAGTAGTCTTTAAATTCTTGTATTTTGTCAGATCCTTTGAGAGGTAGATCAACAGGTCTCGGCCCATCGCGCACAAGAAATCTGTCTTCATCAGTTTTCTCAAAATTGTTGTAAAGGTGTATTCCAGAGGCATGTATGACTTTTCTGAGCAGAACAAGCCAGGAAGACTGATTTCGTATGACAAAATTTGGAAGGCAAAATGAATCCTTAGCTAGGTTAAAAAGAGTAATCAGACGCCGACTCATGCTGGTTGCTTCAGAGAAGCCCAATGAAACTAGCAAAATCTCTGCAATGATGCTGTAGTCAGGTTGCATCAGTGAAACAGGTCTTGAAGCAACTCGCAAGTTTTCTGGTATTTCAGCTGAGTACCCATGTGATGAAATTATGACACAGCCAAAGTTTAGGTTGGCTGAAATGTTTTTTCCTCCAAACTGTACCTTACATTCCATTTCAGCCATTGTAGTGAAATCCTCATCTCTGGTCTTTGGTGAGCATTTATCATTATCATCTTCTAGCTCTTGCACTTTTTGCTGGGTATTTCTTTGAAGTGCTGATAGACACTGATGAATGTCTGTCAAATGTTGCCCTAGAATAGACAACGTTCCCTGTTCCATTGAATCCACAGTATCAAGAACTAGCCATGCACCAGTTTGAAGAGCACCAAGCAGCATTTGGCAAACAATCAAAGAACTTGTACTTGCACAACAACTCAAAGTGATTACTTGCTGTCCCAGTGCCCATCCTAACTGGAATACGGTTTGTTTCTTACCAGACATGAGGGGTCCACTAACAAAGGCACACCTGAAACTGGTGAGGGCAAGGAGAATGCCCAAAAATGCTCGGTCTGTTGAGGGGGTGTTGACCATCACCCAGTTTTCAGGCCCTACATATTCATAGCCGTAGGCCAACTGCGTTCCCAAGACATTCACATTAACAGAGTGTTCTGTGAAGTCTGAGTCTTCCTGAGACTCGTGGCTTTGTGTCCATTGATCAATGGCACTACACTGATATTTCATTAGCCTCTGCCATTCAAAAGATGATTCTAGGCTACCTTGTGTTGCAAGAAGCCCATCGACTTGTTGGGCATGCTTCATTGTAAGTAAAACCAAAGCACGAAGCGCTGTGACAGTGTACTGGGATGTCAAGGAACTACCATTTGAATTTGCAGTGATATTTCGTATGGCTTGACACAGGCTCTTAAGTTTTGTTGCATTCTGAGACTTAATTGGTACCCACTTGGTTTGAGCTGAGTCAGTAAAAGCCATTTCGATTTCACGACACCAGAAAACTTCCTCTGCCACCAAAAGGCACTGCAGAGGATATTCAGTTATTAGTTGCAAAACAACTGGCGGCTCAGGAACATCTGAAGGTTCTTCCACACCCTTTCTTAATGTACTGGAGATGCAAGAAAGTTCAGGTGCAGGAATATCACCATCATCCTTATCCAGTTCATGATCATTCTGTTTTGGCAGAGGACAAAGTCGAGCAACAGTGCATTTGAACATCAGCCTTTTCACTGTTTGATATAACTTCTTCTCCAAAAGCCCAAACCATATCACAGGATTTAGGTTTGGCTCTAGAGGACAGAAGAAGGGCATGTATTCCTTTAGAGCTCCATACACACCACTTACCCACATCTGGGTGCTGGATAGATCTAATTCATTGGATACGTCTGTCATGTCATGTTCACCACAGTTGATAACCTCAAGCCATCTTACTCCTCTGAAGCATCTGCGCACCAGTGAGAGAAGGGAGGAGGGTGGCAGGTGGTGTTGGAGAAGTTCTATCACCTCTCCATCACTGAGAAAGCATAGTCTGGGAAACTCACCACGCTGTGAATCTAAGAGATGCATCAACTGATTGGAAATTTCTTCCATTACTGTAAGTCCTTCAATGAAGAGAATGCGCAGATTTTGTCCCTGGAACTGACTTCTTGTCTCTGTAGTCTTCCTCAATTGGACAAAATTCAATACATTTGGGTCACTTAATGTAAACTGAATCATTTCACGAAATGTCTTATCCACTGGGGAAAACTTCTGTAGCTGCAACACAAGAATTCTAGATTAGTCCCTACAAAAAAGCACAATGCTGATGCTGATATTGATTCTTGATACTGCAGTAAACACAGACACGTCCATAAAATATACTAATATACTTAGACAGGAGAAAACAACTTACCAACTCAGCTTTGTGTGTGCTCACTGATGTCTCATAGAACAGTTTGCTGAGGAAAACCCACTTCTGCTGGTATCTTTCACAAAAATCTAGCAGTTCCTCTATTGTGAACAATAAGGGATAAAAACGTTTTGAGTTAAAGGCAGTGGAACTTTGAACACTGCTGTACACTACTGTTCAAAAGTTTGGCATTTCTGTTTTTCAACTATATAAAACCAACTTTGTTGCAGATACATAAATAAAATGACTTTAATAAGATATTAGTACTGTTTAACTTAATGTGTTTCAAATATTTAGTAGAAATTGGGAAAAAGTAAGTGTCCAGAATTATGAACAGAGCAATTAATATCTAGAATGCCCCATATTTTAAAAGCAGTGATTACATTTCAAGGTAGATATCTTGAAACTTGACAAGAAATAACTATAAACAGATAATTAGTATACACATCACCAAAAAACTTTATTGAATAAAGCATCTAAAATCTGTATCTAATCTATACCATATACCTTATTACTAAATAAAATAAGAATTATTAATATGACCAGTGATCTCAAACCTTTGAATGGTAGTGTGTACATATATCTGTATACATACCAAGTTCCTGCAAAAGCTGCATCCAATGTTCAACCTCCCTCCTAAATTCAGCAGCATGTGGAGAAAGCAGCATACTGGATAAAGTCATAATACTGTCTTCAGTCTGAGCCAGCAGTATTTTTAGATCTGATCAGAAAAAAGAGAGCTGAATACCATGTTGAGGTCTCTGTACTTTAAATATGCATTGCTGATCTGTTTGTATGTTTGTATAGGGACTGGTTCAGAACAGAAGTGGGGTGGGCAGTGATGAACAGATTTTCTGTGAAATTCATAAATGTAAAATGTCTTGCAGTCAGACTTACAATACATTTCAATTTTTTAAGAAAATAAGCTACTAAAAAGATACTGTTTTCTTTACGTACCCATAATGGTGAAGGTTCCACTGTCACAGGATTGCTGCTGTATAGCACTATGGGTTGTCTGCCACACAGTGACAATGAACTTAGCAAGCCTGAATTCTGTCCCTTCCCAGCCCTGCTGAAGCCTCCGGAATACATGCTCCATATCTGCTGAAGCTTTGGCCTCTCTGCAGATCTAGACAAGGACAATCCACACTGTAAAGCCTTGATCAATGTAACAAAGATTTAAACCCATTTACTTCATGACACAGTACAAAGTTTGCAGCTGTCTTGACAAACCTTGTTGATTTTATTTTGATGCTCCAGTAGTTCTTTGGACATAAGATCGGCCACAGTTAAATTCTGTTCTGGGTCATAGAGGAGACCTATACCTAGACAGAGGATATCATATTAATATCATCAAGTTTATGGTACACCTTTTATGTGGTACATTCAATTTTGCACACAACTGTAGTCAGATGGAACTTGAAAATGAAAGAAAAGCAAGTGAAAAAGATTTAACTTAAATAAAAACCAACATCATTAAAGGTAGAATTTCATTGTAGCCATTCTAGCCTATGCTAGGAACTAGTACAAATCAGCTGAATTCCCACAATCCGTAGAAACGATCAAGCAGTGTATTGTACTGCGTTATGAGAATTGGAAAAAACAAACATCACTCAGCACAAAGGCGTGTTCCTAACACACTTCTATAACCTAAGAATATTACATTAATGTCCCTGTTGCTACAAAATAATAAGCCTTTTTGTAACATTTTCATTGGCATCGAATGACTCTTTTTTTTTGAACAGTCAGAAATCTGGGGGAGTGTGGCTTCCAAGTGAGAGGGCTAGGCCTCTCCAGGCCCCCTGTAAATGATTCCAATTAAGGGGAATATAAAATAATAAAACAATATAAAATAAAAACAATATTGTTTATTAACAAAACCGCTGAAAACTAGAATAGAAACAACACCAACAGTGGGAGAGAAAGTGCAATTTTCTGCTATATTGTGATCACATAAAGTGTATTTTTCAGTGGTTACTTTGATCAGAACAACTTCAGAAAAGAATTATTGCATATGCATGACACTATTTACTCTATCTAGTCTTAGTTGCAGATTCCTTAAGAAACCAGTATCTGCTATGGATTTACTATGAAATGAAGAGGACTTATGACTACTAATCCTACGTAACATACTCTTGTTCTTACCGTTAAAGATGTTTCTCCAGTGTTTGTATTTCAGTGTGGGGCTGCTTAGCTTAACTAATATGGAGAGTTGCTGGTTGAACTTCTCAAGTGTGCTTAAGGTTTCTTGAAGTACTCCATCATGAGGAGGGATGACCTTTGCTAGTGAGACTGTCTCTTGAAGCCATTCAGATACCTTTTCCTGGGCTCTGGATACCATAAACTGGCAAGGGACATAGGAATTTACACTAAACTGGCAGAATTAAGAGATTCATAACAATGAGTTACAAGTTAAGTGTACCTTACTGAACAGCAAGAGCCTCCATTCTTGAATCTGTGCAGTAGACACACCCTTTAGCTCCCAAAGCTCTTTCCGTGCCTCGATATTCTGTTTAGCAGTTGTCACAAATGTGAGATCCAACAGCTGTCCTAAATGGAGTATTGACAAAATGACAGAAATATTAAACATGTAAACAAAAAAAAGAATCCAGACACTTAACTCGTAGCTTCTGTGCTTCATGTTCAGAATACAGATCCTACCTCTTAGGCTCTGACTGCTCCTGCTCAGCTCATTCAGTTGCGCAGCTATTACATTAAACTGTCTACTTATTATTCTGAGCTCAGCAATCATGTGGTCAGTGCTCTGGTTTGGGTCAAGATAAGGTCCAGTTGTGGCACTGCAGACCAAATCCTCTAATTCTTTGGTCAGTGAGGAAACAGCGCTGTCCAAAGTGTTAGTCATGGAGGACAGCTGCTGGTTGACTGTGTGTGTTGCTTGCTTCAGGAGAGGAACAAACTGTTTCCACAGATGAAGTGTCTACAACAAAAAATGCGTAGAAATATACAGTGTAGAGCAAAAGTCAGAGACCAGCCTTCTTTTATTTGATTTTCCAGGCAAAAGTAAGAACAAGCTGTTCACTTCTAAAGAGATACTTCTAAGGAGATTAGATATAAGAAAATCCACTTGAACAAAGAAGGGAACAGTGAAAGAGAAATAAGTGAAGAAACAGGAGTTTCCAAAACTGCAGTTCAAAAAATTATTAAAAGATACAGGGAAAATGGGACTCCTAGTAAACCACAGACCTAGTAAACCACACAAGCAGCTATCATATATAAAAGCTTTCATCTTTGAGGGATAGGAGAAAATCAGCTGCTTCAGATCTGAAAAAATCCACAGATGTGTCTGTCCTTCCCTATCCCTATCCATCCATAGTGTTGGAAAAGGACACTGAAAGGATGTGTAAAAAAAAAAGAAAATTTGCCAGTCAAAGGAAGAAGCTGCTGGTGTTCTCAGAGGAAAGGACTGGCCAGCCAAGAACCCGGACATCATCATCACCAAATATGTATGAGATTGGTTGGGTCTTAAAAGGCAGAAAATGCAACCAACTTCTAAGACTGAACTTTAGAGATATTAAAAAATAGCCCTGCAAATCTCTTTAAAAAACTGAAATCAGGTCTCCCAAGAAGAATGGAAGCTGTAACAAGGGCTAAACAGTGAAAGAAATACAGACACACTAAACACTGAAAATGTAATATTTCGTTATTGAGGCTTCTGTGTCATTTTCTGTTAAATACGTTTCACGCTTTTTTTACCTGATGCTGAAACATTATAAACTTGTACATAATGGCTTTACTGACTGGCAATAAAATAAATGAAGGGTTGTCTCCGACTTTTGCACAGTACTGTATGAAAGTCATGACAAAAAGGTTTTTTAAATATTTGAAAAATTAAAATAATAATATTGCAAAAGTTGCTATTACAGTATGTTCTAAACAACAATAAGTAGGCATGTTTCACTGTCTGTGCTCCCTACCTGCTCCATACAGGCACTCTCCCCTGGAGTCAGCTCAATTATCCTCTGAAGAGAGCAAAGGTTGTCTAGCTGTTGTTGCATATCAGCTGACATCTCCTTGTAGCGTTTTACCTACATGTAAAAACAATGGCTTCAACAACTTAACCAGTAATTGCCATCCTCAGTGAATGTTGCTTGGTGTAATTAGAGTAATTAATACCATGCCAGCATAATTTGCGAAGTCACTGAGGTCAGTGGGCTCACGTCTTAGTCTCTCAATGACTTTCTTCAGTTTGGATGTCAGGTTTGCTGAGTGTAACTGCAGCTCATCAGACATCAACTTTAAAGAATCCTCCTCAATGGTGGTCAGCAAGGGCACTATGACAACAAAAACAAACACTTAAATAGCCAAGCAGCAGAAGATTTGCTCTGGAAAATACGGATCTGTAGATGGAAAAGAGACATGTGAGGTGCACACAGTCACAAACACACCTAGCTTCTCTTGAATGCGAGAACAGGTGACAGTGAGCAGCTTATTGGAGGTGGTGAAAGCAGGACGCATAGCGCTCACTCCATCTCTCCAGAGGTGAACCTTCTGGATGTGCTCCTTGTATTTAACAGCTGGCCACCCCCTCATGCTCTCCAGTGAAGCTGTGCTCCACTGGGTACTAAACAAATGAGTGTCTACCAACCAGGAATGTTGTTCACACAACTGCTGGATCTCTTGGTGGGCTTCCTAGATGATAGGGGTAAACAGACACAGCTGCAAGTCAGTTGTTACACACCTCTGAAGTCATGTCGTCATTTTGTAGTCGGTGATATGCCCATGTAAGGAACCCCCGTTTAAGTTTATGGGAAAAATGAAAGGTGTTCTTGAAAATCGCTGCTGTCATGCAACATGGTAAACAAAAATGTTCCCAAGTCGATGCGTTTTGTCCTGTGTAGGTTTTTCCTCCAAATATCACTGGATCATTTGAATTACAAGGTTTTTAAGTAGTAGAAATATGAATATTGTGACATACAAGCTAACTAACTTCTATAAGGCAGACAACCTCACCAAAATATCCCATGCAAACCAGCAAGCATTGTCAAATGTGCTAAGCAAAAGCTTTAGCAGTAGAAGCCTACAGTTTGAGCAGCTGGTGTTGTTACAAAATAGAGTTAAGTAGAGATCAGTTATACAGTACCTCTATGCGATGTCATGTCAACGCGCAAAGATATTAGCTTACTTGTTCTAATTCCAAATAAGCAGTAACATTCAATGCACACATGACAAAACAAAACATATCAGCTGCGGAACATTTTTGTTTACCACTGGGTATTATATTTTTTCCCATAGAGCACACTTTGATCTAAAGTTTCTTAAATGGACATGCTGTCAGCTACAAAATGATGCATGATTTCAGAGATATTTAAAAATAGTACAATTCTACAAAATTTAAAATGGGTTTTTTTCCTAGACATACAATCCTTATTTTATCTAATAACATCTATACACCCATCACAGTTATTAATCTCATGCTTACAAAAGTCTAAATATATGCATTTGTTCAGGGAAAAACAGCAATATATCTTGCATGACTCTTACTGCATTACCTGTGTGATTCTAGCTTGCTCTTTCTCTATGTCCTGTGTCCTAGCATGGAGGCGCAGGTGCCATTCTAGTTGCTTTCTGGACAGGGGATAGTACTGCCCTCGTACTCTCTGTCCTTGAACTCTAAGAGAGGTCCTTTTGGGTAGAACTAGTTTTGTGGTTGATGGAAGACAAGGCTCCCTTATAAATGAAAAGTTGTCTGCACTTGTTAGGGCTTTTCCTCTGTCTTCAGATGCTGAAATTAACACATAATTAATCATGACCTTCATAATAAATATGATGCATCTGATGTTATTGCAGTTAGTAGAGAACAGACCTCTACTGACAATATCACTCATCTTACATGCAAGGCCAGTGCTAGGAGAAAGGTCTTGAAAACAAGCTGTCAGAGAATCTTTAGAGGCAGGTGAATTATTGCAGGAGTCAAACACCTGTAGAAAGAAGCATCGAAAAAGCTTTAGTAGTAGTTTGAAGATCTCAGAACTGCCTTTTGCACTTATAAATGAGCAGGAAGTCACAAACTGCTACCGTTCTGTCTTGGTTCTATCTTCAAACAGAGTTCTTACTCACCTGTAATGCAGAGTCACCCACTGACAGCAGCGCTCCAATCAGTACCTCCTGGAACAGCTGTATAGGTGGAAAGATAGTAAGTTGACCATCTTCCCCAAATGTCAGGTCTGCCTGGAAAAGACTGCCCTGCTGCTCCTGCTCCCTCTGTAAAGTTTAACAGACAGAAAGCAACTGGCAAACAAAATACATGCACAGTCCATACTTTGTTGATTTTCTAAGTGAAAGTAAGTACACATCCTCTACAGAGGACACACCTCTGCTCATTTTAATGCTGTTACTTTGCTGAATTTAACATACAGGGAAAAAAACATAGCAAGTGCAAAAGCAATGGTACATTTTGTAGAATGTGTTTTATTTTTTCCAGCAAATACATAGAAATTTCTTCATACAATTTGCAAAAACATTCTATATTTAAGTTTGTTAACTGTAGAGGATGTGTATATTGTACTGAATATAAATCAGCAAAAATGATAAATATGCCTATTAATGTAACACTATTTCTTCTGCTTTCTACAGATACCAATTTCCATCCAGGTAACTTCTCACTGGCCCCAGCACATAATCTAACGATCATGCACTCTCTAAATGCTTAACCATCACTAGCTGTAAACATTTCATGCTTCACCTTCAAAACATTAATGAGGAAGGCCGTGATCTCATGGTTAGAGATGGTAACAAGGCTTTGAACAATCATGCAGTCCATAAGACCAGCAATGTTTCCCAGCCTTTGCAGGACTTGTTCAGTCTGGTCCAACTCTTTACTAAGACTGCCAGCAGAGGCATGTTGAAGATGGATAGGCTGGGTACACTGGTTCAGCTGAGACTGTTCCACTTGATGCTGTAATTCCTGGTGTGCCTTGTAACTGGTCTCCTGTACCTGAAAGGTTTATTTTTTTATTATTTTCTTTCATTAAAACAAAACGTTTTGCACTTTTTAAAATACATTTAGCATTTAGCACTGTAATGCTGTTGATCACTCATTAAAGCGGCATTTACTGATTTAAAAAACAACACATATCTAAAGGAGGCTAGAATGGAGCTAGTCATACATTTAATAATAAAACCCTTCTAAATACAGTCAGATCAATAAATATTGATGTCGACAAACTTATTATTTTAGCTGTGTACCACAGTATACTGGAGTTAAAATCAGATAATGAATATGAGCTTAAAACAGCGACTTTGAGGGTATTTACATCCAAGTCAGGTGAATTAATTAAAACCATTTTCATAGCCCTACTTTTTTAGGGGCTCAAAAGTAATTGGACAATTTACTGCTCAGCTGTTTGATGACCAGGTGTGTTATTCTCTTTTTATTTCATTTAGAAGTAGGCAGATAAAAGGAGGTAGTGTAATGGCATGAGAATGTATGGCTGCCAATGGAACTGGTTTACCTGTATTTAGTGACGACGTGACCACTGACAAAAGCAGCAGAATGAATTCTGAATAGGGCTGTATTATCTGCTGAGATTCAGCCAAATGCTTCGAAACTCATTGGACAGTGCAAATGGACAATGAGCCTAAGTGTACTGCAAAGACAACCTAAGACGTTTTAAGGCAAAGAAGTGAGATGTTCTTCAATTGCCTAGTCAATCACCTGACCTCAATGTAGTCAAGCACACATTTCATTTACTGAAGGCAAAACTGGAAGTGAAACACCCCAAGAACAAGCAGGAACCGAAGACAGCTGCATCAAAGGCCTGGCAGAACATCATCAGGGAAGAAACCTGGCATCTGGTAATGTCTATAGATTCCAGACTTCAGGCAGTTATTGACTGCAATGTATTTGCAAACAAGTATTAAAGATGACTATTTAATTTATGATTATGTTAGTTTGTCCAACTTCTATTAAGCCCTAAAAATGGCTATGTATGAAAATAATTGTCATTTTTTAAAACAGTTCACCTGATTTGGACTAAAGCTCATGTTCTTCATTAAATTTCTATTCCAATATGCTGTGGTAACTTTTTCGGCATCCAAATATCTTTGGACCCGAGTGTATGTCCTTTTTTCACACTGCCACACTGTAAGTTTTACATTGGTTTTAGAAGATCATTTATGACATGAAAAATGATTGGGAATGATGCCTTACAAAATGTGTTGTTGTGTGTATACATACACACAGTACTATGTAAAAGTCTATGCACCTATGCAAATGCAGCAAGTTTCAACCAGCAAAAGTATTTTAGAACAGGAGAAATACAAACAAACATAAATGCATTTAAAAAAGTAAGAAGAATTTCTTGTTTTCAAAAAGAAGTTGAGATGTTGAGAGTTAGAAGAAAACAAATTTGGTTTCAGATTTCTCCCTGAAGTCCCCACTGTATGGACTTGTTAAACTCCACCAGAAGCACACCTGATTTAATTTAATGATGCCAAACTCAAGTATTGGATAATAATTACAAATATTAGTGGACTACTATGAGGCGAGGTCTGGAAAGGGTTAAACGAACACACTGACACCATTTTTTGTATAAATACTTTTATATTTACTGTAATGTTAGTGTTTTTCTAGGAAAATTAATGCTTACTGCCCAATTAAAAAGCTTTTATAATTATAAATAAAAGTATAATTAAAAAAAGTATAAAAAAAGTATAATTTTCTCAGGTGCCTGTAAATGTACACAATATTGTGAAAAAGTCTTAGGCTATCTGAGAAAATTATAGGTAAGGTATTTTATCTTGGTAGTATATGTTTATTTGTTTAAAAGACACTAACAAAAGAATAAATACAAATAAATAAACAATATATTGTGATTTTATGCGTCAGTGTGTTAGCATAATCATTTCTAGCCCTCTCCTTGAGGAAGCTCAGTATTTAGAGTTATCATCAAATACCTGCCTTAGCTAATCAATCAATAACAAACAAATTCTTGTTACATTTTACATTATTCTTATAATTTTGTATGTATTCATATGATATATAATGTTCATACTGATAAAATACACTGACCACCAAGACAAAAACAATTTTCTTGGATGCCTTACTTTTGAAGATACACATATATATATATATATATATGCATATGTGTGTGTGTGTGTGTGCGTGTGTGTATAAACGTCCAGACTAAATACACTCAGTATTACAGTGAAAAACTGGGCATTTTTAAAAATACTGACATCTGTCTTTAAGATAATGTTATGCATGCACATTTCATCCATTCAGATGTGTATGTAATACCATCAGTAGTTCAAAATGCTAAAAGGATAAAAAGATACTTACCATAGCCAGTATCAGAGAACGGTAATGTAAGAATCTCTTCAAAACACCTTGAGATTCCTGATTGCTTTTCAGGAGTGTAGTCTGGAATTCTAGAAGTGTGTATGTCCTTCTCTCATCCTGTGGAAGCCAGTGCACTTTTTTAAGCTCTTCAAGCAGTCTGTGAATAAAAACAAAATGTAAAAAAGTTTATTTGAGCTAGCTGATATATTTGTCAAGACATACTGAACCTTTCTGGGTTTTTCCTGGTAAGTAAGCTTAAAATCATAAAAAAACAGACAAACACACACCTGGTGAAATGAAATAAAGCTTCTCTGAACTGGGGCACTGCTGTCAGCTGCTGAGACTGAAGAAGCTTACGCCTGCGCTGAAACACAATCCGGCAGACGTTTCTTTTCCATCTGGAAAAAAAAAGTGTTGAGTGTTCCAATAAAGCATTCACATGATTTGATGGGACTGAATCCTAGTCTGCTGCACAGATGGGAGTGGTATTACAATAAATTATGTTGAAAGATGAAGTTTATGTTCATTTACCGCCTGAAGGGCTTGCATAGTAGGTAGTTTCGGAAAAATGGGATATCTTGCAGGGCTTTCCAAAGCACTGCTTCTCGATACCACTCGGCTAGTGTTAAAAGCCCAACACTACAGCCATCCTGCACATGCATCACTGAGGTGGGGGAGAAGATGTAGTGATTTGAGCCTGCTTTGTTTCGTGGCACCACTTGCAGGTCATATGGCCTGGAGCAAAAAAGTAAAAAAAAATATAAAAATAAAAAAACACATTAAATACCAGTGCAATACTTAGTATATACCTGAATACAGTACTGTGCAAAAGTCAGAGACCATTCATTTCATTTCCAGTCAAACAGCCATTAAGTACAAGTTATTCATTTTTTTCTGATATTTCTGTGGAGATTAGATATAAAATAATCCACTTACATAAGAAAGGGAAGGGTCAAAGGAAAATAAGTGAAAAAACAGGAGACAGAAAAAAATAATAAAAACAGAGAAACTGGGATGTCTAACAACATTATACTTATATATTTATATATACAATATTATTACACGTTCATTTTCTGTTAAATTAATGGTTTGTGTTTTTTTCCCCTGAAGCTGAAAATGAAAAATGAATCATTTTATTCATTTTATATAATACCTGAAGGCCATTTTGACAAGAAATTGAATAAACAAAGAATGGTCTCTGACTGTTGTACAGCACTGCATGTATGAGAAACCCACTTTTCCCAACTTAATTAGTCTTAATCCACTATAGCTCTTACAGATACAGGCCTCTCACTTTGAAAGCAACAATGGTTTTAATTTGTATAACACTACTGTTGAGCAGGGACAGCCCCGTACAATGCAGTGTCGTGCATTTTACATCTGTCTTTTATCAGACAGATCAACTGACTTACGATATAAAAAAAAAACTGATGGAAAAAATCAGCTAAAGTTGATCAGGGGATCATAACAGTAGCCAGTATATGCAGCCTAATGTCAACATATGAACGAAAAACTTATTAAAGTTGAATTCCACTGATTTTTCAAAATAACTGCATTGTTCAGTCATGTGAGACGTCAACAAATTCATTCGAAGTGGTCTGATGTGAACCGGTTTATTGTAGAGAAACACACCAAGTTAGATTTCTTTACAGTGGTGGTGATTTGAACCAGGGGTTGTGACATCTACAGTGCAAATATAGCCATTTAAATCACAGCCCAAATGACCACTGAGCCGACACATGTATACCAAATTTTTAAATGTAATGTTGATACAGGTAAAGCAGTAGTAAATCTGAAAAAATAAGATTTCTTTGGGTACTATTTTGCCTTACAACACCCTGCACGTACCTCTCCACTATCAACAGATCAAAAAAAAATATACACTTCAGCACAAAATCCTTTCTCAAAACTATCGGGGTATGTATCTGTAAGCAATTAGTGTATTAAATGTCTGTGCAGGACCTCTCAGATGCATTAAATGCTCCAGACATCTGGCTCGTATGACCACCCTTGTGAACAACTCTGATTTGTCTCATTTCACATCACACCACTGTGAACAATTTTGTTACATTTTAATGATTTAATAATGCAGAAATTGCAAAAAATAGGTGGAATTGCCCTTTAAGTATAATTATAATATAATAGTAAAAGTATATAGTATAATACTACAAGTAAATAGTCTAATTGTATGCAAACGACATTTAAATTTACAAAGTAGCAGAGTTTGGAAAGAGGAAAACAAGTGTGGTGTTGTATAGATAATGTTGTCGGTTATGTTTTTCTTCCTGTAGGTTTGTAGATTGTTCATGATACTTTCAGGCTTCCATCCTAAGTAAACTGTTTCTATTAAAGTGATGTCCTGATGTACTCAGTAGTTTTTACAGAAAAAAAGCAATATTGCACCAACATAGCTTAAATCTAGCACTAAAGGTTTCAGTATCTGTAAGAGTATCAGAAAATAAAAAGGGGTGTGATGCCATGTCTGCTTCTGAAACATGGGAAAAGTGGTTTAAAGGAAAGGTTACCTGTAAGGACCATCTTCAGAAGCCTTTAAATGATAAAACTGGAGCTCCCCCAAATGTCTTTTCTTCGCAAAGATCTCAAACACCTCAAAGCCGGTAAGTGGACTGCACTTAGTCTTACTTTCTCTCCCAGTTTTGCTTCCCACTGACTCTCCATGTGTCTCTACAGGGACATCCTCATCTGCAGAACTGCGGAATACAGACTTAACGAGTTAAACCTGCCCATAACACAAAAAACAGGCCAAAAGTAAAAGATAAAAAAATAAAGTGTATTTTGAATTACTTACGAGAACTTCACTTCCTGTGGGTGTTTAATGACTTTGAGAGGCATATCAGCAGCAAGAGCCGAGGCCACCAGACAGGGGCCCTCCATCCACATGGACTCTCCAATTGCCACTTCTGGCCCCACCTTTGCTACCAACTGGGGAAGCTCAAGCACAGACAGGTCAGCTGGCTGCGATGACTGAGGCCTACTAAGAGTGCGACCAGGTGGAGGTTCACCCATGAATGCTGGTGAGAGGCATGTGAGAGGAGGTAAAGCAGGAACAGATCCAGATCCAGCACTGCGGGCTGACTGCCTGTCCTGGCTGTTTCCCTTCAGACCGGCAGCTCTGAGAGAGGCTCCTGTTCGAGCCTTTGTATGGAAGTCTCTTTTATAAGCAGACATAGCTGTAAAGAGCTACTGCCAATCCATTCAGAAGAAAAACATTAGCTACTCTGCAGTTTGAGGTTTTTTTTTTATCTTTCATGTCCATTTTCCAAAATACACCACTTAGTTGATGCAGTCCTGAAAAGCAAATGATATAACAGTCACTTAACTGTCACTTTACCTAGAAGACAAGGAATTTTTTTTAATAAGGTATAGTAAGGAGTAATGTTCACCAAAAGCTGTTACACAGGCTCTTAGCCCAAATGTACCTATGCTATGTATACATAAACCCACTTTATACCCAGGGAACAAGCCTTATCTAACATTAGCCACCTATCTAGCATTTTACTTAGCTAGGTTAGCTAGTTGAAAAGTAAGCTTCGCTAGCAACAAACAAACAAACAAACCAAACGAGATCCCTACATTAACGTCAGTTAGCGTCCCTGAGCAATGTAGATACAGAAATACACATTGTTTCGGGCTTAAATAATAATAATAAAAAAAACATTATTAAAAATAGCTGCTAAAAATAACAAAAGTACTAAAAACTCAAATACAATATTAAATGTGTCGTGTCCTCGTTTACTAGTTACCTGTGGTCTAAACCATCGTGGTGTCGTGGGTCTGTAGTGTCTGTTGTGCTTGTTGTGTGTTTCCCGTAGTAACTAGTTTAGTTATCTTAGAGACGCCTCAGCTGAGCAGCCAAAGAGGCTTTCGCCAAACTTTTGTAGGCCGCAGCAAAGAGTAGAAAACAGCGCTGGATTTTCAGATTTAATGAGCCTGAATGAAAAAAAAAAACAAAGAAACAAATCCAATAAGCAAATAAAATCCTCTAGAGCTTCTAATATTCCAAGTCAGACTTATACAACTTTTTTTCATGATGTACCAAAAATAGCCACCAGAGGGCGCTGTAACATTACAAACTGAGCACGTGGTACGTTTGGGTCACTGTCAGGAAACCGCCTCAAAACATTGAAGTATGTCATATTTGTGTCGAATATGTGTCATAAGCGAAAGATAAACAAAGCTCGTATCATTTCAGTATTGTTTATCGTTTCAGTAGATCAATTGGAGCTCTGTTTGGTACAGTAATTGTTCTATTTTAAAGTTTTTTGGGTCATTTTTCACCCGAATTCTCACTGCGATGTGTCCACACGTTTCTAATGAGAAAAAATGAGTTTTCATTACTTTTGATTGTTGAATCTCATTACTTTAACGACTTCATTGTGAACTTTAAGGATGTGAACCAACAACACAATGTTATGAGGCAATAGTAAGCTGGCTGTCAGTGTGTAGCAGTGTAAAATCGCAAAATACTGTAGTTTGCATAGGATATATTATATATTTTTAATAATTAGCTTTTTTAGTTCGACAACAGTATACAGATTGTGAAAAAAACATTATTTACAGATTCATTTTCAGACCTGTTGCTGTAGTTATTCAACCAGACATCTTTGGTATAACAAATAAATAAATAAATAAAATTCAAGTAGTGTCCCAGTATTTGTGTTATGAATAACCCTGTTGCTCTCCTCGGGCCGCTCTTGTTGGTCCAGGATAGTCAGATTTAAGACCTCCCTTATATTATATCGAGTACAAGAACTCAAATTCAAATGCTGGTTTCTAACATCCACCATCGGAATGCAGCATAAGATCATGTATTTTTCTCTAATTAGTGGTATTATATTTTAATATCAGCTAACATGCAGTGTGTTGGCTGCATTTGTGCAACAATGTGTAATCTGAAATTCACCATTTAAAATACAGCTGTGTTTTGGGTTCACCTTGATAAAGCTGCTAGATTCTGCTTTTAACGGCCACTGAATTCATTCAACTTGAAGAAAAATCTTTGCTGATTCAATTAGTGTTTTTTTATTTACATAATAATAAATATTGGTTTTAATAAAGTAGTTAACATCAGAAATTGCTGGCTAGTGTAACTGTGGGGTTTGCTTCTGTGTTGTGTGGCATTTCATGTTGATTGAAGTTATAACAGCACACTTTTGCTATGGGTCGTAATGAAAAAGCACTTTGGTTTTAATTTCTCTTGAACTCACCGTTCTCTCTGTGTAGGCTGAATTAGTTAATGTAACTTGGTTATTGTGTAATTAAACCCAACATTTCATACTAAAGAAATAAAAAACACAAGTTGAGGGAATCAGAAAATGTCCAATGAACCCAGCGTTCCTCAAAAACAGGCACCGAGACAAGTAGCTAGCATTAGCATGTTAGTGTTAGCACAGCCTATCTAAAACAGGGCTTCGTTTTTATATGGTGAACATCAGATAACAGACCCTTGCACAAATACACTCTACACACTGCATATTAGATGATATTACAGTGGATATAAAATGAATACACACCCTTTAACTATTTTCACCTTTAATTGACCTACAAGCTGGAATTAAAATACAATAAATCTCTTTGTTTTTTTGCTAATCTACACACAACACAATGTTTTGTTTTACTAAGTATACACTCCCCTTTACTACAACATCCCTCCAACAATCTCAGGAATGACCAATTACCATCAAGGTCATATAGTCATTTTATTTTGTGATTCTTAATAGCTTAAATAAAAACAACTATGTACTGTGGGCCTTCAGTTTGCAAAACTAGATGATCAGGAGAGAAGATACATGGTCAGAAAGGCTACCAGGAACCCAATTGCAAACGTGAAAGACCTATACGATTTTATGGCCAGCAGAGGAAAACATGTGCATCATGCAATATCAAAGGTATTGCGCTCATCTGGCCTGTATGGGAGGGTGGCAAGAAGAATTTCAAGGAAAAAGAACCTGCAAGATCCTGAAACAAATTGACATAAGTTGTGGTCAGATGAAACCAGAGTAGAACTTTCTGTCATGAATGTGAAAACCCATGATGGCCTATCACTAAAACAACACCACCCCAACTGTAAAGCATGGTGGTGGAAGCATAATATTGCATGGGGAACTTGTCAAAATCGAGGAAGGATGAATGGAGCAAAGCACGGGAAGATTTCAGAGAAGAACATGTTGAAATCTGCGAAACATCTGAAAATGAGTTGAAAATTCATATTTCTAGAGAACAATGACCCCAATCATAAGGTCAAAACTACCATGAAGTGGCTTGCTGTGGACAAGGTGGATGATCTAGAATGGCCTCAAAGTCTGGACCTAAATACAACTGAAAATCTATGGAATGTCTTGAAGGTTGCTGACTATCAGCAAAAACCAACTAACCTCTTCCAGCTTAAACAGTTCTGCAAAAAGGAGAGGGGGGGTAGGATCTCCAAATCCAAGTGTACTGCTCAAAACGACTGGTAGCTGTGGTTGCTGCTAGAGGTGCTTCTACCAAGAGTCTTGGGGGTGAATTTGAAATAGTGCTGGGAATAGTAATTAGTAATTACCACAAAATCTCATATGGCTCCTGTCTAGAGTAGTGACTCTAGATTATGTGTCCAAAAAGAATTAAACAATTTTGTTAAAGCTTCCCAAGTATGGTACTTAATCAAGTTTACTGAGTTTAATTATGTTGCCACTTTGCAAAAGCACTGGTATTAATCAAATAAACAATATAAAAACACAATAAAAATTAGTCTGTGAGGGAGCCTGTCCTCTTCCACCAAGCATGGAGCTTTAGGAGTGACACCCTGTTTTTGTTTTTTGAGGAGATGATAAATAATAATCAGTGATGTGGTTTGCAGTTGTTTTATCTTTATTGCTTTGGTGTTTCAAGCTGGAAAAGATGTGAAAGAGATGGCATGTGTTGAGAAGTGTGGATGAAAGAGAGCGAGAGAGAGAGAGAGAGAGAGAGAGAGAGAATGGAGACAGCACACATGTAACACACATGTGTCTTCATATGAGGCTGTGGAACCAGGACAGTGCGATGACGAAGGCTTGCACTGCGCACATGAGAAAGATGTAGTCCAGCACAAACTTGTCTTGATCCACGCGACCAGACAGCATCACAATTTCGTTTGCTGTGGAAACACAAGCAGATAAAAAGACTCAACAGGAGAAAAAGAGACTACAAAGACAGAAAGACAGATAAACAGCAATGGCAGTGTACGAAAAAGAGAGATGGAGAAGGAAGATTAAAAAAAGAATCAATCAATCCGATGAAAACATCCATTCAAAGACATGCTGAGAATAAATGCAGGTGAACTTACAATGGTCAGGACAGATGACCTGAAAGTTCTTCAAAGAGGGCTTTGTGACCCTTCCATGGAAGTCCAGCTCATGTACCCCTGTGTCCTTGTTCAACGTCAGAGCTTTGTTTTTCAGTCCAATCAAGTTCTCACACTTCTTATTAAAGAATAAAGATCCCTGTTGAAAATAAACACACACAGATATTAGAAAATAATTATTTATGATTATTTTTTTATCTTTTTTATTATGTCCATATTTGTTATGAATAAAATATTTCAGTCATCTGTTCACAATTGTACAAAATAATGAAAGCACCACATGAAACACTCCTACATATTGGTCATTTTATCAGGAACAGCTACCATGTAGGTGCACTTTGTAGGTTTATAGTTACAGACTGTATAGCACATCTGTTGCAGCACAGTTCATCAGCCCCCCTCAACCCTGTCCATCACTGGAATGTGACCATCAAAGGTACAAAGCAGGTTCACATAAACATTAAGCTCAGTGTGATATCAGTGATAAAATCATTTAAATATGAATAAATGTCCAGTAAAGTAATGAGGGATTACATATAATTGGACTTAAA